AAATTACAAGGGTTACAGGACCATATCTCTTTAAACCAGAAGAGATAGTTCAAAAGATTAAGCATTCTTTAGCCTCTAGCCAAGGCGCTTCAATCTACACTTATGCTCAAATGCAAAAATTCTGGAATATGATTTCCGATAATTCAGAGATGACAGGAATACTACAAAAAGTATCCAGGTCCTTTCTAAATACTAAAAAATTCCTTTTCACGGACTCATATAGCCCACTAGGCTCTTCCCAAACAATATATTTGGACTATCTCATCTCTCCAAACTTTTGGAAAAACGAATACACCCGTATGTTCGGAAAAGTACAATACTATTTAGAAAAATGCGGAATAGTTTTCGCCTCTTTTCTGTTTGTAAAATTCATACTAGATTGCCTAGTATTCATAATAAAGGCTATGCATATTCACAAAATCACCGGCAGCTCACTACACTTTGGCAAAGTATTGCTTGCCGCTTCATATAATATACTTTTCACTTCTATAGTGACCTCAATTTTCACTCAAGATGAGCAAACCTGAAAAAATTGAACAAGAATGTGATCAAAAAATGCAAGCCCCTCTTTTAGAGGAAATTGATAAAATAAACCAGTATCGCGTGTATCCTCACATCCAATTAACAAGCTTCGAGAGAAGAACTCAAAACTTGGATCACCACACAAACCCAGTCTAATAAAAAATTCTACTGTTCTAGGATATACCAACAGATTCAACTATGGACGCAACACTTGATGACGACTTGAGAGATTTTGAGGATCTTCTCTCACTCCTGCCACCAACCGATCCGCTGGATTCACAGATTTCAGCACTCACTCAACAACCAACTGTTTCTACTACTACAACCCCCACTGCAACGTCGACCTCAACACGATCCTTCGTTGAGCCACTACTTCAAACCAATTCAGCTGTCCCAATAGCTACAGCATCAAAGCCACCACCCCTAAAAGTCTCACCCCCTGATTTCAAAATACCCCTGGCTCCTTCGAATTCTCGAATTATAAAGCGAACCCAGATTGTGAGACCATATAAGATACTAACGGCAAATACGCCGATATCAACTTCTCAATATCCAATGACCATTAGGCGACAGCCCTTATACCCCACTGACTTAAACACTAAATTACATATTCAGTTAGAAAGGGAACGATACATTAATTCTAACAGTAATCCCGGCTTCGATATGGATCTCAATAATGCATTGAATCTATTAATCAACCGTTTTAAATTAGAAGCCGATCACCCGATAAAAAAAATGTACTCCATAACTAATTCCCTTCTTGAATATCAAAACATCTATGTCCCAGCAAAATATCTGACAGCAAAATTACAAACCCCCCCAATTAGATGAATATACTGAGCAAATTCAGCGCAGTCATATACATGAAACGCATCAAATCCGGGAGCTGAAAAAGCAAATCCACAATTTGAAAAAAAAAATCACCAACTTATAGCCCGGTTGGAAGGAAAATTGTAAAAATTTATCCTTTCATTTAAACATTTAATCTTTCGTTTTGTATAGCTATGTAGTATAGCTATTATTTTTGCCTTTCTCAACAATTTTGACTTTTATACAAAAAAAAATACACCCTTTGTATGAACCAGTCCTCCCCTTATTACGCATATGGACACCCACATCACATACTTCAGGACGGAAAAAAGACTTCGAAAAAAGAATGTTCAAGGAATGATAATATTAAACTGACCTGCAAACTTTTGAGAAACAAATAATTTTGATGTATTTAATTTTATAGTTAAATCTCTTGGTTGTGTAAACTCTATTTAGATTTATAAATGTAACTGTATTTATATTCATTCAAGCCTGACTCAAAGTATCAGTTGTTCAATAACATCTGCTACCTGTAATACCAACAAACTATTGAACCAACTTTATGAGATTGAAAGAAAAAGCTTCGATCGATCAACAATTACCCCACTATTCAAGTGAAAGTAAAAAGAAATGAAAGTTTTTGTTTTTTTCCTCTCCAAATAGGAGGATGGATATGTTCTGATTTCAAATAGAAACGGAAACATGAATTATTTTTTTTGCGTTCACAAAATGTGACGCCGCCGCCACCACAAAAGAAATAATGTTTTTATTCCCTTGCAAAAGGAAGGGAAATGCTATTGGAATAATTCGTATAACGTTTTAAGCATTGAGCATTGAAACGACTAATCTCGTTCAATGCGAATAATAACGATTCCTCTCGTAAAGTACGAGCATACGAAACTTTCTTCTCGTAAAATACGAATGTACGAATAGAGAATACGAAGTTAAGAAGTAACTTCTCATTTGATACGAAAAGTGGTACGATTTCCCATCTGTGTATAAATAGAAGCTCAAATACGGGAATTCATTCCCAACAATATCTCTTCTAACACCAACACCACTCTCTTCAACCGCCCCAACCATTCTCTAAAATAATATCCAATCTCAGAAAAATATCTCTAATCTCACCGTAAAAAATATATGTTGAGTCAAAAGGCAACTTGCTCTAAATTCATACTAACTTCTTTTCTAATAAAATATTTCTCAGCGAATTTTACATTTACTTTCTAAGATAGAAAGTAGAAAGGACCCTTTATTCCTAGCAAGCGTTTTGTCCGGCGCACATAGTGTTGCTAGCTCAGAATACTATATATATAGTTTACCTTTGCTGTTGCATTTCAAGCCTATTGTTTATATATAGGAAAAGCTTTCTAGCTTTGGTTAACCCGTCATCTCTGGATAGTTTCTCCTCATGTTTGTTGATCGACTCCCAGTCTTCTTTAGAGTTTTTGTTTCTCCAGTTAGTGATTGGCTGGTAATCGTTAATTTCTACACATGATAGAATTTTCGTTATGTTCACCATTGTCAAAGGTTTATCTATTTGGTTTTTCTTACACAATCAAAGATGTCTCATTCTTCTTTGATGGATTTGGCTAGTGGGAATCCCGAAGTTTATTCGGATACTAAGGTTAGAGAATAACGTAAATTATCAGAGCACGAGAAGAAAGTGAGATCTTTTGACGGGAAATGTTTTACGTCTTTGAGCAGATGAGTCAGACAAGTTTTCGACAAAACCAGAAAAAAATTTCAATATGGAGAATCGTGGAAAATTCATTTTTCCGTCTTACCAACTTACAATAATCAACTTATACTATTAGTTTTGGTGATAATGACCCGTTGAAGGCGTAGAATGATTTTTCTATCAAGTCTATAAAAACGGCGATTGTTTTGGTTATTTAACACGAGTTGTTTTTATTATAATTTAAACTCGGCAAATTTAAACTCGGCAATTAATATTAACTGCGGCTGAATTTTTATTCTTCTTGGCGTATTAAATATATTTGTACTCATGATTCGATAATTTTACGATATTTTCTTATTTTCGATTATGGTGGTTATCGTTGATGATTAGTCCAAAATCGTCATCTATTCCTACAGTTGGTAATTTAGCAGCCGCCACTCGGGAATTAAACTTTTTTTGTAAATTGGGAGAAAATCATAAAAAGAAAGAAAAGTTGTTTTAGTGTGTCAATGAACATTTACGTTTTCCAAAATATCTTTTGAAGTCTTTTGAACTGAGCATAGTTTTCTTTTTCAAAAACAGTCTAATAAAATGTAAAAAAGTATACTCAGAAGTTAATTCCCTTAACTGTTTCATTTCTGCCCATCAATTTCCTTCAAGTAGAGAACAATTATAATTTAATTTAAGGTTGGAAAAATCAATTTTGATTTCCTGAATAATTTCTCGGGATAACTTTTTATCATGAGACAAATGTAATCGTTGGGTTTGTTTTTGTTTATCTTGCTGATGCTTTAATCGCAGTTACTTCTTTGCATAACCTGGAAGTTGGATTAGTGAACGAGTATCTCGATCCGAAGTTTCTACCAACCTTTAATATTTGGTATTTTAGAAAAGTATGGATAACGTGGTATCTTAGTATACAAAAATGGTCTCCTTCTGTTTCTATTTTTATTTTAGCAGATTCGTTACTTTCGATGAAAGAAATAATATGTCTGTAGTTTCTTCTAGACGATTCTTTGACAGCTTCATGTTTCACTCCTCCTGGATAAACATTTATGAGAAGACGTATATAATTATAAGTTCCTGTTTGAGGTAACTCAACAGCTGCTATTCGTGCAAATACTTTGTAAGTGCAGGAAACTGGATTATTAAAAGCACGATCTAAAAGAACGAAGTATCGTCTAGCATTTAGTCTATAGAGATCCCCTATTTTTTTGAAGTTTTCTGCAAATAAAGGATCTTCATTGGTCTATTGTTCCTTACAAGAAAAAGTATCAATCATAAATTTTGCTTGAAATTTAAAGAGCTCTAGACATATTTTTTAAAGTTCGAAATCTGAAATTTGTTCAAAAACAAGTGCTTGTATTTAGTTTCCTTACATTCATTACTCTTTTCCAACAGTCAGTTGGCTATGTTTTTATCATGCGAAGAGCGGATATAAAATTTTGGAGGAAATAAATTCTATCAAATGTATAGGAAATTTAGTTATCAGCACTTTATTTAGTGGCTTGGACTGTTATAATTGTTAGTTAGAAATACAAATAAAAATTATTGACTGATTGTTGTTTTACATGTTACGAAAGTTTGTGATCAGCCAGTACTGTTGATCGTGACGTGCGCGGGGAATTTTTGAAGAGCGCCTACATAGTTTTGTCGATCTTTTTTTTAATGCAGTCATTTATCGTTCAGGGCAAAAAAAAAATGTTTTTGAACCCTTCTTTGCTGTGGTGTAGACTAAAAGCGCGCGACCGACCCCCCCCCCCCCCCCCCTCTCCGAAAGTAAGTGTCAAAATAGAGCCGAGAGTGAAAAAGAAATATGGATAGTTGGCCAGAATTGATTGTCGTTAAGTTTGGAAATCGGTTAAAAAAAATTGGCTGTCAGAATTGAGAAGTTGCGGTGGCTGCCTATCTTTTTGGCGCGCTACTGGTTGTAGATCACAATAAATTTGAACCTGCAACTGAGAGTGAGCAGTTTTTTTTCAGATGTTGATGATTCTTCTATGGACGAACTTTTTGAGTCATGTGGGCTGGAGATATCCTCAGAGCCCAATTTACTAGTTGATAGTTGCTATTTGTTCTTGAAGAACTTGGAAGACAAACTAACTTTGAATGACCAGTTGAGCGAAGTAGTTGAGAATGAGTTCAAACGAATATGCAGAGATGAAGAAGAGAAATTGGTTCTGCTGTTGAGTCCCGTTGAGTCAAATGATGCGAGCAACGATAGTGTGGTCCAGTTGATGCTTGGAAGCAGACATCTGCAGTATCCAGCTATGGTGACGTTATTAGAACTACTTGGTAAGTCTTTGGGAAAGCAAATTCTTGTTTTTATCAATTTTGTTGAATCGTCAATTGGAGTAAATGTTTAAAGGAAAATATGTACCGAGCCCTAAAATAGTATAAAATAAAATATTGCGTGGAACTGTAGAATTGAGCCTGAGACGCCAATATTAGCTGTAGCAACAAACATTTTAATAACAAAGGTCAACCGCTCAAAAATGATGAAAGTTTTCTCATTTTTAGTTTTGCGATTGTTCAATCACAATGACAAACAGATTGATATTTCTATTGTTTTAGCTGAAAAGTATCCAGACTGGAACCGAAACCATGTTCAACTTCATAGGCTGTCGCAGACAGCTACGTCACGTGATTCACTGGCGTATAGTCGGTTCACAAACACACAATCTGTAAATATTCAAAATGCAGTCAAAAACAAAACTTTTTCGATCCCGCAGTTGATAATAAACCATTTCATGTGGGTTACGCAAATACATCCAAGTATGGTAAACGATGAGCCGATTGCAGTTCGCATATCTCAAATCTGCAATGGGTTCAGTCAAGATTTGAAAAGAGCGATGTTGCATTGTATTTCGGTTCTGGCGACTGACAAAGCATACCATGACGTCATTGCAAGTCGGCTATTGGAATTGGCGCAAGATGACGAGAGATTGTATTCGGAAGTTGTTCAGGTAGTCAGCAGTTTGAGTGGAATTTCGATCGAGACTTCGCTGCAGATGAGAACTGATGTGTGCAAGAAGCTGATGGAATGCGAGGCTGCACATGTTCCTCAGTTAGGTAGAAAATTCATCTATTTTTTGTGAAATTCGATTGATTTATATTGACTGTTGCTTTGAAATAAATTCAATTACTTTAATGATCGTCGAGGAATCATTTTGTCTATAACAAAATGATATACAAAGGTCTCATTACGAGCCCGAGCAAATCAAACAATTATACCAAACATTTTTTACGCAAGCAAAGCTTGTGTGATAGTATGAACTCTTTTTTTTCCAACCTAAGTCGCAAATATTAGTGTTCAGTTTGAACCTGTTCTTTAATTGTTGCTGTATGTGCATAAGATCAATGACCAGCTATTAAGTACAGCCAATGCTAAGGATATGAACACATTATTATATAACAAATAGCACTTCAGCTTCAAGGTATCATGGATCTGTAGCGTAGAGGTAGAGAAGGAGACCTGGAACAAAATAAGAGAGTTCGAACCTTGGGAGACCCGTAACAAAATAAGAGATTTCGAACCTTTAATGAAATTTCCGATTTTTCAAATTGTCAGGTTTTGCTAATGCGTCATAATTGGCTTGCGTCACTTAGCAATTATGTAGACTCATAATTGGCGTGCGTTTTGCATGAAATTTTGTAGACTCAAAGTTTTACCCATTCAGTTTTTCCCAGTAGCGTTATCGGTCATATTTTTGATTGTGTATGCGAAGTGCAACCTCGCCTCTGTGTTTATTAAGATTTTAAAAATCTTATCCCAGTGGCTAAATGCTATGGATGTCCCCCTGGGGGTTAGGATTTTTCTGGGAAAGTATGAACCTCCAGAACCTAGCACTTTTCGTGATATCCCGATTCTTAGATAATTTTTTTTCGGTATTTTTGACAAAAAAAACTTAGAAACGAAAATCTCTGTTTCTGAAACTTGTTCTGGTAATGTGAAAACGCAAGCCAGTAACATGGAGGATTTTCTATTAAGTTGTCCTTTAGAAGCCTCAGAGTTTTATGCTATAGGATCTAAGTAAAGTTGCTGCAAAACAAAATCGTTTTCTTTCTCTACAAAAACTTATTTCCAATTGGCCTATTTGACTATGACTGTCGCATTTGTCTATGTTCTATTTTTTCGTTCAGACTTTTTTTTATCACACCTCACAGAAAAAAACGACACTAATTAGTTTAAAAAATTGTATTTTCTTGACACTCTGGTCGGAACATTCTGTGTAACATGTACAGAATCCGGCTATCCTTATTTATTTTTGCGCAAGTTTGCTTTTCTACGTCCATTTTGATTGGTCACTAATTGGATTTGTCTACTTTTTGACTAGAATGAAATAAAGTTTGTTTACTTTTGGACTGCACTCCGTAGAAGTATAAGTTCTTAAAAGTTGATAAACAAGCTCTGTATTCGATACTACATATGTACTTATCTGGTCTAGGACAACAGCAGACGGGACTTCAAGCAGAAATTAAATTTTTACAAGGACTTCAAAACGCTAAATTTTCAATAATCGTTTTTCCTCAAAATTTAGGCAAGTTTAGTTCACAATAAGCGTTCTTCATAACAATTCACCGCTTAAGAGAGTGGCACCAGATAGTTAGATCAGCCGGATTTTGAAATGCATATTAGAGGTGGTTAACATCAATTAGAGGCTCAAAAATTATGAAAAAACCAATAAGTTGTAAAGAAATTGAGTTCTTCAAAAACAGTTTTCAAATAAATCTTATTTTGTGACTTTATGACAAAATGTTTGGCTTGAAGTCCCTTAAGCTTAGGATTCGACTTGAAGTCCCGCGGCTTGATGTCCGGCACCCGTAGTTATGTTATAAGCACAAAATTTCATTTTTGCATTCATGCTCACCAGATTTTCAGGCACTAAATAGTTTTTGCTCATGGCGAAAGTAAATAGTTGTTGCTCATGGTTTTTCCTGCTCATGGCGCAAGTTTTATTTTTCAAGGCGTTTCCGCATTTTCTGTCCTTATTGTTCCGACTTTCGATACGAAAGTAACGGAATATTTGTGCTCGGGGTGGGTTTTTTTTTCTTCAGACAAATTTCGACTTTTTAACTAGCCATTTTTGACGGAATTTAATTATATCATTCGAAAGGTATTGTTGTCCTGAGCTTAAATTTGAAAAAATATATATTTCACCTGTGATGATTTTTCGTAAAGTTACGGGGGTTTAAAGATTGCCATTTTTGCCAATTTGGGACAAATAACGCGCGATATATTTGGCGCTATGAACGCGTAAGCGGAGAGTTAATCCGTCTTAGAAATCGTTCCAAATTGGTTGAAAGAAGCTTATTTGCCATAATTGATTTGTTACAAGGAGCGAAATCTATCCTTTTGTACTTAATATGGCGTGTGGGGGGATGATTTTCATTAAAAAAAGTTCAAATTTTAGAAAAAAAATTCCATTTTGTTTTATTTCATTCAATTTCTTAAATGTTATTACTGCTCCATAATTATTAAAAGGCGGTCGGAACTTTCAGGGCTTCGCCCTGGTACGAGCAGTCTTGTTTTATTTTTTAAATCCAATTGTTTGTCGCTTGTTTGTGGAGTGCAGCCTCGTCTCTTTGTTCATTTTTAGTCTTCTTTTTTCAGTTGCTATTTTCGACTTGTTTAACAGTACAGCGCTCACACATGTTAAGAAAACTTAACAGCATAATCAAGAAGTCAAGGTTTAGGGCAAGCTCAATACTTTAGTCATTGTCTTATGAAGCTAAGCTTCGTTTTGATGCCCTGTTTCCTACCTTTGGAAAAGCATTTTTTCTATCGTCAAGGTTTCATGCTGCTGCGATAGATGATTTCGCTGAATCACTACCCCACTAACAGAATGCGAATGAAATGAAAGGGTCACGAAAAGAGAAAAAATAAAGACAGCAAAGAAAATAAGCTCTACGAACACCAGCTTATGCGAATTGATAAAGCACTAATGCTTTTAGGATTGCCCTATTCCTTGTTATTCAAGCCAACCATTTGGGATCTTGTAAGCGTAAAGTTTATCTGTTTTGGTTTCTGACATTGCGTGTTGGTGTAAAAAAAATTCGAAAGTTTTGTAAAAACTACTTAAAATTTTTGTAAAAACTACTTTAGAAACTTTAAGGAGGATTTGAGAAAGCCAGGTGTTTAGCTTGATATCAAAATTTTGACCCTACCAGTATGGCTGGAAACGTTTGTTATTCAAGCAGCAGTGGGTTAAGCGTTGATGCATCAAAAAGATTAAGGTATGAAGAAAATTTTTACTATGACGAAATTTTTCTTGCGGGTTCATAATCGTAAAAGAGTTTGAGTAAGGAAGTTACTATCTACCTAGCTGAAAATCAATTGAATTGGTCAAAAGGCAAACTTTAAGTGTTAACAAAGCGTCAAAGGTGTATAATGCAAAGTACATCTCAAAATACTGAAAGTGGCATCTTTAATCAAATAGACATCATCTTATTGTAATTTATAGCTATTATATAGCGAGCTTTGTGTTATGTTATGGGTCAAATTTTTCGTCAATCTCACTTACATAAAATGGTAGTTTTTTTGGTAGGAAGACATTTTGCTCTCCTTGCTCTTTGTTCATTTTGTCCACTTTTACTGGATAGCATTAGCAATTCAAATGCATTCGTTCAATGTAATTCTTTCTCGGCTAGTGTTTGTCCATTTCAAGCGCATATGGCGGAATGGGAGGAAGTTACACTCTGAATCTCCAGGTCGGCGGTTCCACTCCGGCAAATTGCAAGGTTTCGCGAAGTGCAGCTCCGCCTCGGTGTATATTTAATCGTTATGAGTCGCTAATTTAATCGTTACTAAATCTAATGTATTTTTTTTTGAAATCCAAACTGTTTTCCTTCAAAATTTTAAGCTTTTCTTTATAATTATACTGTCTCCGATGCATAGCTTCATAGGAAATCCGCTGCAGCTATTTATAGTTTGTCCTGTGGTGGAAGTTGTAAAATAAAAAATGAATAGTTTGTCTGCAGATATGTTCGAGCTGATGCCAGCTTGCTACTAAGCGATTCAAAACTGTATAGGATACAGAAACTGTTTAGAACCCAAATAGGTAAATACCCCAACACCAGGTAACTGTAATATGGAAATTTTAACAGTTCAGATTCTGTTCGTTTTTTCTGCATTAAGCGTTCAGCGATTAGGAACGCTTAACGATTTTCGGGGATTCAGATTGACCGATGACCGAAAGTTTTTCAGCATTCGGTCTCTGCATTTGAGTTTCACGTGGACGGTCGTTCAAGCGTATGACTCTCATGTTTATTGTTAAAAAATGATTTAACATAAGGATAGCCGGCTGCTGTGCAACCAGCGCATAATGTTCCGATCAAAGTAAAGTAATAAATTAAATTCAAATATAAACACAAATTTTAATACAAGCTGTAAAACTGACTGAGTCGTCGGAACAAATACTCATTGCTTGTGCAATGGAGAATTCGAAGCATAATGAAGACACCACTAGATATGCATTAATTATTATAATCTGTTAATTTATCTTTTAGTGAAGTTCATTCTGGAACATCAGTATAAAGATTTCAATGCGCAGGAAGTGTGTGACGCTTTGCAAAGTCTTCGTGTGTCGTTGGACATGTCTAGGTTACTGGTTAGTGAAGATTCGACCAGGAGAACTCAAGGGTCTCACCAGTCAAACTCCAGTCAGCAGAAGAAAGTCTCACATGTTAGGAGTCTCATTAATGTGCTTCATGTGCAACTGGTTCAGAGCAAGGTAGGCATATGATTTGACGGAATTTTGGGTCTCTCTAACCCATCTTTTGCTAAAGAGGGTGAGATTCCTTACTGATTACAAGTTCACATATTCTTAATTGATGTATTAGTTCTTAGACATTTTTATTTTGCTTTATTACTGAACCTGAGCAACTTGCAGATTCATTCGTACTTAGCCTAGAGGTGTCGCCGACTTCTTTGCACCTTAAGATCCGGTGTTCGAATCCGGCCCGTACCTTGTTTTTTTTGCAATTGAAGTTCTTTCCGTTAAAAATTGATTTGTCGGACTTTCGTTTAGCTGCTCAAGTTTTGTCTGCATAACGTGTTTTTCTTGTGCTGTAAACAAGTATCTTGGTAGGTGAAAGTGTTGTTCATTGATGATTCTGGGAAGACTTGAACTTTTTATAAAATCAATTTTTTCCTGCTCAGCTGGTGCCTGCTCAAAGTTGGTCGGATTTGTTCCGTTGCTAATTTAAAATTCAATTGTCTTGCTTGGCATGTTTGCCTAGAGTTCAGGTTTGATTTAAAAAAGGTATTACGGAAGTATATGTTATTTGTTTTTTTTGAGACGCTTTGGAATTTTTTTTTTCACTTGCAAAATTTTATTTTTCTCAAATTTTTGTTCCAATTTTCAAAAACAGGGGTATCAAAAGAAATACCGCCTACCTCCTTGTATGCCTGTAGACTCTTCTAGTCTTTTTTCACTTTCCTACTTGTCTGCATATTTCTTCAAATGTTAGCGCTGCAGGCGAATTTTTGCGCTGAAGGCGAATTTTTGAAAACAGGACAATAGACACTTTTTGGACAATTTTGACAAAAAAAATTGTGTTTTTTTGGCACGCACTCCTTCCTCTAAATTACTATATATTGGTTCTTTTGTTGACCTTTTTTTGGGTTTTTCTCGAGAACTATCCTGCCACATTTGACAGGATAGTTTTCTGTTGTTGAGCTTTTTTTCGGGTTTTTCTCGATAACTATCCTTCCGCATCTGATACCATAGGTTTGATCGAAATAACAGATCGTTTAAAGCCTAGCTGCATGAACAGTCACTCCCAGGTTTTGTAGACAAGTGTTATGGCCTTACAACAAGTCAAAGTTTTGACAGTTTGACCGTTTTTTAGAAACTTCTTGACTTATACTCTAAAACTAGCGTGCCAATTCTCAGGTAAAGTCTTCAATCGAGAAACCGAAACCCGGTTTTAGGATTTTTTTTCTAGTTTAGCGGCCACGCTTTGTTTTTTTTGCAGAAAAAAACGTTATTGATTTCGGTAAGTCACTTTTTTGAACTTAAGACCGTTTTTCAGAAACTTTTTGAATTTTCTTAAAAGCTACCCTATCTGAGATGAAAAATTCAATGAAAAAATGGTTGCGAACATTTTTTTTGCAGAAGCGGTGATTTTAATTTTTTGTAAGAGAAATGTGTTCTTAGGAAAATTATAATAGAGAAACAACTAAGGTTTTGGGCAAAGTCCAATTTTTGAAATAGCGCTTTTCTCCCCCCATCGCTATAACAAAGTCAAAATATCAAACACGTACCTCCGAGCTTTTTTTATCAAGACATTCAAAATTTTGCTTTACCTAGTTTTTTACCAATTTTTTGTTTGTTTGTTGTATCGCAAGCGGTGAAAGCTCCACTGCGCGTCTGTGTGTAAATATTACTCCAAACTCCAAACTGAATAAGCTAAATGTTCGTTCTGAAAACTGAATAAGCTACTCCAAACTGAATAAGCTAAATGTTCGTTCTGAAAAATATTCGATGCTTTAGTAGCACAAATATTTCCAAACTGAAATTCAAAATGGAATCTCAGTTTAGGCGCTTGCCAAGACGTGGTACGAGCTCCTGGAAGATAAGAAATGCAAGTTGATGGAGGTGGACGTGATAGTCCTCGTGATCATGAGCGAACTGGAAATCAGTCCCAAGAAGCTGGATATATTTGTCAAGCAGCATGTCAAAAGTGGACAGCTTAGTGGTAAAACTCATTTTAATTGCAAAACATAACGTATAACTTTTTATTACACTAGCAAACTTTAGGGAGCGTTTGTGTTGTTATACTACGACAATTCTTTTTTTTCTAAATTAAGTCGCAAATATTGGTGCAAATTTTGGGGCATTTTTACAGCTTTTTGATAGCATGTGCTTTGACATTCGAACATTAATAAGTTGGCTCAGTTGATGCATTTTTAATTCATCAAATGAACCGAAAAAAGTGACAACAAAACAACAATGAAAACTCGATTTCAGAAATTTAAGTCAATATATCGCGCAATTTTTTGAAATTCGTAATTTTTACTATTTGGTTTTATGCTTTCCAATTTATTACTTGCAGAGTTAGTGTGAATGCCTTTAGTTTGTTTGTTTGCTTCTGTCTGTTTGTGTTTGGTGCCACTTTTGCCGCATTGCTTTGGCAATTCATAAGCATATGTAGCTGCTTTATTTGTGACCAGTGTTTGCCTATTATTTAGTGTTCATGGCCTTATTTCTACTTTTTTCAATTGCACTTTGTAGAGCTATTTTTTGCCGTGTTCTCACTAATGTTTGCGAAGCACAGCTTCGCCTATGTATAAATTAGTCTAAGGCCTCCTGGTATTTAGTGAATTTTTTTGGTGATCTGCTTTTGAATAATAACCAACTGGAAAATCTGAAGCTAAAAATGTAGATCAAGCCAAGTCGAACTGTTTGCCCAGAGAAAGTTACGTGAATTTTCAAAAACTTAAATGATTGAAATTATAGGCGAATTGATGAGAGATACGTTGACAAAATACAAGGATCTCTGCAAAATATATCATCAATCCCTTCTGGACTTACTAGCCGCACTGGTAGCCCAAAACGACCCTAACATGAACGAATTCGTGATAGCATATGCATCTGCATTGTTCACGTGTGCGGATGTGTTCACGAGACAAGAGATAATTGTGCTACTGGTGACTAATATTTGTACCAGTCACGAGGCTACCAACACAATTTTTGGGTAATGAGTTTGAAGTTTTTTAATTTTTCAATACATTCAACTCTTTAAAAGATGCGAAAATACAAGCTTAGTATCTTTCTACGGCGCACCTTAGAATTCGAAAACCCGTAATCATTCAGTTTACATTAGATATCTACTCGCAGATTTTTTTTATTCAAAAGGATTTTTCTGTTTGGACTCAATTGTCCAAACAGATTTTTTTATTCAAAAGGATTTTTTTGATTGGACTCAATTGTCCGCACTGCTGATGAGAAATAGTGTTTCAGCATCTTGGATTCCGTGATCAGTACCCATATCTCATCTCTGCGGAAATACTCTGAATTCTTCACTGGTCTGTTCGATCAAATAGAGCACTTAGACTTGAAGCAAATCCGGAAACTTTTTTCGCTTCTAACGGCACTGCAGCTCAAAAAATCTTCAAAAGACTCGATTGTCAAGTACGAATTATACGTGGTGATCAAGAAACAACTAAATGTGAAGTCTGAACGAAGTGGAAAAATTGGTGTCACCGCCTCTTTCGCAACCATGTCTCAAATTTGTAAAATTATATCAGTACACGATGATGAAATTTACAACGAACAAATGTCTAATGAAATACTGGAAATTTTGGACTCGGTTACGAAATGTGTCTCATCGAAAAACAAGTTGATGTGTCTGTATTTTGAAGAAGTTTACGAATTGCTCGATTTGTATATGCGGAATAAATGTTTGAAAGTTTTTGTCGAGAGGATCATCCAATCGGTAATGTCATTTGCAAAATTTTTCATCACAAAAAACGTTCAAAACCATCTTGAGAATCACAGTTTTGAATCGATTGCTTGTAACTTTCGGTTCAACTTGATTGATAAGTATCAATTCGCTTTTAATTTACCCAGTATAGTTCAATCTCAGAGAAATAAAGAGGCCTTATCTTTGGCGTTGCCTTCTTTTGTCAAATGCTTGTGGGTTGTGAACTCGAGTCCCGAAGGCCTGAAGAGCGCAAAATCTTTCTCGAAATTAATCGGTGCTCCTTTCATCTTTCCAGATGACAAGTTTGATTCTGATTGCAACAATATGAATTTATCAACCAAGGAATTGAATTTTCTTTGTGATTGTAATTTACTTTTGGTTAATGCGATACGAGAAATGTTAAATTTGACGATGAAGACTAAAAATGTATCAATTTTAGAAGATAAATCTAGTTTCCTCAATGTTTCGTTGCGATTGAAACTACTAGAAGCCACGCAAATTCGCTTCTTAGAATTGCTTAAACTGGCATCAACGTTCAGATTACCGGGGATATGTAATCCGTATTTCTTACCAGAAAAAGCAACCGCTCAAAATATGAAATCTGTGTGTTTGCCTCACCAGGTTTCGCTTGTTCCTAGTAAACAATCCAAAACTGTGAAAACAATTAAGAAAACCCGGAAGCGAAAACTAGTAAACAATGATGCTGATGAAGATGACGAAGGTGATTTTGAAAATGACGCGATGACATTTGCGTCGCGGTCAGAGGTTGGAACACAAGGCCCTAGTGGTGTAAATATTCTGACAGCTCCTTGTTCATCAGGTGCTTGTTTTTTCCAATATCTTTTGTTGTTCATTAGGTTCCACATTCAATATTCTAGGACTAGCTTCAAAAACTAAGAGTTAATGGTTATATCAAAAGTTAAGCTTGGTTAATCATGTCATATTTGGTTCCTATAAACTATCTATGACAGATGTTATTTTTTAGATCAGCTCTCACTAAATGCTGTGTCTCTGTCTGGCACGCCACAGGCACAAACAATCACAAAATCAGCATATGCGGCCTACTTGAGAGAACTGGATTTGAGAGTGTTCCAGCTCCTCAACCCAAAGGTGAACAAATTAACACCAGATGATTATGTCGATCAAGATAGCTTGTTGCCACCAAGGATACTACTTGTCTTGTTAGAGGAGTTCTACTCTAAAATGAAGTTTGCTCTGCTTGGAAGAAATGAAATATCTGCGACGAACAAGGAAAAGTTGATGGGTCTAAATATCAATGGATATTTCAATTTGGTACAAATGAGCAGTGCTGAAATTGGAACTGAGATTCGTGATTTGTTTTCAGTTTTGTTTGATGTCGTGCAAGCAATTAGTGATCATCTGGGTTCGGTTATTCAGGATAACAATGGAATATTAGGTGAATGATACGTCGATCGCGATAACAATCGGCGCTTGCGTTTTGGCACAACAGGGTTTTCCAGCTATATCAGGATTCAAAAAATAATGCGACTCCCCTCAGTCATCAAAAATCTTTGCTCTTCTTTATTGTATATAAACATATCCCCAATCGGAGAACAGGGACTTATCGTAAACATGGTCGTCCCCATTTTTTCTAAAGTTTTTAAAACGATTTTTTTTTGTTCCGGGTGTGAAACTTTGTCTTCGGGTGTATTTGTTTTGTCCATTGAAAAATGGGGAGGAACTTTGTATTGGGGTGTATTTTATTTTTTTTTCTTTTCCATGCAAAATCAAGTACCTTAAATACTCATTGGAATGGATCGATTAATATATTTTTTCTAAGACACCCGAATATACATTTTTAAGACTATGGTCGAAACATTCTGTACTTTTTGCACAGTAACCGGCTGTCCTTGTTACTTTTTTCTTTTTTTTTTCTCCTCAAAAAAGCAGGTAACGCAAAAAACCATAGCAATGCTTTGAGTGAAATATCATATTAAAGCCCTTTAAGCCGTGAATTGAGCGACATTGAAAAATTTCCAAAAAGTTATCCCAAAGTCGAAAAAAAGCGATGTGGATATTTTGAGTTTTAGTCTAAGTTCAAGCAAATAAAGCAATCGAGTAACGTTCGATATATAAAAATTGATCATTTAGGCTAATAAAAACAGAGTTAACTAGAAGGAGCTTCGTTTAGAGCTTCCTTGGCAGAAAAATTAAAAGACTTGAAAACTATTGTGCAAAATTTTTTAAAAGAACTTGTTTATGGTTCGTTTTCTGATGACAGCTATAGTCAAATATGCCTCATTCACTAAATTTATGCGCGTTTGCGTAATTTTCTCATGACAGCTCGCACGAAAGAACGACCCTAATTTGAAGAAAAAAAATTCAAAGATTAAAAAAGTATTGCAAAAAAATCACAGAAAAAATTGTTAATGATTCAATTTCTGAAATTAACTGTTGGTTATGCCTATAGTTGGTTATGCCTAATTCACTAGATTAATACGCGTCCTAGACCTCAAAATATTACTCATACCTCTCATGCCCAAATGTACCACTTGTGAGTTTATCGAATTAATGTTTAGACTGTGATGACATGTCATCGGCTGAAAACATGCAGCTCACTCAATCTTTCTCTGTCATATTTCGAATCATCTATTCAGTCATGAACTGGAAACTTTTCAAAGAGCATGTCAAAACATCAAGAAGCAATGAAGAGATACCACTGACACTGGAAAGCTTCCTTGAAGGAATTTCAAATAGCCATTTGAATGTGCCAGAACTTGTAAAACCAAGCCTTCTGGACTTATTAGATGCAGTAAAACAGTTTTTCATTAACCTAAATGAGTCCGTGACAAATATCACAACAGCTTACGAGTTATGTTTACTTTGTAATTTGATAGCCAAAATAGCGGATGAGTCAGTATCAATGAACAACTCAAGAACAGCTTTGATTTCAGTTGATCAGTTTGAACCTGTGGCTGATCTTGCATGTCTGTTTTTAAAACGAAAATGGACCGATTGTTTTGGAGACGCCTCTGATTCGCAAAATGAACAAATTGGACAAATTTCAGCGTCCTCCTACAACACAGCGATCTCTCAGCTGTCAAATTTCTACTTCTTTGGAAGTCAGAACCCGTTTCGATGTATTGAACGAACTATAAAAATGATCGCAAAAGGAGTGATTTCAGACCTGAATGAAAGTAGTCTGGCTTCAACTTGTGCCGTTGCTCCTTTTCCAGCTGTTACAACTGAAAGTTTTCCTGCTTTCTACAGGTCAGGCTGGAGCATGCTGATATATTTCTCGAAGAAAATCCCTCTCATAAATAAAAAGGATTGTCTGAAAAAAGACCCGCAATCGGTAAACTGGAGAAATTTTTGCATGCAAGAATGGTTCAAATGTGTGAAATGCCTTTATACATGTCTCAAAGTAGCAAAATTGATGAAATCAAGGTTAATTTTTAACCCAATTATTCGGGGTTCAATTGCTCTAATGGAGCAGTTCGTCAAAAAGGCAATACCGTTGTTGGAAATAACATTCAAGCTTTATGTTACTGATGTCAAAGCGATGTTAAGAAACATACGAGAGTGTTCACAAGACTTGCAAATCGTTTGTACGCATTCGAAAGTAACAAATGATTTGTCTCTGATGCGAAATGTACCAAAGTTGCGGAAAAACTTGGAAAGTTTGCTGTATAATATAAAATCAGTTTTCGCATACCATGGTTGTCTAGATCAGTTTTCAATGGTACCACTGAGAAATAGAGCTTTGAATGGGGAGGAAATTTTTTCCCAGCGAGATTTACCAAATGAAAGCGTGACGTCAATTGATGAAAATGAACTCAGTGACGATGATGGAAACGCAAGTGACAGTAATGATGTCACAAATTCAAGAAACGAAATGCTGTCATCGCAAGTTTTACGAGAAAGAAACAATCACTCGGATGCGTCGTCGGATGCGGATTCGTTTACCTCTTCGAACAATCAAAATAGAGCAGGAACTCGACAACTGGTTTTGTCGGAAGCGGAATCTGAAGTTGAAGATGCCGACCGAGTGTCAGTCACTGCTGGTAATGCATCAGTTTCAGATGATTCAAACCAGAATGTTTCGGAGAATAGAAGCTCTAACCGAAAAAGAAAGTCAACTAAAGTCGAAACTAGCCAAAGTGACGACGATGATGAAGGTTCTGAAGACAGCAGTGATTGTGAAGCTAGCAATGCCTGTGCTAGTCCATCTTACTAGCTTTGAGTTTTGAGTGACATGTTTCCAAATTGAAAATTCACGTGCTAATAATTTTTTGTTGCTAAATTAATAAATGGCTGAGCTCTGAAACTAATAAATTTTAAATTAATTTAATAATTTGTTATTTGTGTTGCTGTGTAACTTTGAAAATTTGATTATTGATTTTTTTTTGTCATAAATGTTTCCTTTTAAGATTTTTTTTGCCTGAAGGCGTTGAAAGAAGCTTCAAAAATTAATAATCCAGGAAGAAAATTAAGTATTTATGCCTTATTTCTGTATTATAAGCATGCTCGCTCGCATTATTCGCTCGAATTTAGATAAAAAAATATACGATTTTACGATTTTTTTCGTATAACCGTTTTTCTCTTCACACCGGAAAATTTTGAATAATGTTGGAATTGCGACTAAAAGGGCTTAATTATGATATACCACTGGAATCCTTCCGACGAATATTTGTGCTTCCTGAGTTTGCGCGGTTAAACTAAAGATAGAAAACAAAGTTTTGAAAAATCTTTTGTTTCAGAACTTTTTTTTAATTGCTTGCGCGTTTGTGGTAAGTAAAAACACAAGCAAACGCTTGTTATAATTAGTTCTGATTTATTCCAACCGAAGATTGTTTCCTGTGATATCTTTATCCAGTTTCAGTATCAGTTTATTGATCATATTTACACCAGCGATCTTGCGAGTATAATGTATTTAAAGTATGTTAGTATGAAACTTTGTTTTTTTTTAAACCTAACTCGCTCATTTGGTGGCACTTTTGCTGTAATAACGAGCTGTAGCATTCGAAATTTCACAGCATCTGTTCTCTGCTTTGTTTGTGGCTACTGTTTGCGAATTGTTAAGCGTCCGTGGCTAAGTGGTTAGTATGCGAGGCTGAAAATCTCTTGGTCGCTGGATCGAACCCGACACGTAGATGCATTTTTGCTAATTCGAGGTTTAGTTCTACTTTTTCTTCTTTCTTTTGATAGAGCAGATTTTTTTCGTGTTCTCGCTAGTGTTTGCCAAGCGCAACTTTGCATCTGTGTCTATGGTCTTTGCCTCTGTTTCCTTAGGATTCGAAAATGTGTTTGATTCGCTTTATTAAAACACAATCATTGCTGCCTGTTTTTTGTCCGACTCTTTGAAAAACAGGGAGGAACTTTGTATTCGGATATTTTAGCTTTTTTCCCAGCAAAATCAGCTACCACAACTAAACATCTGAATTGGTTGAGTGATAGATCATACTCTAAAGCTTTTTGATTAGTGATTCGAGCGGCATTAAAATAATTTAAAAAATCTCCTTCGAGAAAAACAAGTTTGAATAAAGCGAGCAAGCAGCAGGCTTACAATAGGTTATTTTGATTGCTCAAAAGCTTACAATATTTTAATTTAAGCCGTAAAAACTTAATATTGAATATTAATCGAGTTATTAATCTTACTTTTTTTGTTTTCTAGTAATTTTTCTACAAAAATTGGTTTTCAATTTGCTTATTTTATTATGACTGTCGAATATACCTTAGCTTGAGTTTTTCGTTCACATTTTTTATCACACCAGGCTGAAAAAACGACATTAGTTTGAAAAAGATTTTTAGTTGTATTGTTTAAGACTGTGGTAGGAACATTCTGTGCTACTTGCACAGTAACCGGCTATACTTGTTTTCAATCGTGTTTGAATTTTAGTGATAGTCAAGCTATTCGGCGCAGTTGCCAAGATACAATACTCCTACAATAGAGGTCCGAGGTTTGAATCTCGTTTATGTATATTGATTTTTTTTGTAACACGTGGTGTTATATTATCAAATCAATTGTTTCAAAGCTTGTTTCCTTCCAGGTCCTTTTTGCATTTTCTTACATCTTTCGAGCTTTTTGGTTGGGTTGTTTTCTGTTTTTCTCTTGAATCTGTTACCACAGAGAATAGTTGCTGAATATTGAGTGTGGTATCATATAAAAACCGTTTTAGACGTGTTTCACATTTCAGTATATATTGGCATCTGAGTTAGGACTTAGGCGGCCTTATATAATACTTATCTCGTTATATTTATCAAATCAAAATGAAGACTTATAGGTTTTAGCTTAACAATTAGTTTTTACACAAGCAAAGCTTGTGTTATAGTATGAACTATCTGTTTTTCCAACCTAAGTCGCAAATATTGTTGCGGTAAAATTTGTTCATTTTGAAAGTGTTCTCTTTGATCAATAACCGGCTATTAAGTACAGCAAATGATAAAGATATTAACACATACGACTATATTTTCGTATACCAATTGAAATGGTTCCGCTCTATAAATTGAGGCATGTTAGTTGGTAATTTTTTTTTTCAAAATGACTGGTACTGCTAATGCGTCATAATTGGCTTGCGGCACTTAGCAATTATGTAGGCTCATAATTGGCGTCCGTCACTTGAGAAATTTTGTAGGCTCAAAGCTTAACTCATTCAGTTTTCAAGTTATCCCAGTTGCGTTATCGGTCTTTTTTTGTGTATGCGAAGTGAGTGCAACTTCGCCTCTGTGTACAAATCTATCTATACGTTTTTTAACTGACGTTTCACTTGACACATGTTTACACTTTTTTGTACACTTCTACACTATGTCAAATAAACACTGAAACGAATGCGAAATAAGAAATAAAGTGTACAAGTGTACAAAAAGTGTAAACATGCGTCAAGTGAAACGCCAATTAAAAAACGTATAGATAGATTTGTAAAACTTATTGTACCTAATTACAATTAATGAAATAGTGTACATCGATGCATGGGCCCAAATTAAATTTACTGTTGCAATAATTATGGTTGTTTTTTGGTAATTTTTTGGAAGTTTTTAGTTATTTTCACGTTCAACTATCCATTTGAAGCACGTAGGTGTAGCCATGTGCAGGCTCTTTTGATTCCTTCAGTCTACTCTGTGATTTTTCTGCTTTTGATGTTTTTTATCATTCTTCGTCTTTTCTTATCGAGTAATTTTTAGCTGCTCGATAAGCAAGGCTGTTGCAAAGGGGTACCAAGTTTTTTCCATCAAATACATTGTTCCCAGGATTACTAGAATTAGTGGCCATCTCAAGTCTGCACTTCCGTTAACTGAAAAATTAAATTTTGAACATATCTGCTTGTTAAATGCACGTTTTGTTTGAAATATATTTTTTATGACGGTTGTAATTTGCCGACTCCGATTTCAGTATATCAATTTTTTTAAGTTTTTTTCTTTATCTGGATTGAAAGGTTTCGGTTTTTATCATATCGGTTTAGAGGCCTCATGATATTTGTGTTTTATGTTGGTTGTAAATTGTTACTTGATTTGTTCTATTTCTTGTTACCTCATTTTTTGTTTTGTTCGATGTTTTGTATTGGCTTAGTCGACTCATATTTCCTCGTTTGATATTCAATCGAGTTTTCTTTGCGCTTCTGTTTGAGTAACTTATAATTCCGAGCTTCAAATTGTGTGATAGCTGAAAGGTTTTTTGACAAAAATTTTTTCGGCCCAGCTGGTGTCAGCTTAAGTTTTGTCGGCTTAGTTATCTTGGTTAATTTTGATGCTAATTATCTTCAATTTGCTTATTTTATTATGACTGTCGAATATACCTTAGCTTGAGTTTTTCGTTCACATTTTTTATCACACCAGGCTGAAAAAACGACATTAGTTTGAAAAAGATTTTTAGTTGTATTGTTTAAGACTGTGGTAGGAACATTCTGTGCTACTTGCACAGTAACCGGCTATACTTGTTTTCAATCGTGTTTGAATTTTAGTGATAGTCAAGCTATTCGGCGCAGTTGCCAAGATACAATACTCCTACAATAGAGGTCCGAGGTTTGAATCTCGTTTATGTATATTGATTTTTTTTGTAACACGTGGTGTTATATTATCAAATCAATTGTTTCAAAGCTTGTTTCCTTCCAGGTCCTTTTTGCATTTTCTTACATCTTTCGAGCTTTTTGGTTGGGTTGTTTTCTGTTTTTCTCTTGAATCTGTTACCACAGAGAATAGTTGCTGAATATTGAGTGTGGTATCATATAAAAACCGTTTTAGACGTGTTTCACATTTCAGTATATATTGGCATCTGAGTTAGGACTTAGGCGGCCTTATATAATACTTATCTCGTTATATTTATCAAATCAAAATGAAGACTTATAGGTTTTAGCTTAACAATTAGTTTTTACACAAGCAAAGCTTGTGTTATAGTATGAACTATCTGTTTTTCCAACCTAAGTCGCAAATATTGTTGCGGTAAAATTTGTTCATTTTGAAAGTGTTCTCTTTGATCAATAACCGGCTATTAAGTACAGCAAATGATAAAGATATTAACACATACGACTATATTTTCGTATACCAATTGAAATGGTTCCGCTCTATAAATTGAGGCATGTTAGTTGGTAATTTTTTTTTTCAAAATGACTGGTACTGCTAATGCGTCATAATTGGCTTGCGGCACTTAGCAATTATGTAGGCTCATAATTGGCGTCCGTCACTTGAGAAATTTTGTAGGCTCAAAGCTTAACTCATTCAGTTTTCAAGTTATCCCAGTTGCGTTATCGGTCTTTTTTTGTGTATGCGAAGTGAGTGCAACTTCGCCTCTGTGTACAAATCTATCTATACGTTTTTTAACTGACGTTTCACTTGACACATGTTTACACTTTTTTGTACACTTCTACACTATGTCAAATAAACACTGAAACGAATGCGAAATAAGAAATAAAGTGTACAAGTGTACAAAAAGTGTAAACATGCGTCAAGTGAAACGCCAATTAAAAACGTATAGATAGATTTGTAAAACTTATTGTACCTAATTACAATTAATGAAATAGTGTACATCGATGCATGGGCCCAAATTAAATTTACTGTTGCAATAATTATGGTTGTTTTTTGGTAATTTTTTGGAAGTTTTTAGTTATTTTCACGTTCAACTATCCATTTGAAGCACGTAGGTGTAGCCATGTGCAGGCTCTTTTGATTCCTTCAGTCTACTCTGTGATTTTTCTGCTTTTGATGTTTTTTATCATTCTTCGTCTTTTCTTATCGAGTAATTTTTAGCTGCTCGATAAGCAAGGCTGTTGCAAAGGGGTACCAAGTTTTTTCCATCAAATACATTGTTCCCAGGATTACTAGAATTAGTGGCCATCTCAAGTCTGCACTTCCGTTAACTGAAAAATTAAATTTTGAACATATCTGCTTGTTAAATGCACGTTTTGTTTGAAATATATTTTTTATGACGGTTGTAATTTGCCGACTCCGATTTCAGTATATCAATTTTTTTAAGTTTTTTTCTTTATCTGGATTGAAAGGTTTCGGTTTTTATCATATCGGTTTAGAGGCCTCATGATATTTGTGTTTTATGTTGGTTGTAAATTGTTACTTGATTTGTTCTATTTCTTGTTACCTCATTTTTTGTTTTGTTCGATGTTTTGTATTGGCTTAGTCGACTCATATTTCCTCGTTTGATATTCAATCGAGTTTTCTTTGCGCTTCTGTTTGAGTAACTTATAATTCCGAGCTTCAAATTGTGTGATAGCTGAAAGGTTTTTTTGGCAAAATTTTTTTCGGCCCAGCTGGTGTCAGCTTAAGTTTTGTCGGCTTAGTTATCTTGGTTAATTTTGATGCTAATTATCTTTGTTTATTACTTTTGGTGGTTTGTTAATTTAGTTTCGAAACTATTTCTACATGGCAGTTGTCTGAATTTGCGTGTTTTTTAAAAATCTTGATGAACATATGCAACTCGAGACAAGTGGTTCTCTTTTTACACTATCGAGCTATGACGAGCTTTTTGATATCTGTCCTGTTCGAAATTTTTTTCTTCAATCCTTCACCTGACCAATATGCTCCAGCTGTGATGACCATGCGATCGCTGCAGTCTTTTAGTCCTACCTATTCTACTGCTAGTTATCGACTGGTTCCCTTAACAGCAACAGATCAAGGTACTTAACTGTAGCTATAACATCGGCACGCGGAACTCGATTTATTAAAATTTCACTTTTTCATAACGGTTAATATAACGGGCGCAATATAAACTAGTTTTTTTCTACTTGCTCATCAACCGGCGATCCTTGCTACAAGAAAACAAAAGTATTCGGTTTCAATTTAGAGAGCCTTTTAATGTTTTTGCTTCATTTTCTACATATCTTGGAAAAACATATTTGAAATCAGATTTAAATAACAGGCTTGACGTGGTAGTTAATGACCAGTTGAAGCTAATTAAATATTTCTGATGTGAAGAAAAGTGTCAACCAAATAAAGATTAGAAATGACTGTTATCATTTTCCCTCGTTTAATCCACTTGAACACTTTCTCTTAAACATATCAGAAGTTACTTCTTAAACATAAATTTATTCTCCATTTTATCAACGCATATACAACTCCTCGATTATAGCCTCTCGAAACTTGTCTACTTTTCACTCGCATGATGGACTACGAACTAGGAAACAATGCCAATTTCGAATCGTCTGGACTGGATCTCGATCAAGCATTTGGAACAACTCCAGAACCCGAAAGCAAAAAATTGACACTTGAAAGAACGTTTAAGGATCTGGACTCTTCTGTTTTAAACGCCAAAGACCCCGGTGATTGGCAGTTTGATATTTTAAGTCCTCTCGAGCAGGGAGTTCTAGAACTTGACCTTGAACACGAACAGGAAAGCGCCCAATCTGAGCTTATGGTGGTTCCCGAAGAACAACAAAACTTCAGAAAAACTGGAAATTGCAGTGAATGGCTGTTGGAATCCTTTTCGCGAATGGAAACATGGCATCCATTTTCAGGTAAACTTTTCGGCTCTTTCCTAATACATTTTTTTTTTCATTTCGTGTGATTGGATGAAAATGATAATCTAAAATTATATTCCGAATGTGCACTTTTTGTTCACCCATAATAATGTCTCGTTTTGAAAATTGAACCTGAGGGAAGTGCGAGAAAGATACGATCCATTTGTGTCGTAGATAGTTGCTATGAGCAACTTTCAATATCACGAGTAAGTTGTTTCAGGGATAACGTCATACGAACACAACTCAACTTTTCCTGACATCAATTCGGTCCTATGTAGTGAGAGCTATATTGCCAGTCATGCATCTGAACATCACAATTCACTTGACTGGGATACTTGGTCGACGTTTACAGATAAAGACTTCCAGTCTGTAAATAGTGGTGGCAATTCCGCAATCAGCGAAAGCACAGAAGGGGCAGGTAGGAGTAGTTTTTCTTTTAGAAATAACTCAATTCTTTAAAAATGGTTAAAACTTTTAAATAGCGCTGGCGTAAAATAAGCTGAAGAAACTTGCCGTTCAAATGGTTATTATAGACTTCCGATGAGCCACGCTTGTTGCATCCGCTGTCAGTAGCGGATTTAGGGGGTTTGGACTCCCAATTTCAGAGATTTGACCCCATTACCCTTAAACGGACATTTGGATCAAATTTACATCCATTTTTGTTCAACCCTGAAAAGTCTGGGCGTCACAATATACTATTTCTAAGGCCAGCGAATGCCAAAAGAAGCTAATGTTTGAGAAAACGACCGAAGCGTCTTTTTGGCCTGTTTTCAGAAAGAAAGAAAAAAAGAAATTTATTTCTCATTGTTAATGGTAAATATGCCTATAACGAGAATTTCAACATGAAGCACCAGAAACAGTGAGGGAACAGTTAACCAACCCAATTGGGTTACAGAGCACTGCCCGTTTTATCAAATGAAATACGAAATTGAGATCTTCAAAGAAAAGGAAAAATATATAAATCTGAAAACATAAAAGAAAATATTGGAAAAAAATACTAAAGTTTGAGTAAACATAAAGCAGCAGATTTATGACAATGGCTTGACAGGTTAATGACATAAGGTACAAGCTCTGCATCAATGTTTAAAATGATTGTTCAATCTTTGTCGGTATAAAACCAAATTAAATAAGAAAATAGTTCAAATTCATCAATCATAATTTCTGAAACGCGCTAGTCCTAGGCGCCACTATTCAGTTTCAAAAACAAAACTTGAACTTGTTCACTCTACAGTTACTGCTTCTACTAACTGTGTCCCATCATTTGAAGCTTCTCTATCATGAGAACTGATGGGGGGCTAAACGGTCAGTAAACACGTAACTGAGCCCATGCGGCAGTAACCAGCGAACAAGCTAAGTGTGGTTTTCAAAACGCCGAAGACGCATTGAAAAAGCATATACAATTATATTTGGAACAAACTTGAAACATGCAGCCACTCAACACATGTCATTCTCCGGCATTATCCTTGCATACAAAAAATGTCAACAAAAAACCAATTTGGTTAGCTCTTCATTGCTTAATATAAACAAATCACGAATTTCTTGGGCAATGCGTTGAATATCTGAATTGAAAACTTGATCAAAAATTTTTGGAATTAAAGAATTTCGTCTAAGTATATTTAAAAAAGCTCAGCACCAATGTAACTAATTGAAGCTCTTTGAACTTTGCCTTTGGAATTAGGAGTTTTTATTAGATTAAAAGTTGACCTTCTGGTCATATACGACGGTTTATCAAATACAAAAAGCTCATTTAAAAAAGTTTCAGAGTGTAGTCCTGCAATTGATTGCAAAACAAATTTGAGGGGTTGATACTTATGCATTTTGTGAACTGTTAAAAACTTTTCATCATTAAAAACTTGTCGAATGCTTTCATATTTTCTTTTGAAAATAATCAATCGATTTTGTTTATTTTGGATCAAAAAGGGGTAAAAGGTTTGTGTAGGATGTGCAACCATACACCAATATTCCATATTGCAAATGCAAATTGGGCTTGATATTAGAGCCATAATAATCTATCATTACAGTTTTAAGGAACATAATTACGCATTTTCGAAACAATGCCACATTGTTTTCTAAGCTTAGGTCGTATGAAATTATTGTGAATTAAATGACAATTAAGCATCTACATAAATACCAAGATATTTGCATGACCCTTCAATTTTCAAAGGTATGCGATTAATAAACAATTGCTGGTTGGAAGCACTATAAGGAGATACACTAACTTGTACCATTTTGTCCATATTTAGAGATAATTTATTCAAAATGAACCATTGATTTATAGCTTCTAAGTCTTGATTGAAGCTCTCAACCGAGCAGTTTTGTCCAGTGATGTTTGTGTCTTGAGCAAATAGAAAAACTTCGCTAAATTTGCAGACTTTTGGAACGTCGATATATATAAGAAACAAAAGAAGCCCCAAAATGGATCCCGTTGGGACACCACATTCCAGATTTTGCCGTTGATCGCGTTTCATCAATTTGGACACCTGTTTGCGGTGCTTCAAGTAAATTTTAAATCAAAATAAACTGTTTCCACTGACACCATAAATTTCTAACTTATGAAAAAAGTCTCGTGATCCAGTGTGTCAAAAGCTTTTTTTAAATCAAGAAAAACTGTTCTCTTGGGTGATTTAGTTTAATCTAAGCGACCTTTCTCTCTTACTTCGGCAATAGTACTGTGTTTTTTTCGGAAACCAAATTGTTTGATATAAATTAGTGAGTTTCTTTCAAACATTGCTTTGCTGATTAAACAATTTTAGCTACTTTTGCAAAAAAAAAGGTAGAAAAACTGATGTTGTTCAAACAAACAAAAATGACTGCTTTGTCAAAGCCCAATCTGCAATTATCGAAAAATTTAGAAGCTTTGTGTTATTTTCGCTCTGCAAGATAGATGGGTCGCTAGAGAATTAATCATAATCATTGTGTTCATCTCCCGCTATAAGCTATAGCGCTAAATCTAAAAAAAGTTAACTGTTCTGTTTTGCTCTTGACGTTTTCTATGCACGGTTTTGCTGATAATTAAATGGTCTGATTGAACGATGTCTTCATTTCAGGTCCAGATCCGAACGTTTTCATACTGATGCCCAACTTGCCGTTCTTCAATCCAGAACTCGTGCGCTTTGTCAGGGGTCCATTGCCACCTGGAATGCAATTAGTCACCAAAGAGTGGAAACTTCTCCCAGCCTCACTCAAATTTCTTCCTGATTCAAACTGCTGCAATAATAATGAATTTTAAAATTTCATACAAAATTTTGATTCATTGTTGCCCAAAAGTGAATTGTAATCCAAAGCTATAGTAACGGAAAACCTTACTCGTATGATAGAAAAAGTTGCTCCACCCCCCAAGAAAATTAAACCGTATTGTGATCAGAGCAATTCTCGGTAGCTAATAGTTGATTTAACTCCTCATTTATACCTAAATCCAGTTTTTATTTTTCTGATAACTACAAATTAAGACGAGGTTGCAAGTTTGTCGCGAATTATCTTATACTTTGATATTTGCTTATGGTATTTTTTAAGCAATTGCGAACACATTTATAGCTTATTTTCAACTCGTTCCTATTGCAGCAAAAATTTAAGTTTGATTTGACCCCGACAAAGGTGTATAATCAGTCTGCTCAATTTTTCAACAATGCAAATGTGAATTCAAATTTAAATGAAATTTGAAGCTAAGCGTGAAATTCGAAATGGTGTGACGTTCAGCATCATAAGTATATTTGTAGAACCATATTGATAGGGTAAACAATCAGGGGCGGATTTAGGGGGGACGCCTTCCCTTCATGGATTCGACCCCCTGCCGACCCGGGGGGTCCGCCCATTGTATTATTTTGAGATATCCATTTTTGGCTGACAGACCCTTAATTTTTAACGGCGCTTTCGGCGCCAATATATACTAGTTTTAAGAAAGGGGGAGCGCGCGCCGAAAAAAAGCGATTTTTTGGTCAAAGTTTTCCAAAAAATGCCCAAACCCGCCTTTTTTGGCCTGTTTTTTCAAAATTTTGCCTGCTGCGCAGAAAATTTGACCAATACAAGGTTTTTTAGTGCTTTGGGAGAGCTCGAAAAACCAATTTGGACGACTTAAAACAAAGTTCGACAAAATGTTTGAAGATTTGAGGTCTATGAAGCAGTCGATCTGTTTTGCGGGGGTTCCCGACGTAAGTAGTGAAGACAGTAAAAAAGTCAATTTTATTTTCTTTGAACTTGTGGTTATGACATTCTGAACTAGTTCCAAAGATCGTGGTTAGTCCTAGTACGCTTGCGATTGCAAGTATGTTGCAATTGGCTACTAGAATTTTCCCCAGTAAATAACCTGTAGTCTTCTCTGTTGTAAATACTGCTACAAGCAAATTTTAGCATGTTAATGTTGTACATATTCGTCCTATTTTCCCTTATGAAGAGCAAGAAGAAGCAACCGATTACAAGAGTTTTCCCCGTAAACAATCTTGTTCGTGCACGTGAAAATGCTACTCGTGTTTCAACTTCGAATTCAATCAATCGTCAAGTGTGTCTGGTGTAGAGTAAACACACTTGCTTGAGACGACAAAGGCTTGAGGTTCGAATCCGGCCAGGACCTGTTTTTTTTGCAACCTAGATTTTTCGTTTTCGGACTATGGTCCGTCTGTTTATTTTGGTCGTTTGATTTATTGTAGCTCGACTCTTTTTGTTGTTTCATTTTTCTTCTAAATTTCTGGATGCTTTTTGTAAAGCCTCATTGTTCGAGGTAGTTGAGTTGCAAGATTTTGATTCCAACAGTTTTTAAATTTGATTCCAATTGAAAGTTCTGCAATTTGTGATTTTTTTTCCGAATAAGTGGTTTAGGCTTTTGTTATTTCAGCTAAGTCAAATTAAATTGCTTAGTTTCGAGGGTAAATATTATTGTTATGTTTTCATGTGGTTCTTTCAAACTGTAGAGCTCGTTTGTTTCATGACAGCAGCAGTTTTGATTTCGGCTCAAATTCTTCTCTGATTCATTCTGTTCTCCTTTCACATCCTATCTTTATGATCGAACCTTAACATCTTCCAGGTTCCTCCCCACTTGACCTAGGGTAATGCTGTTGCCTTTGCAGCACCCTATGGTCTCGATTACGATCAAATTTTGACTGCTCAAATATTTTAGGCTTTCTTTCCTTGTAAGTTTTTTTCCGTTGCCAATTTACTATGAATTTCTATCAAAAGTATTGAGAAATTTTGGAAGACCTAGTTTTTGCCATAAATTTTTGAATTTTTCTAATGTTTGTGCTGCATCGAATCGCCAATAGTTGAAGCTACGATTCGTATGTGCAAAGTTGACAGCTCGGAGACCTTCCACTAGGCTGAAAATTTTCGGTTTATAAAGTAGTGGCATTATTTTGCGCCGTTGGATGAGCGTTATGTAAGTTTTTGAGATTAACAAATTTTGTTTTTTAAAATTTCAAAGTTCAGTTTAAAGTTGAAGTTCTTGAAGGCCGCCCCTCCCCAAAAACCACCAGAATTCTGTTTTAAAAGTCGATGAACGCAGTTCAGACTCTTATATAGGTCGTGGTGATTTTTTCAGGAAAAGACGTAAACTTTGTTCAGTATCAAATTTACTTTTTCGCTGTTTGACTTTTGATTTTTTTTTCAAGTTCATTTCATTTCCTTTGTTAGGAGCCAAAATTTGATCCAATTTTCTAAAAGTTTGTTAATTTTAGAAAAAAAATTGTAGTATGAAATCAAATGCTTCAAAATTCTTTACTTTTTCTTCGGATTTTGAAAGTTGAGATTGTTTTGGGCAGTGTTTTTTTTTGTTTACTTTGTTGGCTATGTTTTTTAAATGGAATCGTTTTTTTAAATAGAAACGTTTTTTTTGCGCAAATTGGGACCAGCTCTGATAAACATAATGGTAAAACTGAGCCGAAAATTTTCTTGAACTACGCATAGAACTTGGCATAGAATTTTTGATATTCAATCCAGGCGACCTTTTGTTGCTTGTAAAAAACAGTTTTTTGATTTGAGGTCTATGAAGCAGTCGATCTGTTTTGCGGGGGTTCCCGACGTAAGTAGTGAAGACAGTAAAAAAGTCAATTTTATTGTCTTTGAACTTGTGGTTATGACATTCTGAACTAGTTCCAAAGATCGTGGTTAGTCCTAGTACGCTTGCGATTGCAAGTATGTTGCAATTGGCTACTAGAATTTTCCCCAGTAAATAACCTGTAGTCTTCTCTGTTGTAAATACTGCTACAAGCAAATTTTAGCATGTTAATGTTTTACATATTCGTCCTATTTTCCCTTATGAAGAGCAAGAAGAAGCAACCGATTACAAGAGTTTTCCCCGTAAACAATCTTGTTCGTGCACGTGAAAATGCTACTCGTGTTTCAACTTCGAATTCAATCAATCGTCAAGTGTGTCTGGTGTAGAGTAAACACACTTGCTTGAGACGACAAAGGCTTGAGGTTCGAATCCGGCCAGGACCTGTTTTTTTTGCAACCTAGATTTTTCGTTTTCGGACTATGGTCCGTCTGTTTATTTTGGTCGTTTGATTTATTGTAGCTCGACTCTTTTTGTTGTTTCATTTTTCTTCTAAATTTCTGGATGCTTTTTGTAAAGCCTCATTGTTCGAGGTAGTTGAGTTGCAAGATTTTGATTCCAACAGTTTTTAAATTTGATTCCAATTGAAAGTTCTGCAATTTATGATTTTTTTCCGAATAAGTGGTTTAGGCTTTTGTTATTTCAGCTAAGTCAATTTAAATTGCTTAGTTTCGAGGGTAAATATTATTGTTATGTTTTCATGTGGTTCTTTGAAACTTTATAGCTCACTTATTTCATGACAACAGCAGTTTCGTTTTCGGCTCGAATTCTTTTCTTCATACTACTCTCTTTTCACATCAAATCTTTATGATCGAAACTTGACTTCTTCCAGGTTCCTCCCCGCTTTACCTAGTATAACGCAGTTGCCTTTGCAGCACCCTAAGGTCTCGATTACGATCAAGCTTTGACTGCTCAAAAATTGTAGACTTTGTTTCCTCGTATGTTTTTTCCGTTGCCAATTTAATATTCAAGTTTCTGACATTTTCGTTTTTAATGAATTTTTATCTAAAATATCGAGAAATTTTAAATTTTGGTAGACCTAGTTTTTGCCATAATTTTTCGAAGTTTTCTAATGTTTGTGTTGCATCGAATCGCAAGTAGTTGAAACTACGATTCGTCTATGTGTAAAATTTACAGTTCGTAGAGTTTCCACTCGGCTGAAATTTAGTTCCGTTTGAAGTTGGAAGTTCTTGAAAGCGGCCCCTCCCCAAAAACCACACGAACTTTTTTAAGAGTGGATGCACGTAGCTCAGACTCTTATATAGGTCGTGATGATTTTTTTCAAGAAAAACCGTAAAATTTGTTCAGTATCAAATTTACTTTTTCGCTGTTGGACTTTTGATTTCTTTTAAGTTCATTTCCTTTGTTAGGAAGAAAAATTTGATCCAATTTTGAACAGTTTTGTTGATTTTTTTTCCAAAATTTCAATCGTTAATTGTTGTATCAATTGAAATAGCTCTAAACTCATTTTTTTTTCTTAGAAATTTGAAAATTGAGATTGTTTTGGTCAGTATTTTTTTTTCTGTTTACTCTGTCTGTTGGCTGTTTTTTTTTTTAATGAAAACGTTTTTCTTGCGCAAAGTTGGACCAGCTCTGATAAATATAATGGTAAAATTGAACCAAAAGTGTTTTTGAACTACGCGCAGAACTTGGCATAGAATTTTAGTTATTTAATCTAGGCGACTTTTTGATGCTAAAAAAAACAGTTTTTGATTTGAGGTATATGAAGAAGTCGATTGGTTTTGCGGGGGTTCCCGTCGTTTAAGTAGTGCAGAAGCTGTAAAAGTCAGTTGTCTTGTCTTTAAACTTGTGGTTATGACTTCCTGGACTAGTTCCAAAGTTACTTGTTAGTCTTGTTACGTTTGCGATAGAGAAGCGTTATCAAACTAGAATATAGACTTTTTCGGGTTAACAACTTGTTTAACAGACTTTTTTGTGTCTTGGTTTATAAATATTTCAAATTTTGTAGTGTCTTCTGTACAATTAGCCGGAGGGTAACGAATAAACAGGGGACAGCAAAGGTCGTGGGTTCGAATCTGACCAGGAACTGTTTTTTTTTTCAAACTGGAAATCCAGCTTTCCAAAAAAGTGTCGGCCTATAGTTCGTCTGCTTATGTTTTGTCGGCTTAGTTGCCACATCGCATAAATGTTTTTAACGCAATTTTCAATGTAGTTGCTTCAGTGTTTTGAGTTACTCCTGCAATTTTTAATTTTACTGGCCGTTTCTTCGTACGTTTTGATTTTTTTCCCGCTTTTTCGCTCAAAAACTCTGTTCGGCTTAAACTGGTTCGTCTTATGTTTAATCGGCGTAGTGGCCTAATTTGGGTTTTTTTTTTCAAAGGAAGCATAAGTTTTATGTTTCATCCCGGATCGCACGAAATGCTTGAATTCTTGGATTAGTTCAAAGTTTTTCATATTCGTTCTATTTTCCCTTATGAAGAGCAAGAAGAAGCAACCGATTACAAGAGTTTTCCCCGTAAACAATCTTGTTCGTGCACGTGAAAATGCTACTCGTGTTTCAACTTCGAATTCAATCAATCGTCAAGTGTGTCTGGTGTAGAGTAAACACACTTGCTTGAGACGACAAAGGCTTGAGGTTCGAATCCGGCCAGGACCTGTTTTTTTTGCAACCTAGATTTTTCGTTTTCGGACTATGGTCCGTCTGTTTATTTTGGTCGTTTGATTTTTTGTAGCTCGACTCTTTTTGTTGTTTCATTTTTCTTCTAAATTTCTGGATGCTTTTTGTAAAGCCTCATTGTTCGAGGTAGTTGAGTTGCAAGATTTTGATTCCAACAGTTTTTAAATTTGATTCCAATTGAAAGTTCTGCAATTTGTGATTTTTTTCCGAATAAGTGGTTTAGGCTTTTGTTATTTCAGCTAAGTCAAATTAAATTGCTTAGTTTCGAGGGTAAATATTATTGTTATGTTTTCATGTGGTTCTTTGAAACTTTATAGCTCACTTATTTCATGACAACAGCAGTTTCGTTTTCGGCTCGAATTCTTTTCTTCATACTACTCTCTTTTCACATCAAATCTTTATGATCGAAACTTGACTTCTTCCAGGTTCCTCCCCGCTTTACCTAGTATAACGCCGTTGCCTTTGCAGCACCCTAAGGTCTCAATTACGATCAAGCTTTGACTGCTCAAAAATTGTAGACTTTGTTTCCTCGTATGTTTTTTCCGTTGCCAATTTAATATTCAAGTTTCTGACATTTTCGTTTTTAATGAATTTTTATCTAAAATATAGAGAAATTTTAAATTTTGGTAGACCTAGTTTTTGCCATAATTTTTCGAAGTTTTCTTATGTTTGTGTTGCATCGAATCGCAAGTAGTTGAAACTACGATTCGTCTATGTGTAAAATTTACAGTTCGTAGAGTTTCCACTCGGCTGAAATTTAGTTCCGTTTGAAGTTGGAAGTTCTTGAAAGCGGCCCCTCCCCAAAAACCACACGAACTTTTTTAAGAGTGGATGCACGTAGCTCAGACTCTTATATAGGTCGTGATGATTTTTTTCAAGAAAAACCGTAAAATTTGTTCAGTATCAAATTTACTTTTTCGCTGTTGGACTTTTGATTTCTTTTAAGTTCATTTCCTTTGTTAGGAAGAAAAATTTGATCCAATTTTGAACAGTTTTGTTGATTTTTTTTCCAAAATTTCAATCGTTAATTGTTGTATCAATTGAAATAGCTCTAAACTCATTTTTTTTTCTTAGAAATTTGAAAATTGAGATTGTTTTGGTCAGTATTTTTTTTTCTGTTTACTCTGTCTGTTGGCTGTTTTTTTTTTAATGAAAACGTTTTTCTTGCGCAAAGTTGGACCAGCTCTGATAAATATAATGGTAAAATTGAACCAAAAGTGTTTTTGAACTACGCGCAGAACTTGGCATAGAATTTTAGTTATTTAATCTAGGCGACTTTTTGATGCTAAAAAAAAACAGTTTTTGATTTGAGGTATATGAAGAAGTCGATTGGTTTTGCGCGGGTTCCCGTCGTTTAAGTAGTGCAGAAGGTGTAAAAGTCAGTTGTCTTGTCTTTAAACTTGTGGTTATGACTTCCTGGACTAGTTCCAAAGTTACTTGTTAGTCTTGTTACGTTTGCGATAGAGAAGCGTTATCAAACTAGAATATAGACTTTTTCGGGTTAACAACTTGTTTAACAGACTTTTTTGTGTCTTGGTTTATAAATATTTCAAATTTTGTAGTGTCTTCTGTACAATTAGCCGGAGGGTAACGAATACGCAGGGGACAGCAAAGGTCGTGGGTTCGAATCTGACCAGGAACTGTTTTTTTTTCAAACTGGAAATCCAGCTTTCCAAAAAAGTGTCGGCCTATAGTTCGTCTGCTTATGTTTTGTCGGCTTAGTTGCCACATCGCATAAATGTTTTTAACGCAATTTTCAATGTAGTTGCTTCAGTGTTTTGAGTTACTCCTGCAATTTTTTTCCCGCTTTTTCGCTCAAAAACTCTGTTCGGCTTAAACTGGTTCGTCTTATGTTTAATCGGCGTAGTGGCCTAATTTGGGTTTTTTTTTCAAAGGAAGCATAAGTTTTATGTTTCATCCCGGATCGCACGAAATGCTTGAATTCTTGGATTAGTTCAAAGTTTTTCATGACAACAGTTTTATTTTCGGTTCTACGGGACATTATTCAAATTTCGTCGGCTCAGTTTCCGCCAGTTTTTTGAATTTTTATTAATTGCATTTGAATGTTTCTGGACGTGTTTTCTGCAAATAGACAAAATATTGAGTTTTTTGGAATTAAGGGCTTTCTTTTCCTGTCTGCTAACTGGCACTGCTAATTTTATGTTGTATCGCAAATGGTGTGAAGCTCCGCTCGCCTCTGTAATAAATTTAAGTTTAATTATCAAAAAAAAATTCAGATTGAAAATGTGCAGTCGCAATTCTTAAACTGGCAAGATAGTCCGGCGGATTTCGAACTCCCACTAAGGGATAATAAGCACGAGGCAAAGTCTCCAAATGAAACCGTAAAGCAAATTAGCTTCATGAGTAGGCAGCATATTTGGGCAATATGATAAATCAAGAGTTCAATATGAGTCAGATGGTTGAGACAGGGAATGATTCGCAACAGGGTGCAATGAGGTGCCAATTTCATTTCATACCACGTTCGTCGAAACGGGGAACTAATTTAGTCATTGATGGTTACATCTACTACAAAAACTCGAAAAGCAAACAAAGTGTTCACTATATGTGCTCATACACAGGATGCAAGGCTCGCATAAATACAGATGCATTGAAGTCATTTCTACAGTTCAACGAAGAAAAACACAACCATGAGCCGAATAATAACTTCGTGAAAGATCAAACATTTCGACAGTTCATTAAAGCATTAATTAGATCAAACCCAAATTGTGGACCGAAGATGATATACGATCATACTAAACGTCATTTATGGCCCAATTTCGAGATGCCGAAGTTTGATAAAATAAGAGGCAGCTTAACTCGATGTCGCACGGGGCAACGAAATCGCGGAATGCAACCAGCTGTAGATTGCAAAATTCCAAACAAAAACAGTGCAATTACAACCTCCGCTAAAATTACAAAAAGTAGCGAAAACGTAGAATCTGGTGCAGAGTCGGACGAGTGTTTGTCGAACGAAAATTCGAGTGATTGCGAGCTGGACTCGTTTCAACCTTCAGAATCGAATAAATCTTTCGTGGAGTCTGCTACTGGCCAAGAGATCACTCCCGAAGTGAAGTGTGATCTATGTGCGAATGGAATCACTTTGATTCCCGAACCTCCTTCTCATTTCGCAGATATTAGACTTCCGGGTAAAGTTCCAGTCAAGAAAGAACCACATGTGTATTCTAGAGGACCTACGATAGTGAACTTCGATCTTGATGCTCTAACTGAGTCGAGCTTATCTGAAAATGGTTTTGAAAAAGATCGCCGAACCACTGAAGGTAATTTTTTTTTTTCGGTAATTTTGCATCCAATGATTTTACATGAAGTATATTTTGAAGACATATATTGGTGACAGATTGAGACGATGCGTGTACTTTTTGAAAAAGCTTCATATCAGAGGGACTATGGAGTAATGTTCGCTTTAAAAAATATATTTTATAGGATTTTTTGTGAAAATCATCATCTCACACCAGGAGCAGATTAAGGGAGGGGGCGTAAGGCAGACGCCCCCCTTCATAGATTCGATCCCATAATCGACCAAAGGTTCCCCTTGTGGTATTATTTTATTAGATTAAGACCATTTGTCCACGAGGGAAATGACCAACATACTAGCTGTACAGCTTATCACGGCGAACCGCTGTTGAGCCCCTGCTTAAGAACTGCATACAATTTTTTTTTTGGGCTGGGTAATGTTGCCTCACCCTCAAGCAACGAGTCCAGATCATCGTGGGCCGCGAACATCTGACCTTTCGATTGAGAGGCGGAGACGTAGCCACGTCACCACCGCTCCCCATTTTATGACATCCATCATCGCCCGACCAACCCTAAAATTTGTCTAAAGCCAATTTATACTAATTTCGAAGGGAGGCGCGCGCCGAAAAAACGCAATTGTTTTGGTCAAAGTTTTCCAAAAAAATTGCCCGAAAACAGCATTTCTGACGTTGATTACGCAAGCAAATCTTGTGTTATAGTATGAAATCTCTTTCTTTTCCAATCTAAGTCGCAAATATAGTTGCGATAAAATAGGTTCATTTTGATCAATAACCAGCTATTAAGTACAGCCAAAGCTAAGGATATTAACACAGACTATTATATTACAAATAGCACTTTAGCTTCAAGGTAGCATGGATCTGTATCGTAGAGGTAGGGAAGGAGACCAGCTACAAAATAAGGGTTTGAACTTGGGCAGGGTCGGATGTTTTTAATGAAATTTTTTGTATACTAGCTATAATGCGTCCGTTCCATAAATTGAGGCATGTTATTTGGTAATTTTTGTTTTCAAATTGACTGGTACTGCTAATGCGTCCTAATTGGCTTGCATCACTTAGCAATTATGTAGACTCATAATTGACATGCGTCACTTGAAAATTTTAACTCTTTCAGTTTTTCCCAGTAGCTTTATTGGTCATGTTTTTGTTATGTATGCAAAGTTCAACTCTTTTACGAGTTCAAATTTTCCGATCATTGGTGCACATCCCCCCATTCGAGAAACTACTAAATCCGCCCCTGCCCCCACGCACCATGTTAAGTACAAAGTGATATAATTAGCATATAGCAAATTATTATATAGATCCTAAAGCATGCCTCACTTCTTTTTAGAGCAATTTCTCGGAAGGATCAAATCTGCGCATACGCGTTAATAGCCCGAAATATATCGCGTTAATTATCCCAAGTTGGCCATCTTTAAACCCTCATAACTTTACGATAAATGATCTTAGGTGAAATATCTTGAGCTCAGGACAGCAATATTTTTCGGTTGATATAGAAAATTCCGTCAAAAATGGCTAGTTAAAAAGTCGAAATTTGTCCGAAGAAAAAAAATACTCCGAGCACAAAAAGTACCCCGAGCTTAATATTCTGTCACTTTCTTCGAAAGACCAAACAATAAATGGAATGTGTGGCGGACGTCACAGGCACATTTTCTCAAATTTTAAGAATATAGGGGCTCCTTGTTGTTTTAAGAAAACGAGAAAATCGTTCTTCACAAACTTACACTCAACTTTTAATAAAATTTTGTCAGCTCACGCTTATACGAGTTCAATTTTCCCGATCATCGGTACACATATTAGTTCAATTTATGTATTCCGTTTTTTGACAGTTTTGCACATAAACCAGCTTTCAAGTACAAGCGAGGTGGCTGGGGATAATGTCAAGGCTTCTTCAAGTATTGTTTTCATTTTCGAAAGGAGTAAAATAAAATTTATACTCTGTCGTGTTTCTTCAGAACAATTTCGGAGATTAAAATAATAGTTATCAGCAGAAAAATTTAACACTGCAGTGAAGATATTGACTCCCTTAAAAGATCCAAGAACTTGAATTTAAGCAAACAAGACTGCTCGTATCAGGGCAATGCTCACGATGTTCCGACTGCCCTTTAATTGGTCTCGAATAGTTTGTTAAGTTAAAGATTTGCAAAACTGTGAATTTTAGGCTGATAATATCAAAAAGAATAATGTATAAGGCTGATAATATAAAAGTCTCACAGTTTGAGTCGTCTATGGAGTTAATAAAACCAATTAGCTGCCTTAGTTCACTTTCGACCGATTTTGTAGTGCGGGATAGTAAATGTAGTGCGGGATAGTTTTAGACATACTCGTGGTAGGCCGCTATAGTGGTGTGCTTACTCGGCTGGCCTCATGCAGATCAAGAGAGTTTTGTGAAAGTAGTCTGAATAAAAAAACAACCCCGAGCAGATATATTCCTCTTTTTCGTCGAAAGTAGGATCAAAAAATATTTTGGCAATTGGAAAAGGAACATACTACAGAGCACCAAATTTCCTGTATTTGTTCCGTCTACTGAAGAAAGTGACGCAATTGAAGAAAGTGTTCAATTTTTATCTTTTTGAAATTGACATTTTCTATGATATTTAACTGAGAAAAAAAAGAGTCTGATACTTTTAAAATAATTACGCTGGATTAAACGATTGATGAGAGTAAATGATATACATGCGGGCTTATCAAATTGAAAATGAAACTAAGTTAAACAAGATCATCATTTTTGGACTGAGTGATTTTGCAACTGAAAAACTAAGTTAAAGAAGAATCTCATTTATTCATTCATAGTTTCAGAAGTTTTTTTTGTTCAAATATGGAAAGTGCAGTTGTATGCTGTTGGACATATTAAGAATTTGTTTCTGAGTTAAAAATACGAAGATCTGAAACACAATAATTTTGGATATTTGAACATTTTGTTTTAAAACGGACCTTAAGTTGAAATTTTCTTCATCTTTCAATTTTAAAAGTAAAAAGCGTTATTGTTACGGTTGCATTCATTTTGCTATCTGATGTATTTTATAAATTAGCAATTTTCATGTTCATTAATATGTTTGAAGCACCGGATACTCGCAAGTCAGATTTAATGCCCCAGCATTGATTTTAGTAGCGTCTTCTCTTTCTGCTTATGCTGTTTTGTCTTTACAATCTTCTTGACTTGTTTTTTTTTCTAAATCTTCATTTTTCGTACCTCGCGTGGCAAGCGGGTAATTTTTCCGAGTACGTCACATCGGTGTCTTTTCAGATCAGGGAGTCCATAGTATCTTGGAGAAGCTATAGGTTTCTCCAATCCATTGATAGAGTAAAACATCGTTATTAGAACCTACAAATATGTTTTTGAACAAATATTACAGTTACTACTTCTGAGGACATTTTGATTAAAATTTTTATTCAAAACCAGCTTAACTGCAGACAAAAATTTCGAACCAAATATCTAGATCAAAGTTCAAAGACGGTTCGATCAATTCGATGATTTGAATTGATAAGTTCCCTTGTATTTACTAGTCTGGCTTCCTTTTGAACCAAAAACATAACAAAACGACTGGTGTTTAAATGACCTTGATTTGCTTCGCTCTTCTGGGTTTTTTTAAATTAACTTTTATGACCTTACATTCCTCTGCCCTTGCATTCCTCTCATGGCAGTATCAAGGGACAGACATTTCGAGGTCCAATACTTCGAGGCCAAAGAAATTAGAGTTCGAAGCTAAGCTATTTTTGATAGGCAGCTGAAGAAATAATTAAACACGCAGTAAATAACGCAGCAAACATGGATTATTTTTGAGAATTACCATAACTCCTTGTTCCTTACCCGAAAATTTTTTGTTAACGGGACCAAAATAAATGAATCACTTTTTGAATTAAGGTATCTGCTTTCGATAAAAACTGTCTTGGTGAAAACAACAAGCAAAAAACTTTTTTTTTCAAATAACAGTAAGGCAAGTTTTGGGCCGTATAACAGAAATGAAAATTCGCAGACTTATCGAAAGCTCCCCCCCCCCCCCCATTAACAGTAGAACATAAGAGACACCATTCATAGAAGCACCGAACAACTAGTGGAATACAGCATGAAACATTGGAAAGCGCTTAAGTAAATTCTAACATACCCCTCCCCCATCAAACAATAAAACAGACGCAGAAACACCGAGTAAAGTAGCCCAGTACTTTGAACCCCTTCAATATACCGATTCAACAACACATTGGTATCACGTAATTGTTAAACCTCACACCTCACCTCGCGTTTAAACTGGACACCATTTAGCCTAGGCTTAAATTGGTTCGCTATTCGTAAAATGGAGAATCGAAAGATTTTCTTAAGCGTTGCAATATATGATATAGCTCAAAAATGCAAAATTTCGTTCGTTTAACCTGCTTAAATAATAGGTTGAAAAGCGTTAACATGGCAAGATAGTGAAGTCCGCATTTAGATACAAGTTTTTTACCTGTGATGATTTTTGGTGAAGTTCTGGAGGATTAAAAAACCAATGTAGCAAAGTTGTTGGACAAAACAAATTTTTAATCTTAAGGGGTAAAATTTTGGGTCCGAATTTTACAAAATAAATTTCGCCATTTTAATTCAGTTTATAACCAACGCCACTTTTGGTTTCGTCTGTTTTTGTCTTTTGTCGACCCTGAGAAAAACGGGTTTTAAGTTTCCAATTCTGTTCGTTTTGTCCGGGTAATTTAAATCAGCACAGTTTTTTGGTGGTTTATGCGAAAGTTCAACATTGCTACAAAACTTTTCGCGCGTCTACTGGAAAACAATCTTAAATTCGCCCCTGCATCATTTTGACATGATGCAGTGTAGAGGATGTTAGACGAATAAAACTTTTCAGGCGAGATTTCCCTGGACCCAAAGTCAAATCATGTGTCACCCTGCATTACCTTTCTGGACCAGTTCGATCGAATTAATGGACAGCAGAAACTGATGACGTCACCTCCGAATGTTGCACGCTCTGCGGATCCCGATTGGGAGAAAGACTCGAAGATGCTCATGGAATGCGGTGCAGTTATGCAAACATACCAATGTGTTCCCTCTAGAAGAAGTCAAGGAACCAATTTGGTCATAAACGGCTACTGCTTCAAATCAAACTCTAAAAGTGTGAACCAACACTACTTTAGATGTTGCAAGGGGAACTGCAAAAGCCGATTGATAACAGACAAGGACCGTAAGTACATCAAATACGTCGAGGATAAGCATAACCATGAACCGGAGCATGACTATGTTCGAGAGCAATACTATCGCGAGTACTTGGCTTGTTTGGTCAAATTGAACCCAGACTTGCACTTGAGAAGTATATACAATCATGGGTTGCAACACGCACAACCTGGAATGAAAATGGCACCTTACAGGCGAATGCAGCGGTTTTTGAAAGCGTGTGTTCAAAGATGGAAATGCGTAAATGGTCTTGGCAATACTAAAGTAAAAAGTAAAGAAGCTGACAGTTCAAATGGTATAATGGCTGATGGGCAAAATTTCAATGGTAATGAATCAGATGCAAGTTTAAGTGACGATGAAACAAATGGCGCCAACAGTGACGAAGATCAAATTGATGAAGCAACTCTGGCCGACGATACTGAACAAAAGTTGAAACCTAAGATACATTGTGATTTATGTCAAAAGGGCGTGCAGATTTTGCCAGACCCACCGAGGTATAAAATAATGAACCTTATGCTAACGAAGCCAAAGCGTGTACAGCCCGTCGGCGACAAAGACGAAGAAGTGTTTTCAAACTTGATACAACGGGCATTACAAAATGTTGATGGGCAAAGTTGTTCTTTTCCAGAAATCATAGATGGTATTAAGGGTCAGAGTAAGGTCACCGATGCTGTCCAAATACAAGGTAAGGATTGAAACATTACTTTTCTGTTGTAATACTTTTAATAGTTGAAAAGTTGTTAGCTTCTTCAAAACATTGTGGCTTATGATCTATAATATACAATCTTGTAAAAAAACATGAGGTGATTTTTGTACTTGTCTTGGTTTGAGATATACTTTTTGTTGATGCATGTTGGTTTTTTGGTAAATTGTGGTTAATGATCTAAAAAGTAATATTGAAAAACAAACAGGTTAGTTTTGTATCGATGTTGGTTTGACTTACAGTTTCTGATAAAATTAGTGAAAATAGATAAAGTGTTAATTTTTAATTCTCCCTGGCGTTATTGCTCAGCTTTGTTCATACTTGACGTTTTAGATAAGCCAGAATCAAATGAGGACTTGGCAGTTCCTTCTGTGACATTCCTGGATCCACTCCAACAACCGAAAGTACATGACTCTAATCACAAGACTACAGAAGGGTTCTGGAACGGTAAAACAGAACCCATAACAATAAAGGAAGAACCTATGGACTGTAGTGATATGCTAGCTGAGAATCACCCGTTCAGTTTTGATGGCAATAAGGGTAAAGAACAGTAAATGATTTAAAAGTTGATAATTTTTATCAACGAAGAGAAAATTATTTGAATGGCCGTGTATTGTAGAAGTTTGGCACTGAAATTGATCCTGTATTTCGAAAATTATTACTTTCGAAACTAGTATGTACCTTTAATTGGTCCTTTAATTTGATCAATGGTGCTTTTTAGAAGACGAGGCCGAAAGTGAGGGCCCGATAGCTTCCACGGAGGAGAAACAAAAACGCATTCTCAAGTACATGCGAGAATGCTCCAAGAAGCGTCGAAACGTGCAGCCAGGTATTTTTTGACAAGAACCTAACAAAGAAAAGTTGTAAGATGCAGCAGGGTTGGATCAAGGGGTTTTGGAGGGGAGTGGCGCATTTTAATTTTTTTTGTCAATTTTGTCAATTTGTCCAGTTTTGAGTGAATTGATTTAGCGAGTGTGAATAATCCAGCCGAAATACAAACGAGCAGAAAATGAGCAAGGCTAATAAACCAGACAAAAGTTGCCTCATTGGTATTCAAATTTGCATTTTTTTGTAACATCTACATGGTAACTGATTTATTCTTCGGCAGTTTGATGTATCATCATTTTTTCGCGGTAAGACTGAACCTAAAAAGTCTTTTGTTTCTGCCTCAACAAATGTTGGTATTTTTTACATGTGTTTTTCACATAGTGACTTCAGAAATAATTTAATTTAATCGTGAGAAAATATGTGTCGTATCATATTTCCAAAGGAATATGATTCTTCATTCAAATTCATGTTCATTGAGAGTCAATATAAGATACTTTGATTGTAAAAGTTAAGAAAAATCACGAGTAAGTAAAAGGGAGAAATCAAAACTAAAAGTTAGCATTCTAATTTCTTAAACGGTATTCAAGCGGTATGTTGGCTGGATTGAGGTATAACTAAGATTTTTTTCAGTAACTACGAGAACAGTTCCCGTTCCGGTTGCTCCAGCTCCAGCATATCCACATCAAACGACAGCATACACTGCGTCAAATGTACCGAGGTTCCTCCCGCCTCAATCTCAAACTGTGCAAATCCAGGTCGGTCAGCAGACGCAACCGAGAATTGTTCAGCCAGCTATGACTCAGCCTAGGAAAAGAGGGAGACCGCGTAATGATTGCAGCACTACACGAGGGGATGGGATAACAAGGAAGCCATATCCAGGTAACATAAGCGTGTACAGGAATTTAAAGAGGCCGCTTTTCGAGAAAAAAATGTCATGGACCTTTTTTTAACTCGACCAATTTGATCTTCCGACCCGCCGCTCCTAAAACCCTAAAAAGACACTGATTTTCCACAATCAGTTCCCCCCATCGGCACGCTACTGTCAAGTAAGCAAAGGAAGTTAGTTTTCAGTCGTAACTAGCATAGGCAGCTTAAGCAGCATCTGTGATTTAAGCGCCCAATTGCTTAAATTACATGTTAACTTGACGCAGTCATATTTTTCTGTTTAAGCGTTGTGTCCCTCTAACGTCATTCGACCGCCGACTGTCCCTAAACCGGCGCCTTTGTTTGTGAATATTCTACCAGATGGCACAATTTGCGACGCAAACATCAAGCTTATTTCTCTTGCCGCTCCTAGAGCTCAAGCGAACTCAAGTTAGTAGCTCTTGTTGGATGCAATGATGCATTTTTTAATGATAGTTTTTTATTGCATGGAAAACGGAACCTCTCCTCTTCTGTCGAAATGTCAAAAAAAAACACTCATACTGCAATATCATCATTGTCATCATGATTTACAATATCATCCAATGTCAACATATTTTTTTTGATGCTCGACTCGAATGAAAAACCCACTGCTTCTAAGTCATACATGTTTCAGATCAGTTTACCCCTACACACGCAGTGATCCCCTTATCCCAGGTAGCTACCACGCTCCCTGGATTGCTGCCGAAAGCACAACAAGATCTTAACATACCTCAGCCGAGGCCGGTGAAAGTTCTTCGACCTTCCCCTCCGACCACATTCAATATTTCTCAAAATATGAACCGGAACATTTATTCCATTCCGCGAAGCAATTCCCAGTCGGATACTAATCGCAATTCAGTGCAGAACTTAAATGGACAGAATTTGAGCTACTCATCTTTTCCGAACCTCGTCAATCCAAATTTTTTTCTCAATCCAAGTAGTGTTTCAACTTCTACTGTGGCTCGCACAGTTATTCCAAAACCAAACGAGTTTCATGTAGCTTTTTCTCAGAAAAATTTAGCTGCAAATGGCAATAGTTTTCAAACGGTTGGTGGTTCCAACCAGTTTTATGTCCGCAACATTAATGATGCCCGGGCTGTCCAAACTATAATTCCCAATGTGAATTTTGCAGTCAAAGAAAACATAATTCAGGCTAACAGTGGAAATTTCATTGAGATTTCCAGTCGAAATTTGCGTCCAAATTTGAATTACAATATTGCGTGTCGCTCATCGCCTGAAGGTTTTGTTCCGAAGATGAGTTCAAGTTTCAGTCTTAAATCAAATAATTGCTTTTCTACCAATTTTGAGTCGCTGTCGTCGCCCGAAGAATTTATTCCCAATACTAGTGGTTATTTGATTCCCAAACCTCCCAGCAGATTTTCGAACGATGTTCAGAGGATGTTGAATGGAGGAGACAAAAGTAGTTTGTCTCGACCGCCAACTTCTGGTTTGGTTCCCTTGAAACCAATGAGCTCGTATGAATCACTTCGCAGAAAAGTCATGGCTCAAATGGGTAAATATAGTTGCTGTCATTTCTCCTGTGCTGTGCCGGTAAACGCAAAAGTAAATAGATGAAGTATAAGTTTCTACAAGAGTATATATGGTAGAAATCAATAAGTAAAAAATAATAATAATCATAATAAAGCATTTTTGAAGAAGGGAGGTAACTAGAGCAGCTGATTTGTTCGTGATCTGCCCAAAAAAATTGAAAAGTAACTTGCCCATACTAATCAAAAATTGCCTGTTCTTTGGTTTACTTCAATTTTAGGGCACTTTTTACCAATCATGTTTAAAAATTGATTGTTTTGGCGCTTCTGTTTCAGCTGCATCGTCTTTTCGAAGGAAAACTATGCCAGCCTTCCGTTTAACCGAATCTCAAAGAACGGGCTACTCCAATCTCGAAATTGAGGGATATCGGTTCAAGAGGTCACGCAAAACACCCACCAAAGTGTACATGTTGTGTGTCGAGAAAATGTGCAACTCAACAGTAACTATGGACGCAGGCTTAACTAGGATTATAAATCCCCCTAAATTACACAACCATCCACCAGTTGAAGATAAAATCAAGTCGGCCCAAATAAAGCAGAAAATTTTTGCAGCTATCGAAAAAGAGCCGAAGCGTAAATGGACAGATGTGTACAAGGATGTTAAAGAGATGATTCCAAAAGAAGATCACGAGTATGTACCGAAGTTAGTCGACCTCAGAAGGATGATTTTCTACCGTCACAGAAAACTAAAACGACCGCCTGTGAGAAAATTGACAATTGTAGACAAAATTGCAATGAAATTGCACAAGAGGTCAAAAGGTAAACAGAGTTGATTTCATTGCTTCATTTAGTCATTTTTGAAAAAAAAAACTTTTATTTAGCTCTTCTAACTGAAATTGTTTGTTTTTCCTTGCTTATACTTTTTCAAATTGTTCATTGATTTTTTCAGAAGCCGATAAGAAAAGGAGAATCGAAGCTACGACATTCCGTTTCGTACAGTCAGAGAGATCTGCGGCTCTCACTCTAGAGGCAGACGGCTACTCATTTAAACGCAGTAAACTCAGACTCAATAGAGTATTCTACACTTGCTCTAAGAGAGGCTGCAACTCTACCATCACTCTCGATGGCACTTTGACCGAAGTCATTAACCCACCTAAAGAGCACAACCACCCGTCCGTTAAAAGAGAGATTAGAAGATTTGAAATAAAGCAGAAAATGCTGCAAGCATTCGCAGCAGAACCATCAAGAACATATGAGAGTATTTATGATGAGATTGTGAAGGGTTTGCATCTGGAGGAAGTAGGACATTTTGTACCCGAGTTGAAGAAAATAAAACGAGTGTATAAGTCTTTATATCGTAGACATCAAAGACCTGCTACACCGAAAATGTTGGAAGCTGAGAAAGGTAATTGTAATAAGAATTTTTTAATAAATAAAAGTCGCAGAGCAACTGATATACAAAAAATATTTATTTCAAAGCGCCCTAACAAGTTATATTTTTTATAATCTGCGAGGTAATTACGTTTATTTAATTTCATCTGTGTGCATGGTTGCTCAAACTCAATCAATTGGCGAAAGTAAGAAATGTTTGAAAAATCTCTTTTTTGGATTACTTTTTACTTTTTTGTTAAGAGTAATGAACGTAGTGAAGACTTTTATATAGGTCTTGCCGATTTTTTTTGTTTTTTCTTCGAAAAAATCGAAAGCGGAAAGATTGCAAAATAACGTGGTCGATTTCTAGTTATGAAAGTAGAATTCAGTTTTTAGAGTTCTGAGTGGAATAAAATAATTTACTCATAATAATAATTTCTTGCATCAATTGAATTTTTTCTATCTATCTTCTATCTATCTATTATTTAATTGGCGTTTCACGTGACACATGTTTAAGAAGTCCCTATGTTGACGTGTTTAAGTAGTCCCTATTTTTGCATGTTTAAGTTTTGTTCAACGTATTATTTTTTGCATATTTAACGAAAATGTTTTTGCACGGTTAAGCTATACCGTAGGTTAACATGCTTAAGAAATTTCATTTGGCTCATGTTTAAGTCTGTTGGTCTGTTAAAAGGCCAAAAAATTGCAAGATTTGAAAATTTTATATATACATACGTTCTATACATTCCTATATAGTGGTGCTGTGAAGTCCATTTAACGGGTTGGAAATCTGGCGTTCAAGTATGACTGCTCAAATTCTTTTGGTTTTCGAGAAATTGCGTTTTTTGTGATTTTTTCATTTTTTTTAAAAATCTCATATAAAAAAAATTAACTGAACATCAATTTCTCAACCCTATAGTGGGATGCTATCAGGGTAAAATCAGGGGTGGCAAATCTGGAGTCCCGGTATGACTGCTCAAATCCTTTTGGTTTTCGAGAAATTGCGTTTTCTATGATTTTTCTCATTTTTTTGATCGAAAAACAGATGTAAAAAAATAACCGAACTTCAATTTCTACACTCTATCGTGGGATGCTATCAGGGTAAAATCAGGGGTGGCAAATCTGGAGTCCCGGTATGACTGCTCAAATCCTTTGGTTTTCGAGAAATTGCGTTTTCTATGATTTTTTTCATTTTTTTGATCAAAAAACAGATATAGAAAAAATTAACCGAACATCAATTTCACAACTCTATCGTGGGGTGCTGTCAGAGTACATTCAGGGTTTGCAAATCTGGAGTCTAAGTATGGCTGCTCAAATCCTTTTGGTTCTCGAGAAATGTTTTTTTATGATTTTTTTTTATTATGATTTTTTTTCAAAAATCTTAGGTATTAAAAAAATTAATCGAACTTCAATTTCTCAACCTTATAGTGGGGTGCTGTCAGGGTACAATCAGGGGTTGCAAATCTGTCGTCCAAGTGTGACTGCTCAAATTCTTTTGGTTTTCGAGAAATTGCGTTTTTTGTGATTTTTTCATTTTTTTGTTCAAATAACTTGGATATAAAAAAAATTAAACGAACTTCAATTTCTCAACATTATATTGGAATGCTGTCAGGGTAGCAAATCCGGAGTCTGCAAATCTGGAGTCCAAGTATGACTGCTCAAATCCTTTTGGTTTTTGAGATATGGCGTTTTTTATGATTTTTTCATAACTTTTGTCAAAAAAATTTAGATAAAAATTAGATACAAAAAAGCTAACCGAACTTGAATTTCTCAACTCTATAGGGGGTTGCTGTCAGGCTTTTTTCAGGAGTTGCAAATCTGACGTTCAATTTTGACTGCTCAAATTTTTTGGTTTTCGAGAAATTGCGTTTTTTTGTGATTTTTTAGTTTTTTTTCCAAAAAACTTAGATATTAAAAAACTAGCCGAACTTGAATTTCCCCCACCCTATAGTGGGGTGCTATCTGGGTACATTCAGGGTCTGCAAATCTGGCGTCCAAATATGACTGCTCAAATCATTATGGTTTCCGAGAAATTGCGTTTTTTATGATTTTTTCATTTTTTTTTTTAAAATTAGATGTAAAAAAAATTAACCGAACTTCAATTTCTCAACTTTAAGTGGGGTGCTGTCAGAGTCCAATCAGGGGTTGCAAATCTGGAGTCCCGGTATGACTGCTCAAATCCTTTTGGTAATCGAGAAATAGCGTTTTCATTGATTTTTTCATTTTTTTGTTCAAAAAACTTAGATATAAATTTTTTTTAACGAACTTCAATTTCTCAACACTATAGTGGAATGCTGTCAGGGTACAGTTAGAGGTTGCAAATCTGGAGTCCAAGTATGACTGCTCAAATCCTTTTGGTTCTCGAGATATGGCGTTTTTTATGATTTTTTCATTTTTTTTTTAAATTAGATGTATAAAAACTTAACCGAACTTCAATTTCTCAACTTTAAGTGGGGTGCTGTCAGAGTCCAATCAGGGGTTGCAAATCTGGAGTCCCGGTATGACTGCTGAAATCCTTTTGGTTATCGAGAAATAGCGTTTTCATTGATTTTTTAATTTTTTGTTTTTAAAATTAGATGTATAAAAACTTAACCGAACTTCAATTTCTCAACACTATAGTGGAGTGCTGTCAGAGTCCAATCAGGGTTTGCAAATCTGGAGTCTAAGTATGGCTGCTCAAATCCTTTTGGTTCTCGAGAAATGTTTTTTTTATGATTTTTTTTATGATTATTTTTTTTCAAAAATCTTAGGTATTAAAAAAATTAACCGAACTTCAATTTCTCACCTTATAGTGGGGTGCTGTCAGGGTACAATCAGGGGTTGCAAATCTGTCGTCCAAGTGTGACTGCTCAAATTCGTTTGGTTTTCGAGAAATTGCGTTTGTGTGATTTTTTTTAAATTTTTTTTTTAAATCTTATAAAAAAAAATTAACCGAATTTCAATTTCTCAACCTCATAGTGGGATACTGTCAGGGTAAAATCAGGGGTGGCAAATCTGGAGTCCCGGTATGACTGCTCAAATCCTTTTTGTTTTCGAGAAATTGCGTTTTCTATGATTTTTTTCATTTTTTTGATCAAAAAACAGATTTAAAAAAAATAACCGAATTTCAATTTCTCAACTCTACCGTGGGGTGCTGTCAGAGTACATTCAGGGTTTGCAAATCTGGAGTCTAACTATGGCTGCTCAAATCCTTTTGGTTCTCGAGAAATGGTGTTTTTATAAAATTTTTTTAGTTTTTTTTTCTCAAAAATCTTAGATAATAAAAAAATTAACCGAACTTCAATTTCTCAACCTTATAGTGGGGTGCTGTCAGGGTACAATCAGGGATTGCAAATCTGGAGTCACGGTATGACTGCTCAATTCCTTTTGGTTTTCGAGAAATAGCGTTTTCATTGATTTTTTCATTTTTTTGTTCAAATAACTTGGATATAAAAAAAATTAAACGAACTTCATTTTCTCAACATTATATTGGAATGCTGTCAGGGTAGCAAATCCGGAATCTGCAAATCTGGAGTCCAATTATGACTGCTGAAATCCTTTTGGTTATCGAGAAATAGCGTTTTCATTGATTTTTTCATTTTTTGTTTTTAAAATTAGATGTACAAAAATTTAACCGAACTTCAATTTCTCAACACTATAGTGGAGTGCTGTCAGAGTCCAATCAGGGTTTGCAAATCTGGAGTCTAAGTATGGCTGCTCAAATCCTTTTGGTTCTCGAGAAATGTTTTTTTTATGATTTTTTTTATGATTATTTTTTTTCAAAAATCTTAGGTATTAAAAAAATTAACCGAACTTCAATTTCTCATCTTATGGTGGGGTGCTGTCAGGGTACAATCAGGGGTTGCAAATCTGTCGTCCAAGTGTGACTGCTCAAATTCGTTTGGTTTTCGAGAAATTGCGTTTTTTGTGATTTTTTTTTTATTTTTTTTAAAATCTTATAAAAAAAAATTAACCGAATTTCAATTTCTCAACCTCATAGTGGGATACTGTCAGGGTAAAATCAGGGGTGGCAAATCTGGAGTCCCGGTATGACTGCTCAAATCCTTTTTGTTTTCGAGAAATTGCGTTTTCTATGATTTTTTTCATTTTTTTGATCAAAAAACAGATAAAAAAAATAACCGAATTTCAATTTCTCAACTCTACCGTGGGGTGCTGTCAGAGTACATTCAGGGTTTGCAAATCTGGAGTCTAACTATGGCTGCTCAAATCCTTTTGGTTCTCGAGAAATGGTGTTTTTATAAAAAATTTTTAGTTTTTTTTTTCTCAAAAATCTTAGATAATAAAAAAATTAACCGAACTTCAATTTCTCAACCTTATAGTGGGGTGCTGTCAGGGTACAATCAGGGATTGCAAATCTGGAGTCACGGTATGACTGCTCAATTCCTTTTGGTTTTCGAGAAATAGCGTTTTCATTGATTTTTTCATTTTTTTGTTCAAATAACTTGGATATAAAAAAAATTAAACGAACTTCATTTTCTCAACATTATATTGGAATGCTGTCAGGGTAGCGAATCCGGAATCTACAAATATGGAGTCCAATTATGACTGCTCAAATCCTTTTGGTTTTCGAGAAATTGCGTTTTTGAAGATTTTTTCATTTTTTTTTTTTGAAAAAAATTTGGATGTAAAAAAATTAACCGAACTTCAATTTCTCAACTTTAAGTGGGGTGCTCTCAGAGTCCAATCAGGGGTTGCAAATCTGGAGTCCCGGTATGACTGCTCAAATCCTTTTGGTAATCGAGAAATAGCGTTTTCATTGATTTTTTCATTTTTTTGTTCAAAAAACTTAGATATAAAATTTTTTTAACGAACTTCAATTTCTCAACACTATAGTGGAGTGCTGTCAGGGTACAGTTAGAGGTTGCAAATCTGGAGTCCAAGTATGACTGCTCAAATCCTTTTGGTTCTCGAGATATGGCGTTTTTTATGATTTTTTCATTTTTTTTTTTAAATTAGATGTATAAAAACTTAACCGAACTTCAATTTCTCAACACTATAGTGGAGTGCTGTCAGGGTACAGTCAGAGGTTGCAAATCTAGCGTCCAAGTATGACTGCTCAAATCCTTTTGGTTTTCGAGAAATTGCGTTTTTGAAGATTTTTTCATTTTTTTTTTTTTTGAAAAAAAATTGGATGTAAAAAAATTAACCGAACTTCAATATCTCAACCTTATAGTGGGGTGCTGTCAGGGTACATTCAGGAGTTGCAAATCTGTAGTCCAAAGATAACTGCTCAATTTGATTTATCAATCGAGCCAAATTGACATTTATTTGAGGTACATCGACGAGCTTTAAAACAATTCACGCCTGAATATAAAGTTTCTCCACTTGGTATCAATACTCATCCTCCTCTTGTATCAATCTTTGGCGAGTTAGATGATCTACCAACAGCTTCTACGGTATCGGGTTTTTTCGACAGTCGTATTTTTCTGGATGAAAATCATCTTTCTATCCTCTATTTTATTTAATTCAAAGATGTCTTTATGTTGAAGAAAGAATGTGACGGAATCAGTTGCAATTTTTCTACCATCAAAGTTTTTTTTACATAGTATCTGAAGTGTATTGATGCCTAGAGGTATAAATTTTATCTAGAAATATCTTTCAAGTTATAGGGGTTTGGAAACTGCCTTTTATTAATGAAGAATTCCAGTTTTTTTTTTTCAGTTTGCGTTGATTTTTCCAGTTTTCTTTCAATGCATAATGTAGGTGGTGAATGAATACGACTCCGAAATTATTAGATATTGAATTGAGACTAGCTTTTTGACCAAATCCAGCGCTACAAAAACTTGAAAATATCAGTACAATTTTGACAATGAATCTGCTGGAAATGTAAGAAATAGGTCAGTAGTTTCTGTCATTTTATAAGTGGGAAATGTGAATATTATGTTTTGCTGTGATACCAGCGATCTTGTTTAAGCAAGGCGTCATTTTTCAAATAGTGGTCTTTTATTGATTTCTTTCAGAGCCAATTGTCTTGGAATCGGAAACTAGGTTTTTTTCCCAGAAACAATTTGTACAAATCTATAAGAAGTTGAATTTGCGTAATTGTTGAACCTTATTATTTTCTCGGCAACTTCCCACTTGGTCTTGTGGTTGGGGTTCGATTCTCGGGCGGAACATTTTTTCCAGGAAGTATGAAATTGATTTTTTTTCCGGGAAAAATTGAATTTTTGGACTATCGTTCATCTGTATATTATGTGGCCTAATTTTCAAAGCATGGATTTTTACTTATTTAAAAATTTTCATTTTCTTGATATTCAATTTATGTACTCAATTTTCAAAATTTTTTTTGTTTCAACCTTTTGATCAGGGGTGGATTTAGTACTATTTTGAGATTTCCATATTGGGTGACGGACCTTAAAAGTTTTTTTAAGGTGCCTTGGGCGCCAATTCATACTAATTTTGAGGGTGGAGCGCGCGCCGAAAAATGCGGTTTGGTCAAAATTTTACAAAAAATGATTAAAAACGCCTTTTTCGGCTTTTTTTCCAAATTTTGTCTGCAGAGCAGATAATTTGACCAAAAAAGAATCTTTTCACTGCTTTCGGAGATCGCGGAAAATAATTTGGTTGATCTAAAAACTGGTCGACAAAATTTTCGAAAATGTTATGAAAATCGGCCCCCATCGAAAAAAATCCTAGATTTACCCCTGCTTTTGATTATAATGGTTTCGGCCTATGTTTTAATTGCACAGTCAATTTTTGTGGTGTCGTTTGAAGGGGAAATTTTTAAGAAATAACTCAGATTGGAAGTGGTATAACAGTTTGAATTTTAAAAACTTAATCGCTTGAAATTTTTTCTAACAAAATTTTAGTATGGCGTTTATTTGTTTCCTTCTTAGTGCGCATCTACTCAAATATTATCGGGGCAGTAAATTATACTAGAGGGTTATTTAATTCTGATGGTTGTGTTTCTCGACTTTCTGAAATTGATTTTTTCGTGGTTTCAAAAAAAAGTTTTTTTTTTAAATTTCTTTTGACTTGGTAATTTAGTAATTTCAGTAAATAAGTAGATGGCTAATATCTTTCCTGTTTAGTTGAAGAGAAACCGTACATTCCAACAGTTTTCCGGCTGGTTCAATCTCAAAGGACAGGATATACGAACTTAGAAATCGATGGGTTCCGATACAAGCGCAACCGTAACTCAGGCAAGAAACTCCATTACCAGTGCGTGGAAAAAAATTGCAGAGCCACTGTCACTGTTGATGCAAGTATCACAACTATTATACACCCACCGAAAGTTCATTGTCATCCTCCAGTTGACCTGGAAATAAAGAGAGCAGAAATTAAGCAGAGAATTTTCAAACTAGCTGAAAATGAACCTCACCGAACTACGAGAGAAATCATTGACGAAGTTTCCCAGTCGCTGAATGAGGAGGACAAGCATCTGCTGCCGAAACCAGAAGAAGTGCGGAAAAGTGTGGCGTTTCGTCGTAAAAGAGCGTTGCAGAGTTTGAATGACGTTGACCCGAACGAAGATTTGGAAAAAAGTTTGAATCTTGAGTCAGAAGAAAGCAATGCAGTCGAAATTACCCATGAAAAGGAAAAAGAAATTGCAGGTGTTTCAGAAATTGGCGAACAAGTTTTGTGTAGCAGTCGCGACGAACACACAGAAATTGATAGTTTACACGAAGAAGATTAAAAAAACAGCTCAACTCCAGAGCCCACTCTAGATTGAATTTTGTGCAGCCACTGACCATGACACAAAAAAACGTTCTTTTAGCCAGTGAATGGATATTCGATTTATAGGTTTAAATTGGCTCGATGCAGCTGTTTTTGTAGTTGAGTAGTAAAGCAAAAACTGAAACAAAAACTTTTCGAATCTATCGTGTATTTTAAATTATTGACTTTTTATGTCATCACTAGAAATAATGATATTTAATTTTAAAAAAATTATTGGTTCTATTTATTTAGAAGTAAAGAGAGCGGCTTTTAATCTGGACAGTAGGGTGCTGATCAATTTGAGTTTGGAGAAAATGTTTGACTTCATTTCAAGAATTTTTGTCAACTATTTTATTTTGGATATGTCATTTGCATGGCATAGTTAAAAAGGTTCATATGTAGTTTACCAGGTATTTTTGGCGGGTGATGCGAAAACAGAGATTTGCCACAAATGAATCAAAACTTCATAAATTTGGTATTGAAAATTTTGTTTTCTCGAAACATTTAATTGAATAGCCATGATTAGTTCGTTCTCATTAGAGATCATAGCATTTAAGTGTAATTGCTGCCGGAAGGAACCTATGCTTCCTTGTTTGATTAAACACACTTTTTCGATTGTTTTGTTTTCTACCGCAGAAATCCGTTTCAGTGTCAGAATGAGTCTCTCTGTCCGACAAAAGAGTTTAAGTAGCTAAAATAATCACCGAATCTTCGTGATCATATATATCTTATATGAACTTATGTGTTCTTGGATCTAACGAGGGAAACGAATTGTGTCTCTGATGGAGCCTCAGTCTACAATGATGGAGCCTCAGTCTACAATGATGGAGCCTATGGAGACAAATATTCCGCCGAGTTCAAATGAGGTCACAATGGCGCCGACACACGAGATCCAAATGGCGAAACAGAGCGATAAGACATCATCAGCAGAATCGGAAAAATTGGAAGTTGCATTGGCTATCTTGAGCTTGGAAAACGGCGTGCTTATTCCTTGGATGGTAGAAAACAAGTTTTTGAAGAAAATTGAACAGTGTCCAAAATGCAAAGGCGAAGTGTTTCTGGCTCCTAAAAGTAACCTTCGTGACCAGTTTGCCTGGCTTTGCAAGTCTGAGAAAAGATGTATTTGGAGCTCATTTGTTCGGATCAATTCAATTTGCGAGAGGGCAAAGTTGAGTTTAGCACAAATAGTGGGCTTAACTTACGAGTGGGCCAGTGGTTCAAAGCTCGCCGAGGCTTCTTTGAGACTTGATATTTCTATTCACACCGCGGTTACTTGGTTTACTTTACTGAAAGGACGTTTCAAACCAGAAATTAAAGACAGTATTTTGAAGTTGCTGTTATCCGCTGACGAGATGCATATTGGTTCGAATGGCAATACAAGTGATTACGGAGCATTTGAGACGCTGATAACTTTCGAGAATAACTCCAGGCAAACAAATGGAACTAACACCAGCTCAGATAAGATCGGAAAACTTGGAGGTCTCGTTAAAGACAAAAATGGAAAAAGTAAGTTGAATCAAATCTTTACCATTGGTTTTTTATATTCCGTAGCATTCTTAAAGATTATTTAAGCTATTGAACGCAATTATGGCAAGATCAAAATGAAACCCGCTGGTCCCCCGTATTAAGAATTCATTGTAGTGATGCCTATTAGATAGGTCGTGATGTTTTTTGTTCCGACCATTTGAAACACGGGGAGAAGGTTTGTATTTGGGCGTGTTTTAGTTTTTTTTCTGTTTTCAACGCAAAATCAGCTACCACAAACAATCATCGGAGAGAGTTGAGTGATGTATCATATCAAAGCCCTTTCAGTCGTGATTCAAAAGTTATTAAAAATTTTCGAAAGTTTTGACAGTTTCGAGCTAATAAGGTCAGCGTGCAGGCTTACAATAGCTTATTTAAGCACCGTGAAATTTTTTGTTATACTCTAGCAAAGTTAGTTTTTGGAGTTTTTAAGCAATTTTGGCTTTTTCTCTGATTTTTTTCAAGAAGTGTCTTAAAGTGCTCTAATATTTTAATGCACTATTTGAGTTCAATTTAATTTTCATTTGCAATTTTAAGTTCAATTCATTTTCATCTGCTAAATTAGATAATTTACGCTCTCCAGTTACGAAGGTCTTCAAAAAATAATCGACTTCTTGTTTCGAAATTGTAATTTTGTTTTCAGATTTCCCAGCGAAGTAAAAACTTTACCTATTAATCCAGTTTTCTTAAATTGGGTTTAATTCGTCAATCAAAGTGTCAACCATAAATTATTCTTGAAATTCAAAGAGCAAAAATGGTTTAAAATTTTGTGGGTAAAAAAATCGTTTGTTCTGCAGATTTAACCAATAACCAATTGGTTGAACCCATTTGATTAAAAACAAGTTCTTTTTAACCAACTAATGTTATTTTTGAAACTTTTTTAAAAGTCCTATCTTTTTGTTTTTTTTTGGCTTCGTTCTTTTTATTCGGCTTAATAGGTTTCGGCTTATGTTTTAACAGCTTAGTGGCCTAATATTTTTTTTTCTGACGAGCGAATAAAGTTTATATTTGTGTGTTATGAGGGCGAGGATAACTTAATAAATTTTGATGAGTCGTAATTTTTTAAATGCTTTTCCAGCTTTTTTTTTAGTATTTCTTTGTTTTTCGTCTTGATAGTTTTCGGCCTGAATATCGGTTTTGTGGCCTCATGTTGTGTTATATCGTTCGACAAGCATTTTTCGTATGTTTTAATGAGGACTACGTCATAACTTTTTGTAGGTCATAAAATTTTTGATTTTTTTTGGCTTTTTTTTACTTTTTTCTTTTTTTTTCGGATTGATAGGTTTCCGTCTGTGTTATATCGGCTTAGTTGTTTGATGCTGTTCTGGTTGACGAGCGAACGAAGCTTGTGTGTGTGTGTGTGTGTGTGTGTGTTCTGAGGACGAGGAGGTTTTATAACTATTGATTATCTTTTTTTCTCTAATGTTTTCCAGCTTTTGGTTGCTTTTTTGCTTAATTTGTTACATATATTATAATGGGTTGGTGGCCTCATGTTGTTCTGGTTGTCGTGCGATTGAATTTTTGTTTGTGTATGTTTGTGTGTTTGAGGACAAGGGGATTCAATTAATATAGATTAGTCGTATTTCTTTTTCGATTTTTCCAGCTTTTGTTTTTTCTGCTTAATTGGTTTCGGCCTATATTATATCGGAATAGTCTCCTCATATTTTTTCTTCTGACGATCGAATCAAGTACGTTTTTGTTCGTGTGATTTGTTGATAATTTGAAACGATTGGTTTAAAGTTTGAGTATGTTTCTTACTGCATGGTGTTTATATTTGGGTGTTTTGAGGGCGAGGATAATTTAATAACTTTTGATGAATCGTAATTTTTAATGCTTTTCCAACGTTTGTTTCTTTTTATTTTCTTGTTTTTCTTCTTGATAGGTTTCGGCCTGAATATCGGTGGCCTCATGCTCCATTATATCATTCCACAAGCATTTTTCGTGTGTTCTGATGAGGACTACTTCATAACTTTTTGTATGTCAAAGTTTTGTAGGTCATGATTATTCTTCTTTTTCTAATGTTTTTCCAGCTTTTGATTTTTTTTTGCTTAATTTTTTTTCGGCCTGTATTATATTGGGTTGATGGCCTCATGCTGTTTTGATTGTCGTGCGATTGAATTTTTGTGTGTGTGTGTTTTAGGGGTATTCAATAAATATTGATTAGTCGTATTACTTTTGAATTTTTCCAGCTGTTGTTTTTTTCTGCTAAATTGGTTTCGGCCCATATTATATCGGGTTAGTGTTCTCATATTTTTTCTTTTGACGATCGAATGAAGTACAATTTTGTTTGTGTGATTTGATGATGATTTGAAACGATTGGTTTAAAGTTTGAGTATGTTTCCGGCTGCCTGGTGTTTTAGTGAAGTTGTGTCATCATCACGATTTTTTAAAGAAAAACTTTGTAATAGCTATTTATCTACATTTACGAGCGTTGTTCATAAAATATTTTGTTTTCGTGCTTCCAGCTGAAATCATAGGCTGAGTTTTTACCAGCTGTTGTTTTTTTTCTGCTTAGTTGGTTTCGGCCTATATTATATCGAGTTAGTGTCCTCATATTTTTTCTTTTGACGATCGAATATAGTAAGTTTTTATATGTGTAATTCAATAATGATTTGAATCGATTGGTTTTAGTTTTGTTTGTTTTTGGCTACCTGGTGGTTTGCTGAAGTTGTCATCATCGCCATTTTTTTCAAAGAGTGATGAAAAAGCGTTGTTCTTAAAATATTTATTTTCTTGCTTGCAGCTGAAATCATTGGCTCAGTTTTGGCCTATTTTATATTTTCATTGATTTTGTCTGAGCACATGAAATAGTTTTTTTTTCGTGGCGATTTTTGGTATTGAGTTGGTGTCAAATATTACGAAAAAAATCTGAGTTTTATTTTGAAGTTGTGTTCGTTTTTTATTATTGATAGGTTTGTTTTTTTCCTCAAAATTATTTATGTTGTTTCGCACTTCGTGCGAAGCTCTGCTTCGACTATGTAAATTATTATTGAATCGATAAGCAAGGGTATTTCAATCGGGTACTGGATTTCTTCCCGTATATATTTTTTACAGGACTTTCCTGGCCTGGACTCTTCTTCGAAGCCAATGTTATCAACAAATTCACCGCTACAGATATATTGTGTGCTTGTTAGCATTATAATTATCGGTCTTATTCGAAATTTTTATTTTGTGTTTGTTCTAATTTTGACAATTCAATTTCTTAAAATTTATTTTTTTGTTATTTTTCAACTGCAAACGTTTTGGCCTTTTTATGTGCACGAGTAGGGACTCGTACTCAAATAGGTTTTTTGGTTTTGTAGTTGATCTCAATTACTAAGAAAAAATCTTAATTTGAAACTGTGTTCGTTTTTAGTTTTTTTTCGGTTTGCGTTTTTCTTCAGAAATATTTATGCTGTTTTATAATTGGTCCGAAGCTCTGCTTCGACTGTGTAAATATTTAACGTAGCGATGAGCGAGGGTGTTGCAATCGGGTACTGGTTTTTTTAGGGTGCTGCAATCGGGTAGCTTAATTATTTTGTTAGAGGACTTCATCTGGAAGCCTCTGTTATCAACAAGTTTACCGCTACAGATATGTTTTGTGCTTGCTAGCTTTATAAATATCTGTCCTATAGGAATTTTTCGTATTGATTCTAATTTTGCCAACTCGATTTGTTAAAATTTCCATTTTTTGTTTTCCTTCTTCATAGTCTCATTTTGCGTTATATCGTTCGACGAGCGTTTTTTTGTGCAATTTTTTGGACTTGTTTTTTGACTTTTCTATTCTATTTTACTTTCTTTTCTATCGGTTTATAACGTTTGGGCTTATTTTATATCGGCTTAGTCGCCTCATATTGCGTCGATCGATGAGTGAATTTTTTTGTTATGTGTTTGATTTGAGGGGACCTAATAGTTTTTATTATTATTAGTCCTTAAAATTTTTTTGGCATTTTTGTTTTCCTTTTTTTATCTAATAGGTTTCGACCGATATTTTATCGGCTTACTGGCCTTGAATTCTTCATTTGACCCGCGAATGAATTTTTTGTGTGATTGAGGGCGAGGGATACTTAGTAAATTTTTAAAATGAGTTGTTTTCGGCTTACAGGGTTTCGGCTAAGGTAATTTTTTTTCGATGCTTTTTTTTACGTTCTATTGTCTTCGCTTGTTTTCTTTCAAAACTAATTTATTTTTTTGATAGATCTAGTTTTTTTGACGTTTTCATTCTTTTTTAAATAACGGCTTTCTTGTTTTGTATCGCAAGTGGTGCGAAGCTCAGCTTCGCCTCTGAGTTTAAAAGCTGTCGTCAAACTGGCTGGTTTTTTCAATTGATTAAATAATCAATTTAAAAGCAGTTGCGTTTTTTTTTCTCCGAAATTTGAGCTACAGATTCATAATTTACAATGAAGTTGAAAGGTTTCATATCCCTGTGTGTCTTAGGAATAGAAGAGTACACGGAACCTCTACGGACTCCTTCAGTCGACCCCAAAGAACTGGAGGCTGCAAGAAGTAAGAATTAATTAGTTTCTATTGCCTCTTTTTGTTCCCCAGAAATAAAACAAAACATTAACAGTTGAAAAAGAACTCTTGTGCATAAATGGCCCTTAAAAACGTAAAATTAATTCTGTTCAAATTTTCTAACTGGATGTATTGTTAGGTATCGATGAAACTAATGGACCATACGCAGTGTTAGTAAGAATGCAGCGAGGAGTAATTCTGTGGATGGTAGAGAACCACGTCCTTCACAAACATGAAGCATGTCCCACTTGTGACAGTGAAATCAAACTAAGCGTCAAAGAAAACTTGCAGGACGGATATTGGTGGAAATGTCAAAACGAAGAGAAAGATTGTCCATGGACTGGATATGTGAGAACCCTCTCTATTTGCGATAAAGCAAAAATGGGTTTAGCCAAAATTGCGATCATTTGTTTCAACTGGGCGACAGAAATACCTCCGAAAATAACGGCCGAAATGGTGACAATATCGTACCCTACTATTAACATGTGGTATAAAACACTAAGGACGCAGGCGTCTCCTAAAGTGAAAGGATGCATGTTGAGGTATTCAAAAATAGTGGAAAGTATGCCTGATGAGTCGAAGACTGAGAAGTTTCTGCATGAGAAGGAAGGAACTGTTTTCGAGAGGTCAACATCAGAGAAGTTCATGGATGTTATCATAGCAGAAATAGCCAAGAAAGGTACTTTAACCGAATTACGACATGTAAAAGTTATGGCGTCTCAAATAGCTTTTAGTCAGCGTAGGTTATTTTCAAAGGTAATTTTAGTTAGCTCCATTATATGAGATTGTGTCTTATGCAAAGACTCTTTTCGAAGCTAAACTTCGCAGGATTCTGTAACTGAGTGTTCTGAAATTGAATATTTATTTCAGAAGCCTATAGTTCAGTGGAGGACAGTTCGAGACCAGTCTACAGGTCGCAAGCAGAGCGGCGAACGTTCGAAGAAATCAAGAAAGAAAGAGGTTTGTGATGCATTTCGTTCTGTTCAGTTAAAACTCTCGTAATGTCAGCAAAAATAGAATCCAAAGCGTTTAAAGGCGGCTTTTTGATAAATCGGTGGGATAGTTTTTTTGCTGTATTAGTTTGAGCTTCTGTAGAAAAGAGGCCTCGACCTTTTAGATCCGGAGAAAATACGAGAGCTGTTGGCTAAGCAACGTCGCAGAGAGTACAAAAGGGAGCACCAGAGTGAACAGAGGACCAGAATGAAGAATGTGATAGCCAGACGAGTGGGCAGACCAAGGACACAGCCACAGCCGGCTCGCAAATCACCAGGGCGAAAGCCACGTCCTATACTGCCAAGTTTGTGCTTTTGTATCTCATTTCCCGCTGTATGAGACTAAAGGGGAAGTTTTAGCAGAATTACTGCATTATTCAGCTTTAATGATTGAAAGTTTTTTCAGTGGGATAATATATAAGAAACTTTAGTGGAAATTTGTTATGCTATTGCTGTTTTAAGGCTTGAATTGATAAAAAAATGGTCTTTTTCATTTTTTTTGGTATCTTACTGATGAAATAATTTTATTCGCAAGTGTTCAAACGTTCAAGTTACCTGATAAATTACGGTGCGTCGTGTAGGGTTGGATCTATCCTCTGTCGGCCTGGAGGCACCTTTTGTGACACTGCATGATAACATGGAGTCCAAACCAAAAAAATTCAAGTTGACCCATGTGCAGAGTGGTCCAGACGGCAGTGTGGTGATGCAGATTGAACCTATTGGACCAGATATTTCTTCAGAAGGGTCCTTGGATACGAATTCTACATATCACACAAGTTTGTTTTTGTAATTTGTTCCGTTTTCGTTTCGAGAAGAGGATTGAAGACGTGGTACTTATTACACGTATAATTGAGTTTTTCAGCTATAGACAATTTGTATTACAAATCTTACTTGCCTTTCTTTAACACGAGCGTAGCGTAGTGTGATCACGATGAAACTTTTTTCAAACCTATTTAGCCATAAAAAGAGCAAATATTATGATAACTTGGGTTTCGAAATTTGATTGTTAAAAAATTAACTTAGTTGATGCCTTTTACATCATCTATTGAACTGAAAAAAGCTTTTTGTTTCATACAACAGTATAATATTTAATATCCCTTCTCAAAATTTTCCAAGTCGATATACTTCGCGAGGTTTTTTGAAATGCTTAATTTATACGCAATTTGGTTTAATACTCTACATGCAAAGTTAGTGTGATTGCCTTAAGGTTATTACAATCCAAATTAATACATGCAAAACTTTTGTGCATTTTAAAGCTCCCGAATCTTTGCCGCTTTCACGCTCGTGTTTGCGAAGTTACAGCTTTGCCTCTGTGTTGAACCTTAACAGCTTTCAGGTTCATTCCCACTTGTCATAGAGGTAACGTGGTGGCCTTTGCACCCCAAGGTCTTAGGTTCGAATTTATTTGTACCCTTAGGTATCGGTTCGAGTTCAGTTGAACTTGTTTTCCCGTAGAATTGAATTATCGGATTTTTGTTTTTCCTCTCAGGTTTGCTGCCTTGCGTGCCACATCGCTGATTTTTCTTGTGCTGTAAGCATTTTTGATTATAGTTGCAAAAGTCGTTAATTGTAGTTTCAGGGTGGACTTAAAACTTTTTTACAAATCATTTTTTTCGTATCAACTGATGTCTGCTCAAAAACTGCGGTTTTATTTCCGCTTCGTAAATTTTGTTCCGTTGCTATTTTATTTTTCAAATCTTTTGCTTAACATGTTTGCCTAGAATGAATTTTTGTTGAGAAATACGAACATTTTGGTAGAACTAGAACTTTTGGTAGAACTAGTAGAACACGCAAAATCAGGTACCGCGAATAATCATCGAACTTGTTTTTGTTATGTTTGTGTTGTATCGCAAGTGTTGCGAAGCCCCGTTTTGCCTATGTGTAATACTTACTAGGTTCCACTTCTTCGAAGTGTTTTCGTCTCGGAACCAGTAGCTTCTCATCAGAAACAAGATATAAACGCTTAGAAAGTTTCTGCCAAGCATTAACTCCCGAGCTCATCAATATTAGTTAAGTTTTTTGGTTTGGGTTATCTCAACTTCAATAATATGAAGATGCAGAATTTAAAAGGGAATTAAAGCAGTTTGTTATTTCATTTTAGGAGACCGTAGCAAACCGAAACCGGGAAGGATGGCGTTGAACTCGTCAGCTGCACAAGGAGTGCGACTGTTGCTCAACCAGCTTAAAAGTAACTTATTCAATTTTGTGACCACCGTGTCTTAAGGAAAATATTAAGGAAAGTTATAGCGATTTGATGTTGACATTTGGATGTTAGAAGATAGTAGTAAATAAGCCGAAGTGTAAATCAGCTACCGTATGAATTAGCTAAAAAAAGGGGGGGGGCTTTCATAAAATTTAAGTTAACAATTTCAAAAATCATGATGATTTGAACACAAATGACAGAATTTTTAGCGGTTAGATACTTGCGATGGTTTGTTTCTCCCTCGGTTATAAGATGGACGACAAAAACGGATCCATCAGTTATTCCATCAGTTATTACTGTTGTGTGGTAATGCTGTCAGATTATGCTGTAACTCATATTTGAGAAAGTTGTTTATTTCAGAGGGAACCAGAAGTAGCTTAGCAGATTATTTCATGCAGCAAAAACCAAATGACAGATGTCCCGGTTGTCTGGAACCCAAAGCTGCAGAGAGCAAGGAAAGCCCAGTGGAAACCCAACCCCAACCGAGCCCTACTCTTGTACAAAGCACTTCAACATCTTCAGGTACATTTTGAGCAGTATCAATAAGGTGAGACGAAAAGAACCTAATAATTATGAACATCGACCTTCTTTATTTTCACCACACATGAGTTTTTCACATGTTGAATTTTAGCTGACTTAGCCCAATCGTTTTGAAAGGATTACCACATATGAAAGGATTACCACGCAACAAATTGGAAGTACACGGGGTCTTTATTCATTGTGATCAATGATGTCCATTTTAAAAATGAATAAAAAATCATTAAAATTGTTGGCACCAATTTAAATATATCCGAATCTATTTGAATTTTCTATATCAGTTTAAATTTTTGATTGGAGCTGATTCTTCCTACTTTTGGGTAAAAGATGTGGCTTTTGAAAAAATTCGCTCTGTGTTGGCCGGTGATGTAATCAAAGTCAGTATAGTTCTCAAAATTTTCTGCCAATTTTGGGTACTTCTCGCTGCTTTGAAAAATATCTTACCCAATGGTGAGTTTGTTTGGCTATGTGAAAATGTATGGAAGCTGTTTCCAAATCTCAAGTAATGAGGCAATGATTTTTTAGACGCTGAAGCTGTAGTGGTGGAAGAAAGCATCAGCATGGTGGTTGAGCAGGTTAACCCTGAAGTTGAGCCAAGTTCAACTTCAAACTCTGATAATTGATGCCAATTCATTGCAATCATCAATTTTGATAAACATTTCAAAACATTTCTATTCTGGATTGTGGACACTAATAGTCCCTTTACAGCTTTATTTCTACTACTTTGAGTTAATGGCAAATGGAATGAGTTCAGCCTGCACTTGTGGGCCTTTGATTGGGTTTTGTACTAGTAGTTTTCGTAATTTATTATCTTGAACCTGTTCATCTTCCTTCTTTGGTCCATCTCAGCAGTGAGTGCCAATTGTTAGTGTGAGTTTCAGTTGAATAAATTTTTTTATTTCACACAAGTGTACTGCAATCGGTACAAAGAGTTAGAAGGTATACTCATTTGTTTAATTAGTAAGCTCAATTAAAATGTTCGAAAACATGTTTTAATTTGATTACAAAACTTTGCATTTGACGAACAAAACTACACATAAATCTAAATAAATCAGTTTGTTTTTGAATATAAGATTGTCAATTATCAAGTTTACTGAAATTGTAAGAGCCTTGTGGCGAAGTAATTTTTTTTTGAAAAAAAAATTGAATAATTTCGGCTGCTTTGAAAATCGCCAACAATTTTCCGATTGTTCCTAGCTGTGTGGTTTTCTTGAAATTCGCTATTTTGGATAGGAAGAACTTTAATGTCCTTTATGTCTAAAGGTTCAATTCCAGTAATAACGTTAATACTATCTCAGCTTATTATGTTTGCCAAATATGTTTCTTCGATAGGTGGATCTCAGAAGTCGATTTTTTTCTCAAATGTATCACCTTTTCAAGTCTTTGCTGTTTTTCACTTGATGAAAGTTACCGCTCCTATCCGAGTGCAAGTTACGTGGTCCGATTACCGTAGTAAACCAGTTTTTTTCATACAAAGCTTTTTCCTTATTTTTCTGATGCGCACCTTCGCCTGTTTTCGACAACGCCATGAGGTGACAGGAAGTAACTATGGCGTAGAGTGGTTTGATTTTCTTGCCGAAGGATGTTAATTGTAATATCTTATTCCTATTGGTCGTGATTTGCAACTCAAAAAAAGTGTCTCAGTGCTGAGAAATACTGGTCTGAATACATAATGGTTTTTTCACCAAATTAGAACAAAAATGGTCTTAGAATTGGTTTTCAGACCATTTTGCGATCTAATTAACAACTTTTGATTTTTTGTGATTTTCTCGTGAAAAAATATATTTCGGGACTAATCATACAGTAACCGGCTCTCCTTGTTCCAGATGTCGAAATGAGTAATAATTTTGCTTAAAAAGAAGACTGCGTGAGGGCATCTTGTTTTTATTTCAAAAAGTGTTAGCATTTGTTCAAGTTGCATATTCCAATGACCTTCACAAAGAATGAATCATGTCCAGATTATACAGAATCGAGAGGATGTTGAGATAACATCCAGATACAATGAGCACGTATTTGATACGGAAGAAGATACTGAACCTGAGATTCCAGCTGACAGTATTGAAATAACGGTGGACGAAGTCTCAAATCTTTATCTACGCTGGGAAACCATTAGTGTATACATTGATGCTTATATAAAGTGTTAAAACGATACAATACCAGTGGAAAAATGGCAATTAGAACCAGATTCAGACGATGAAGAATGCTACGCGGAAGATGAAAGCTATTCAAACAATGAGAGCGATACTTTGCAATCAGAATCTTCAAAAAACGGTCGGAGAATTAATTTAAAATTCCATGATGAAATATCTTTAAAAAGCGTTTACTCATATTCAAGTAGTTGTTCCGACCCTTTAACGAAGTAGGAAGGAACTATGGTGAAAGGTTGCTTGATTTTAAGCCTTTATTTTCCGAAGTGATAGGTATAGGGTGTTTTTTTTCAGCCAAATTTTACGAAACTCAAAAAAAAATTCATAGTGGGGTTAAGTGTGATGTCATATTAAAACCCTATTACTCGTGATTCTGATTCCGGAACAAATCAAAAAAGTGGTCTCAGTTTGATTTTTTTTTAAAATGTCTAATTTTTTTCTGCTTTCAGACCAATTAGTGAGAGTTTCCCCTCTTTCTATTGGTTTAAAGCTATAATATGAGCTATAATTTTAAGCTATTGCGTCATATTTGCAGCTTATTGTCTAAATGAACCCTCTTCCATCGTCAAGGAAAAAAGAAACAATGAAAATCTTTTTAAAAAAATTCACTAATTCTTGGGTGATTGTGATCAGATCGTCCTGTGCTACTTGGGCAGCAACCTTAAGTCTTTTTGGTTCATAATCCAGCTGAAAAATCAAATCTTTTGCGTGTCGCCATTTTCGTCTTTGATTCAAAAGTTCACAACGAGAACTGGAACTTGGTTAGCTATGTAAATAATCTATCTATACATTATTTAACAGATGCTTTTGATACAATTTATGAAACCACTATGTTGTAATGTTAAAATACCAATTTATTTCAACATTTAAAATAAGTTATACAAATGATGAAGTGAAGTAGTCTTTGCATTCATACATGGAAATAAATGTAAATTTTCTAAGGTCATCTACGGTTTTTACCAAACATCTGTTGGAGCGTGATTGCTTTTCCCTTTCCTCGCGCGCTAACTTTTAAAAAACTGAACGTTATAGTGTTTTCTAACAAAATTTGGAATTAGTAATCCTGTTGTAAGGTGCTTTGAAGGTTCTCCGAGAGAATGCGAATCGAGCCTCACAATATGATTGTTCAAATCATATTAGTTTACGCAGATATGGTGATCCTAGTAATTTCAAAAAAAGTTCTGATTTTTCAGTTCTTACACTATCGGGCAGCGTAGTGTATCAGTATGAACCTTTTTGTTCTAACCTAACTGAAAAATAAAGGTGTTCATTGAAAGTGTTCATTTATTTGGTGGCACTTTTGCTATAATCACGATATTTCATAGCATCTGTTCTTTTTTGCATCTAGTGTTAGTGATTTATTAAGCCTCTGTGGCTGAGTAGTTAGTGAGTGAGACTCAAAATTTCATGGTCGAAGATCAAATCCGAGACGTAGCCGAATTTTTACTAACTCGAGGCTTGTTTCAACTTTTTCGTATTGCACTTTATAGAGCTGTTTTTTTTGTCGTTTTCTCGCTAGTGTTCGCGAAGATTCGCCTCTTTGTAAAACCATGGTTTCAATCACGTAACAAAATTTGAATTTTCCAATCCTACGGTGATATACAGCCAGGGTACAACAAGGGTTTATTATAAATCTGACCTGCTCTAGCTGTACATTTCCTTAGATAGTTTTATTTCATGATTTCAAGTTTTTTTTCGGAGTTAAACTTTTTTTCATCTTAGAAGTTTTGTTTATTCAGATTCATGGCTTCAAGTTTCTCGGTTTTTCGTCGGCAGAAATCTCAAGAATTCGAAATTTGTCCTTTTTTGTGCAAAGAAGGTTTGTTTTTACTTGACTCATGTTCATGTGCAAACCTATACCATAACAGTTTTATTTAAATGTTAGATTTTTTAAGGTTACCACCATTGTGTTTTCGGTATTGATCTATCGATTTAGATTTGTTGGAATAACAACTTAAATCACAAACTTAGTAAAAATGTTTCAGTTATTTGGCATTGGAAAACCAATTGATAATTTCTCGCAACCCGATTTCAATTAGCCCAGTTTGTAAAACCAACTATTTTTTTCCGCTGCCGTTATTGATAGATGAAATTAACTTGCTGCAAGTGTGACTATATCTGATTGTTGAATTTAGTTAGCATCGTCAATAATGTGGCAGACAACCAACTGACACTTACAAGTCTGAAGGATCGGAGCCAATGGAGGTGCAATTGTCGGGAGAAGTTAAACGAACCTCACCGATTTTTTTCTCAAATGTATCACCTTTTCAAGTCTTTGCTGTTTTTCACTTGATGAAAGTTACCGCTCCTATCCGAGTGCAAGTTACGTGGTCCGATTACCGTAGTAAACCAGTTTTTTTCATACAAAGGTTTTTCCTTATTTTTCTGATGCGCACCTTCGCCTGTTTTCGACAACGCCATGAGGTGACAGGAAGTAACTATGGCGTAGAGTGGTTTGATTTTCTTGCCGAAGGATGTTAATTGTAATATTTTATTCCTATTGGTCGTGATTTGCAACTCAAAAAAAGTGTCTCAGTGCTGAGAAATACTGGTCTGAATACATAATGGTTTTTTCACCAAATTAGAACAAAAATGGTCTTAGAATTGGTTTTCAGACCATTTTGCGATCTAATTAACAACTTTTGATTTTTTGTGATTTTCTCGTGAAAAAATATATTTCGGGACTAATCATACAGTAACCGGCTCTCCTTGTTCCAGATGTCGAAATGAGTAATAATTTTGCTTAAAAAGAAGACTGCGTGAGGGCATCTTGTTTTTATTTCAAAAAGTGTTAGCATTTGTTCAAGTTGCATATTCCAATGACCTTCACAAAGAATGAATCATGTCCAGATTATACAGAATCGAGAGGATGTTGAGATAACATCCAGATACAATGAGCACGTATTTGATACGGAAGAAGATACTGAACCTGAGATTCCAGCTGACAGTATTGAAATAACGGTGGACGAAGTCTCAAATCTTTATCTACGCTGGGAAACCATTAGTGTATACATTGATGCTTATATAAAGTGTTAAAACGATACAATACCAGTGGAAAAATGGCAATTAGAACCAGATTCAGACGATGAAGAATGCTACGCGGAAGATGAAAGCTATTCAAACAATGAGAGCGATACTTTGCAATCAGAATCTTCAAAAAACGGTCGGAGAATTAATTTAAAATTCCATGATGAAATATCTTTAAAAAGCGTTTACTCATATTCAAGTAGTTGTTCCGACCCTTTAACGAAGTAGGAAGGAACTATGGTGAAAGGTTGCTTGATTTTAAGCCTTTATTTTCCGAAGTGATAGGTATAGGGTGTTTTTTTTCAGCCAAATTTTACGAAACTCAAAAAAAAATTCATAGTGGGGTTAAGTGTGATGTCATATTAAAACCCTATTACTCGTGATTCTGATTCCGGAACAAATCAAAAAAGTGGTCTCAGTTTGATTTTTTTTTAAAATGTCTAATTTTTTTCTGCTTTCAGACCAATTAGTGAGAGTTTCCCCTCTTTCTATTGGTTTAAAGCTATAATATGAGCTATAATTTTAAGCTATTGCGTCATATTTGCAGCTTATTGTCTAAATGAACCCTCTTCCATCGTCAAGGAAAAAAGAAACAATGAAAATCTTTTTAAAAAAATTCACTAATTCTTGGGTGATTGTGATCAGATCGTCCTGTGCTACTTGGGCAGCAACCTTAAGTCTTTTTGGTTCATAATCCAGCTGAAAAATCAAATCTTTTGCGTGTCGTCATTTTCGTCTTTGATTCAAAAGTTCACAACGAGAACTGGAACTTGGTTAGCTATGTAAATAATCTATCTCTACATTATTTAACAGATGCTTTTGATACAATTTATGAAACCACTGTTGTAATGTTAAAATACCAATTTATTTCAACATTTAAAATAAGTTATACAAATGATGAAGTGAAGTAGTCTTTGCATTCATACATGGAAATAAATGTAAATTTTCTAAGGTCATCTACGGTTTTTACCAAACATCTGTTGGAGCGTGATTGCTTTTCCCTTTCCTCGCGCGCTAACTTTTAAAAAACTGAACGTTAAAGTGTTTTCTAACAAAATTTGGAATTAGTAATCCTGTTGTAAGGTGCTTTGAAGGTTCTCCGAGAGAATGCGAATCGAGCCTCACAATATGATTGTTCAAATCATATTAGTTTACGCAGATATGGTGATCCTAGTAATTTCAAAAAAGTTCTGATTTTTCAGTTCTTACACTATCGGGCAGCGTAGTGTATCAGTATGAACCTTTTTGTTCTAACCTAACTGAAAAATAAAGGTGTTCATTGAAAGTGTTCATTTATTTGGTGGCACTTTTGCTATAATCACGATATTTCATAGCATCTGTTCTTTTTTGCAGCTAGTGTTAGTGATTTATTAAGCCTCTGTGGCTGAGTAGTTAGTGAGTGAGACTCAAAATTTCATGGTCGAAGATCAAATCCGAGACGTAGCCGAATTTTTACTAACTCGAGGCTTGTTTCAACTTTTTCGTATTGCACTTTATAGAGCTGTTTTTTTGTCGTTTTCTCGCTAGTGTTCGCGAAGATTCGCCTCTTTGTAAAACCATGGTTTCAATCACGTAACAAAATTTGAATTTTCCAATCCTACGGTGATATACAGCCAGGGTACAACAAGGGTTTATTATAAATCTGACCTGCTCTAGCTGTACATTTCCTTAGATAGTTTTATTTCATGATTTCAAGTTTTTTTTTCGGAGTTAAACTCTTTTTCATCTTAGAAGTTTTGTTTATTCAGATTCATGGCTTCAAGTTTCTCGGTTTTTCGTCGGCAGAAATCTCAAGAATTCGAAATTTGTCCTTTTTTGTGCAAAGAAGGTTTGTTTTTACTTGACTCATGTTCATGTGCAAACCTATACCATAACAGTTTTATTTAAATGTTAGATTTTTTAAGGTTACCACCATTGTGTTTTCGGTATTGATCTATCGATTTAGATTTGTTGGAATAACAACTTAAATCACAAACTTAGTAAAAATGTTTCAGTTATTTGGCATTGGAAAACCAATTGATAATTTCTCGCAACCCGATTTCAATTAGCCCAGTTTGTAAAACCAACTATTTTTTTCCGCTGCCGTTATTGATAGATGAAATTAACTTGCTGCAAGTGTGACTATATCTGATTGTTGAATTTAGTTAGCATCGTCAATAATGTGGCAGACAACCAACTGACACTTACAAGTCTGAAGGATCGGAGCCAATGGAGGTGCAATTGTCGGCAGAAGTTAAACGAACCTCACCAGTGCAGATTGCACAACACAGTGCTTGGCGCAATGCGCAGATCCAGACGCAGGGCAGCTCGTCGCGAAAGAAAGCCGCGTGTCATACTGGAACCAAATAAGGAAACAATAATTTCAGAAGAAGGTTGGCAAGCAATTGCGTTATTGAATCGATGGGGGTGCAGGGCTTAACATGAGCAAATTGTTGTCGCAGTTGGTTAAGGGTTGCATTTATTGATTATTAGTTGATAAGTTTGAAACCGTAAGTTGATCGCCGATATTTCGATTTCTGCAATGCCCAAACTGACATTTTACAGACTAGCTAAACAAAGCCAAATGCTTGACAAAAGAAGGTGAGCATATCATATTTTCCTAGTGACACAAAGTTGTGCTTCGCTTAAACTATCAAAAAGGTACCAACCGCTGATATCGACGACTTAATAATACCTGAATTTGCGTGAGCTCACGGACGAAATTTCTTCTGGCTTAATGTGACTGCATCAATAAATGTTCCAGGCTCATCTAATTTCTCTTCAATAGTGCTCAACTCTCAAAACTACTCAATCTCTAACGACATCTGCTCGTCTTCAGGGTTTCTTGAGGAGTCTAGCGACATTTCATGTACATCAAGTTCAAGAGTACCGACTGGTGAGAAAAATATTTAAAGTTAGTTTTCAAATAGTCAATTGGGGGGGGGGGGCATTTGGAGCTAAAATATGACAATAAAGATACGTGGCCCTGAACTATCTTCAATTTGGCTACCGCTTTAAAAACAACCTAGAATAAATTTAGCTAGTTTCATGATGCGATCTCGGACATTAGAGAGTGGCTAATATCTCTTTCTCTCAGTAGAAAGCTCAGTATTCTTTGTATCGAGGGTGAGGCAACATTTCCCAACACCGAAAATTAACTAAAAATTGTTTGCAGCTGTCACTAAAGCGGGCTCCATAAGAGCTGAAAAACGCGTACATGTTCAGTGTATATGTATAACTGAACAAGACTAGACTTGTTCAGTTAAACAGTTCTAAAAATAGCGTCAAACAGTTTATGGCTCAGGTATTTTCTTTGTCTTTGTCATATTTATACCTGAAGTCACTAGCGTTCATTTTTGTTTTCAGCTCCGACAAAGTTCGAAAATTCCTGTCAAGAATTGAAGGAGAGGATACGTGCTCAAATTTTCCTTGTTCAGCGCAACAGGAATGAACTTATGAGAGAAGGTAGGGGTTATTTCCAATAGGCTTTGGGGTTGCATTTAAACGTACCGAAAGATCAGTTTCTTGCAAAAATTGTTTGTCGGTTAGTTGAAACTTGTCAGTCTGCCGCAGAAAAAACCAGAATTGTAAAGCTTTAATGAATTAAGTGATTTTTAGTTTGATATGAAGGTTTCAGGGTTTTCAGTTGTTGCATTTTTTTGACAAGTAAATTCTCAGTTCTTAGGGCATTTATTGTTCCCTAAATTGATTTTTTTCTGTCAAGTCACTTAACCCATCTCCCTTTCTAGCCTTCACCGCAATTGATTGTTCGATGAGACGAATCTCCATTATAAACGTTTTATAATTTGATTGATTTTTTTTCTACCTGTAATAATGTTTCTCGATTTTCTCAAAATAATCCAAAATCCTTAAAAAACATCATTGAGGACAGCATTCGTGAAAAAAATGATTCCTTTTCACAATTGATCTAATAATAAATAATCACTAAAAATTAAACAATATTCATATTTGCACTTAAAGTTCACTTCAATTAAGTCGAATTAATTTGTTGAAATGGAGGCAAATTATGCGATCTAACTACAAAAGTGGAAAAAGTACGGAAAAACGTAAACGACCCATAGTTTTGAAAGTGGATTTTAGTTTTTAGATTTCTTAGCGGAATACTAATTGAACCTTTTGATCCAGTTTTCTCCATCTGGGTTATAGTATCAAGTAAGTATCAAGTAAATGTCAAATAAGTTGCTAAAGTTTTTCGAAATTCAAAAAGCTGTACGCGGATAATTTTGAAGTGTAAAAGTGTGATTTTAACTTAAATCGGTCCTTGTGATTTTTTGCTGTTTTTCAGGAAAAAGTCTTGAAATGCTCTAATAACTTCAAATGTGCATCATACATATTAATGCAGTTATGAATCCTTTTAAGTATAAATGCACTTTTTTTATTTCAATAACTGTTCATTTACGAAAGCGGAAATGGCGTGAAATAACCTGAATTACTTTCAAGTTCGGTAGTGGATTATAATTTTTGATATTCCAACGAAATAGATAATTTATTACGCTTGCTATTAACTAAATGACTTGAATCAGTTGGTGCCTTGGTTCATAATAAATTTAAATTTTCTAGCGTCTCCGGCACACGTCTAAACGCTTAGTATCGCACTTAGAGGTAACTGTAATTTTTTTACTACTCAAAAAATGTTTGGCCTATTTGCCTGCTTATGTTTTGACGGCTTAGTTGCCACATCTTTTTTTCTCAATTCAATTTTCGTCTTATTTGTTCTTAGTATTTTGATTTACTCCTGTTATTTGTAACTCAGTACTAGCCTTGACAAAATTTGTACTACCCCTGACTTCGTAAATTTTTTTGCTTGAAAATTTTATTCGGCCCTAGTGATTTTTTATCTTCTAAGTGAACTAATTTTGGACAGCTCTAAGGGAATTGATGGTCCCCTCTGAGTTTTGATGGTCCCCTCTGTATCGCACAATGCTAAACATCTTGAAATACAATTTATAGTTCAACATTTTTCATGACAATTCTCTTTTCGGTTCTACTTTAATTTATCAAAGATTTGCCAGCTCAGTTCTTGCTCAATAATTGTTTTTGAATTTTCATTAAACGTCGTTGATTGTATTCCTGGGCGTGTATTCCGCAAATAGAAAATCATTCCAGACAAAGACTCAGTTGATATCTTTCATGCCTGCTAGCTTACCATGCTATTTTATGTGGTATCGCAGATTATGTAAAATTCCGTTTCGCCTCTGTATTAAGAATAATTAACGCCGTGAAGACTCTTATATAGGTCTTGAAATGTGCAGAAAAGTCTCTAATAACTACAGATGTGCATTCGTACATATTGATGCATTTATGAATGCACTTGGATATAAATGTGACGTAAATAGCACTCTCCAAATACGAACGTGGAAATGGCGCGAAAAAAAGTGAACGATTTTTACTTTCGAAAGTGGAATTTAGTTTTCAGATTTCCAGCGGAATAAAAACTTGACTCGTTGATCCAGTTTTCTTTAGTTAGGTTAATGTATTAAAAATGTATTTAAAAATGTATTTTTTTCTTTGAAATGCTAAATTTGAATTTTTTTTTAATACAAGTCCGTATTTTTTTCTGTTAACTTTTGTCTGGTGGCTATGTTTTAAATTTTTAGTTGAAAAGACTGGAGTTATTTTCTATTATTGGTTTTCATGATGTAGTTGTAGTTTTTTTTGGGAATAAGTCTTAAAATGCTCTAATAACTACAGAAGTGCATCATACATGTTAATGCATTTTTGTTTACACTCATGTATATGTGCATTTGAGTTCAAATAAGTTCAGTTGCTAAAATTAAGATGAATCGTGCACTCCAATTGCGAAAGCGGAAAGAGTGCAAAATAATGTGGTCGATTTCTAGTTATGAAAGGAAGGCAAATCACAAGCAAATGAAATTTCGAAAGACATAGACCGTGATCAGTCACACCCCGACCTGTGTTTGCTTGAATTCCGAACTCCGCGACAATATTCAATTGTGTATAAAAATGGATTTAGTCAATTTTGTTTCGTAAACTGTGATAAACAAAGGTATTGCAATCGAGTACTGGACTTTTTCCCGTGAAAAATTTTGTTCACAGGACTTATCTCTGTATCCAGGACTCTGTACTACTGGGCCTTTCTGTTGCAACAGACGTATTTTGAGCATGTTGGCTTTTTAAATATCTAGCCTAATCGAAATTTGCTTTTTAGCTTGGTTGTAATTTCACCAACTCGATTCGTTAAAATTTCAGTTTTTTTTTCTTTCGGTTTTGGCTTAGCATATATTGACTTAGTGGTATCTTAGGGCATCGTTTGAAAACTGAAAGAAAAAATTATTTTTTTGCGTGCGCGTTTTAGTACAGTTTTTTTGCATTGCAGCGTTCTGCTCAGTTATTTTTGGCTTAGTTGCCACTTGCCAATAATAAACTCAATCAATTTTCCGGTGGCATCTGGCGTAGAGGTAACACAACTGCTTGAGATGGCAAAGGCCGGGACCTATTTTTTACGAATAGTTTTTGTGCTTTTCCGGACTATCGTCCGTCTGTTTATTTTTTCGAGAATGGAATATAATTATCAGATTTCCCTGCGAAATAAAAAAAGTTTGCTCTTTGATCCAGTTTTCTCAAATTGGGTCAGTTTTCTCAAATTAGGTCAGTTTTATCAAATAAGTGTCAATGAAAGTTTGCTAATTGCTCTAGAAATTCAAAGAGTTGTAAGGCCATCTGCTTTTTTTTGGAAAATCGAAAGTCAGTGTTTGTTTTCTGTTTACTTGCGTTCATTGACTCTTTTCCGATTGTCTCTTGGCTATGATTCAATCTTTTAGGTGGTGTACCTACAGTGGTATTTTTGGATGGATTTTGCCAGCAGATACCAATAAGAGAACTTAAAACTGAAGCGATAACAGAAGACAGATAACGAACAGAAAATCCAACATTCATATGCAGTACGAGAATAAATAATTGTGGATTCAGCAACAAAAAACACATACTCGAATTGGGTAATCGTTCGTGATTGTAAAAACTGATTGTTGTTTCAATTGAGGAGAATAAAAGAAAAAGTCGTGGCTTTTCACTGCAATATCTTATTTGTACAATCTCAGTACTAGGTTTTTGAATCCACCTAGTATACATCCGCATCCTTTAGATTGCAATACTTCAAACTATTAAACTTCCTACCAATGAGACGATGAGAAAGAATACCTGACAAGCTTTAAAACGAGCAATGGGAGGCTCCCAACACAAAAAAATTATGTCGCTGTGAATAAATATGCAATTATTACACAAGCAAAGCTCTATAAATTGAGGCACGTTAGTTGGCAAATTTCTTTTTTTTTTCAAATTGAGTGGTATTGCTAATGCGTCATAAATGGCTTGCGTCATTTAGCAGTTCTGTCATATTTTTGCTTGTGTATGCTGCGTGCAACTTCACCTCTGTGTCTGAAAATTGAGACACTTATTTGCGTTTTATTTGCTTTGATTTATCAATTTGTTTAATTTAATGATTCTTATCATAGATCTGGTTGGTTTGACAGCCTATTTTGAATTTTTGTTATTCTTCAGTTGAAAGACGCTGATTCAACTGAAATCCTGCCCATAATTCATTAAGATATTTGTGATAGTTATAGTATATTTTGCATTGAAATTGATATCCGAATTTTCCAGAGTAGAATTCTATTAAATTTTTGCAATAAACAATTGTGTTCTGGATGTCTTTACATTTGATTCAACCGAACTATATTTGAAAATATTTTGTGGAAGACTATGATTTCTTAGAATAAACTCGCTAATTACACTGGATATGCGCGACAAATTAAGACGTTTTTCAGATAGGATTGCTAGTTTTGGCACCCCGGCCATCAATGCTTTCCAGTGCGGGCCCTGGAAGAGAGTGCACGATGTTCTACCTCGGCGCAAGGTCAAGAAAGTCCTCGAGTTACTACATCAATTTCCAAGTCCAGCGCTTGTTTTTGAGCTGGCATAGGCTGAAACTGGAACAACTGATCTTGAACCTACACTCAGGAGAGCTGCAGAAAGTTCTACTTCTGCGGTCCAACGTGGAATCAAATCCGGGGCCAGAGCTTTGTTGCATTTGTAATAAAAAATTTAGTAAGCGACAGAGTGCGGTCTGGTGTCACAGAGGAGGATGGATTCATCTATCATGCTCAGATCTTAAATCTACGTCACAATGGGATAACTGCTATGTGTGTGAAACATGCACATGGTGCATACACGACTCTCAACAAACGAATGACGAAAATATTGAAGATCTTAACCTGCTTCAATGGAGCTGCAATGGCTCAGTGAGCATTGAAATGGCAGAAATCCACCATGAGTCAACTGGCTATAACAGGATAGGCGACACTAATGACCTTGTGGTTTCCAGTAGCCCGACTTTTGGTTCAGATAGCTTAGTTAACGATCACTTTAAAATTGAAATAAAAGAAGAGCCAAATGTGACCCAAGACTTTTGGGTGGCCGATACTTGGACAAGCATAGAAGCTCTGGAATGGATTGTGGAAATTGTCACAAATCTCTATCTAAATTTTGATCTCAAGCAGCGCTACGAAAGATATTGCAATTTAAATGTGGACGATTTTTTTCAAGGTAAGAAGTGGTTGTTATTTGTTCTTAGAAAACGCAAATTGGAAAAAATACGGGGCAAGTTCTTAAATAAAATATTTTAAAAAAAATTAAATGAAACAGTTCAATCAACCAGAGCGGGAAACCTCGCGTACCTCTACTCGTACAAAATGTTTTAAAAGTATTTTGACAGTTTCAATCTTGTTTTTGGATTTTTTTACCCGAATTCCTATCGTTTCAAATGTGACCTATCGGGATTTTAGGCAGCTAGATTTTAAGAGATAGGTGTTGATAATCCGGTTGTTATCTAGGTTGTTAATTAGCTGGACAATTTTGTCTGGGAACCAAATGTCTTGGACACTTTTTGAATTTCGGACAGTTTTGTCCGGGACAAAAATGTCTTGGACACAATTGTCCAGACACGATTTAACCTCTTCAGTTTCGAAGAGGTTTGATATTTGCTCTTCTAAATTACGCGCTCTTTTTAGTAGTTATCTGTGATGGTCTTTGCGTAAGCGCGACTTATTTGAGCTAGGAGCTTTAGTTCAATTTTCACCATACTCAAATCTTCGTAGAAAATTGAGTTTTGGCAACTAGCTAGTGTTTTTTACTTTTTAAGAGCAATAAACGTAGTGAATACTCTTAAATAGGTCTTGGTTATTTTTTTTTTGTTTTTTTTTAAGGAAAAAGTCTTAAAATGCTCTAATAACTACAGATGTTCATTCCTACATTAATGCATTTATGAATGCACTTAGGTATATATGCATATTTTGAGTTCAATTGAATTCATCTGCTGAAAGTGACGTAAATAGCACTCAAAATATGAACGTGGAAATGGTGCGAAAAAAATGAAAAATTTCTAGTTTCGAGAGTGGAATTTAATTTTTAGATTTCCAGCGGAATAAAAACTTTACCTATTGGTCCAGTTTTCTCAAGTAATGTTATTGTTATCAAAAGTCTTAGACATTTTTTCAACAAAGTCAGTTTTTTTTCTGTTTACTTGCGTTCATTATTCGTTTCCAACTGCCACTTGGCTATGTTTGCAGTTGATTTTCTTGGCATTTTCTTTTTTTTTGCTAATCGCGCCGTTTTTACTTGTTAGTGGCGTGCAGATTGCTCTCTTCATGGAAATTTATGGTCTATGTTTGCTTCTAAATCAAGCGAGCTTGCCAGTGTAGTAATATGGTCAATCTACTGTTTTTCAACGTAATTCTCGCTGTAAGTGCTGAGATTAAAAAGCAAACTTAATCCAAATAACCGTTTTTGACTTAAGTTAAGTTCCTTAACCCTCTTGAAAATAATGCCGCCCTTTTCTCAAACGTGGAAAGATATTCTTTCTGGTATTATTTTTCCTACATCTTTTGAAACGCGTCCAGACAATGCAGCCAATAATAGTGACCGCCGCAGTCGCGCCAATGTGTTGCGAGCTTGCCAACAGAAGCTAGGACTCACACGAAATTGAGAGCCGGTTATCGCCGTAAAGCGGCGATGCGCGCGTAACGCGCCCACCGGTGACCTTAAACCGAGAAATAGCTCCAGTTCCGATTTTTTTCCTTTCGAATCTAGCGTTTTGTAAAACTGGCTGAATTGTCTGTATATTTTTGGCTGAATTGTCTGAGTTTTAAATTGCCTTTGGCCTAATTGTCAGTGCGCGGTTTTGAAACTTCATAAATTGTCAATACGATGGACTATATTTTGCGCGTTTTTATGTGCTCGTCCGCGATGCTGGTGAGACTCAAAATAATCGTTTCTTTAAAGGGAGGCGGACTAATTAGCAGAATGGTCTAAGAGCAGAAAAACTTTTAATGATTTATACGGGCTAATTAAAACAATTATCAGACTCGTCTATAATACCAAGAAAATGAATAAATTATACATGAATTGAATAATTTCATCCAGTTTTTTTTATTCTGATGAAAAAATTGCGATTAAATTACTCAAATCATGCATAAAAGATTAGTTTATTTGGTTATAATGCCTATTCTCATATTTTATTTACCGATTAGCTTATAAAAATTAAAGTTTTTCTGCTGTTAGATCCATTCTGCTTTTAGAAAATTCTGCTTATTGACTGGCCACCACTTTAAAACGCTCAGATAATCATTGAAAATGGAATTGAGGCAAGTTAATCGGTCATAATAACCTATTTAAATATTTGGGGTTGTTTTTTTTAGTTCAAAGCAGATTGCAATATATTTTTTTTTGCTTTTTCCTTTTTCGAACAAAAATATATAGCGGGTTTGTGTACAGTTTGAAAGGGATGAAACTGGGCTGAAAATTAAAGAGAAATATTACTCTCAGCGTGAACATGCATTATGATTGATTCAGATATATAACGTTAAGAGATGCAGCTTCACCTCTGTTGAATTATAAATGTGGTCTGAATTTTGAATTTAAAAGGTACTCGTAAACCTTTATTTGCTCACTTTATCATTTCTTGCATGTTGTTCATGCGAGGACAAATTTTCTTACAGAAGTTTTTCAACGCAAAATCAGGTAACAGTACTGCAAAAAAATGCATTCGCGACCTTATAAAACTTCCAAAAACGTTTGAAAATTCGGCTTTTTTGACAAAATTAGAACAATGTACAACAGTCAGAATTTGATGATTTTCTCAATTATCTTCATTCGTTTTTACATTTGCGATCAGCTTAATGTGTAATTACGAACGTTCTTTTTTTCGAACATAACTCGCAAATAAAAGTGTTCATTAAAAGTGTTCACTAATTTGGAATTTTCAATTTAGCGTTGGAAATGCATAGCATCTGTTGTCTGCTTAATTTGTGGCTAGTGTTTGGTACCTATTTAGCTTCTGCGGCTGAGTGTGTCAGTCTCTTAATCTCTAGATCACAGGTTCGAATCTCAGAGGTTGCCGAATTTAAGTAATTCGAGGCTTATTTCTAATTTTTGTTATTGCACTTTGTAGAGCTGTTTTTTGTCGTGTTCTCGCAAGTGTTTTTGAAGCCAAGCTTCGCCTTTGTGTTTAAAGCCTCAGATTAGCAAGCTTTATCAAATGGAAAGAATACTTTTTTTTAGGTTAAAAACTTGTCTAATAGAACTGCTTGATGGCTTGATTTAGAATAATTTCAAAATCAGGGACCTATTCTGCGCGTTTAGTCTGGAGGCAGCGTCCCTGGTTGGCACTACGAAGATCCTGAGTTTGAATCCAATCAGGAAATATAGGGCAAAGTTAGTGGTTCAAGCATTTTTCATTAGAAATAGAACCCTGTGCTATATTTTCATAATGGTACAGTACTAGTAAGTGAATCCCATTTTTTTGTGAGATACGAATTTTCCGGTCTTTTCATTCTCATTGCAGTAATTAATGGAGCCTTGTCTTAATTGTTTGCCTATGCGTTTTGCACACATTCAACTTTTTCCTATTCTTCGCATTTTTTTGCGGTTTGACATGTGATTTCTTTTTAAATTCAGTTCATTTCGTTTGTTAAGAAGTGTGAGAACTCCACTATCGAGCTGCATGGTGTAAAAATCTTTAAAAAGCTAAATAATTTCTACAGGGTGTTCCAAAACCTATGAGATTTTTGAAAAGACTGTCATTTTTGACTGAAATGCCGTGTGAGTCTGATTTTTCGCAGGGTGATAGATGAAATGTGGAATTTTGAGAATCCGTGAACGAATAACAATTTGGAGAAACACAATAAATGTTTTGCTCCATTTTCTTGATTTTCAATCATGCTTCATTGAATTGTTCACGCCTTTTTCTTCAATCTCGTTCATTTTATCAAAGAAATGAAATTCAGTGATTAGAAGCGCAAATTCATTATCCTCCAGTTTGCAAAAGGATTATCAGCATCAAGGCGAAATCATAGGCCTTTTCTGGTTCAGAGATGAAATAGGAGACCAATAACGGTCAACCAAGTTGTTTATCTCAACTTGCTCAGGAGCCAAGTATGTCCCCTTGTGGAACACCGGCGAGATATTAGGAGACTTTGGTTCCAACAAGACGGCGCAACATGCCATACAACCCGTCCAGTATTACAGTTTCTACAGACTGTTTTTGGTGACAGCATTATCAATCGTCATTTCCAAATTCCTTGGCCCGCTCAAAGCCCAGACCTTAATCCTCTGGACTACTGGTTCTGGGGTTATGGTTGTGCTGCAATTCATCGCGAAAACCCCAGGACCACTGCCGAACTGATCACTAGCGTTGAAAGTTTTTGTCGTGGGATCACATATGATCAGATTTCAGCTGCTACTGCCTCAGTTCACAAGCAAATGATCAAATGTCAAGAAAATGGCGGGAAACATTTCCAACATCTCTTGAAATGAATAATTTTTACTTAAAAATTTCCACATCTCGTCTATAACGTGTTAAATTATCAGGTGTCCACGTCAATTCAGTTAGAAACGACAGCCCTTTCATAAGTCTCATAGGTTTTGGAACACCCTGTAGTTACAAAAATTGATATTGGAATTCTGAGTGGAATAATTATATCATATATTGATCCAGTTTTTTCATTTTGGATTAGTGTTATCAAAATTTCAATCAGAAAAATTTCATGCAATTCACATCGCTTCAAAATGCTTTCAAAGAGTTATAATTTGGTTTCTTGGAAGCTCGAAAATTTGTAGTTTTACAAAAAAAGTATCAATTGTTCTTTTTTGTCTCCTGATGTTAATTGGCACTTAACTGTATTTGAGCATATTTTGAGCTTGTCAAATGTGATCATTTGAATCCTAATTAAGTTTTCTGCTCCCGAAGTTTTTGGAAAATTTTGAAAAATGTTCAATTTTTTCTGCAAATTTTCTGTATGCCTGGATACTACTGGCATATTTTCCTCTGTCATCAAACTTGCGAGATCAAGTGGCTTATGAATGGGAACTAGTCTTTTATCCCGTAATTAATTTTTCTTACACACTTTATTGTTCTTCTCTACTTTATTCTCTTCTCTTTACAAATCTTTTCTATATTATCGAACCTCAACAAACTGCAGGTTCCTTCCAACTTGGTGTACAGGTAACAGCGTCGCCTTTGCATCCTAATATCTTGGTTTTGAGTTTTTGAGTATGTATGCAATATGCAATGATTTTTTTTCTTAGGTTTTTGTTCGTTCGCTCAAGTTTTTTCGGCTTAATTGCCAAATCACGTAGTTTGCCTGTGCTGTAAGCAACCTTCATTTTAGCTGCAAGTGCAATTGTTGTTTGTTGAATTTTCAGGTGAGACTTGAAACTTTCAAAGTTTTTTTAAGAGTAATGAACGAAGTTCAGTGCATTACTATTGTTAAAAGTAAGGCAAACTCCACTCTCGAACAGCAGTGTAAAGATCACGAAACACGTGATCGACTTCTAATTTCGAAAATAAAAGTTTTGCCTATTAATCCAGTTTTCTCAAATTGGGTTAATTTTTACAAAAAAAAGCGTTTATTATAAATTGTTCTTCAAATTCAAATATCTTTAGGGCCATCTATTTTTTTTCTTCGAAATTCAAAACTGAAGGTTTTTAAAAAATAAGTCAGTTTTTATTTTCAGTTTCCTTGCGGCGTTCATAACTCTTTTCCACCTGTAAGTTGGCTGTTTTTATGAAATCAAATTTTTTTGCGGCTTAACTTATGTCTGCTCAAAAATTGTCGGCTGTGTCTCCTCTTCCGTTGCTTAACTTTTGTTCCGTTGCTTAGTATTTTTATTCAAATGTCTGACTTGTCAGCCTTGTGAATTTCTTTCGAGACAAACGAAATATAAATTTTAGAAGACTTAATTCAATTGGTGTGAAATTCAAATTCAAAAGAATGAGTATTTAGAAACTATTTTTAGTGGTATTATTCAATTTTGTTCAGAATCTATTTATATCTATCTATCTATCTATCTATATATCTATCTATCTATATCTATCTCTATCTATCTATCTATCTATCTATCTATCTATCTATCTAGCTATCTATCTATCTATCTATCTATCTATATCTATACTATATTTAAATGCGAGTGACAGCTATCTCCCATGTTTAAGCATTATAGTTTTGCATTTTTAACAAGAGTTTTTTCATATTTAAGCTATATCATATATCGCAATGCTTAAGAAAATTTTTAAATTAGTTTTCCGCAAGGTCATTAATTTTCAGTAATTTTTTGCGAGGCCAAATTATGTCTGTCTGTCTGTATACCTGCTTTTTAAATTAATTTGATTGTCTGTCTACCCGTCTCCTACTTTTTTTTAAACTTTCAGATATCTATTAGCCAAAATATATATAAATCCGGACTTCACTTTCTCGCCATTTTAAGGCTTTTTCAACGCAATTTTTTTGCATGCTAAACAAAAGAATTGTTTCACGTTTAAGCTATATCGTATATTGCTATGGTTAAGGTTTTTTATCGACTTTCCAGTTTAAATTCAGTTTTTATTTCATCAAGTTTGAACTTATCAACCTAATAGTGTGATGTTGTCAGAGTTTTCCCAGGTTTTGCGATTCTGGGCTCCGTATATGAATAACCAAATCCTTTTAGTTTACGAGATAGGCGATTTTCGAGATTTTTCAAAAATTTCTAGAAAAATTAGTTGAAAAATTTCTCAATTTTTGAAATTCTCACCCTGTAGTTAGGTGCTGTCAGGTTACTCTCAGGGATTGCGAATCTTGCCTCCAAATCTCACTTCTCAAATCCTTGTAGTTTTCGAGATATGACGTTTTTTAAGGTTTTTTCAAAAATTTTTCAAAAATTTAGATTTTAAAAATGCCAAAATATTGAAGATCTCATTCCTGTTGTTGGATATTGTGAGTGTACTCTCAAGAGTTGCAAATTGTGCCTCTGATTATGGCTGCTCAAATCCTTGTAGTTTTCGAGATGTGACGTTTTTTAGGATTTTCTCAAAGTTTTTCAGAGAACGTAGATATAAAAAATTTCACATAACTTGAAATTACCATCTATGTAGTCAGACTCTGTCAGGATACTCTCAGGAGTTGGGAATTTTGCCTCCAAATATGACTGCTCCAAACCTTGCAAATTTCCAGATATGACGTTTTTTTTTTTCAAAGTTTGAAATTCCTAACCTGCAGTTGGGGGTAGTCAAAGTAATCTCATTAGTTTGCAAATTTTCAAGGGGGTTGTAATCTCAAGGGGTTGCAAATTCGGCCTCGAATCAAAAATGCCCAAACCTTTTTAGCTTAAGAGATTAGTTGATTTTTGTGATTTTTATGGAATTTTTCAGAAAACTTAAATTACAAAATGATTCCTAAAGTGAAATTCCAAACCCTGTAGTTGTGGGCTGTCAGAGTACTTTCAAAGATTGTGAATATTGCCATCAAATAAGATTGCCATCAAATAAGACTGCTGACATCAAATCTTGGTAGTTTTCGAGAGGTGAAATTTTTTCTGGTTCACAAAAAAAATTTTTTTTAGAAAACTTAAGGTGAAGTTTCTCAAAATTTGAATTTTCCATTGTTGTAGTTGGGTTTTATAAGAGTACTCTCAAAAGTTGCAAATCTTGCATCCAAATGAGACTGCTCAATTGCGTTTAATTTCCCAGATGTGACGTTTCTTAGTTCATTCTAAATTTTTCGAAGAATTTATATAGAACTTCACAGAATTTTATGGTTCTTCAAAATTTGTATAAAAAAATTTGAATAAAAACTTTGCAAAATTTGGAATTAGGAACCTTGTAATTGGGTGCTGTCTGAGTACACTCAAAGAATACAGATCTTATTTTCAAAATATGCGGTTTATTATGAGTACCGGAGGTGCGTTACACGCTAGTTTTGCTGAAAATGTTTTTCGACAGGGATCAAATATCATACCAGTTTCTTTTAAAAAAATTATTAGATAAGCTGTTCTGTTTTAGACGTGGAAATTGATGTCTCAATTGGAGACATACACGAGAGCATGGATAAATTAGTGTTCTTCTGGCCAAAAAGAATATACATGTATGAGCTCCTTCTCATACATCAAAAAAGGCGTGAACAGCAGGACGAAGATGAGCAATCGGATCCTGAGGATTACGGTAAGAAATGGAAGAATCCTCCCTTGCTAAAAGGCATCTAGTAAAAAAAATCGACCCCTTAAAAATAATTCATTCAACAGTTACTAGCAGTGATGAGCATGTAGAAAAGGCTATTTAAATTTCTATTTTGCTGACTAACTGCAATTTGCAAATTCTATCGTTAATTTATTTTTGAAAAGGTAACTGGACACTTTACCCTATTCCGATGTACTCTGTGATTGATACAGTTTTATCCTTTATAACACTAGGTATTAGGGACATGTATAGAAGGGTTATTGTATTTGAGTTCTACCACGTAGACTCAATTTCGATCTCAGTTGATAATCCGAGCTCTTTGCGGACTCGATTTTGATTGAAATTTTAGCATTTAGAACAGTTTTCAAACCCCAATATAGGTAGTCAAAAAGAACACACAGAATATTCGTATTATTTAGTTTTTTACACTAGCAAGCTTGCGAGCGTTAGTGTATTTCTACGAACCTTCTTTTTTTTCTAACCTAACTCGCAAATAAAAGTATCCATTAAAAGTGTTCATTTATTTGGTGGTAATTTTGCAAAAATCACGCTCTGTACTATTGGAAATTTCATAGCATCTGCTCTCTGCTTTATTTGTGGGTAGTGTTTGTGATTAAGTAAGTGTCCATGGCTGAGTGGTTAGTATGTGAGACTCATAATCTTAGGTAGCAAATCGAACCCGAGGCGTAGCTGAGTTTCTTTTCTAATTTGAGGCTTATTTCTACTTTTACAAGAAACATAATTTAAATTATATGGTAAGTATCGCTGCAAAATTGCAAAACACATTTTTCGAAAACTTGAAATAAATTCTGTAGGTGGGAGTTGTCGGGTTAAAAAATTCAATTTAAAAAACGTAACAAAAATTGATATTCTCAACACTATTTTGTGTACTGTCAAGGATTTTGCAGGAAGTTTATATATGGACTCAAATTATGACTGCTTAAAACTGGTGACTTTTCCAGAAATGACGTTTTAATGATTTTTCGTAATTTTTCAAAAGTGATAGATTTCATTAAAATAAAATTTTTTCAAGTTTTGAAATTGTCGACGCATTGGTTTGGTGGGGCGAAGTCAAGTTTTTACCAGCAGTTGCAGATGTGGCCTCCATCCTAATATTATTGCTCAATTTTTTTAAGTTCCGAAATTGACTTTTTTGATGTTTCAAACATTTTCAACTAAGAAAAAAGTAGTTTTTTAAAATTAATTTCGTAGAATATATCTATTGGTGGCATCAAATGATATACGTAAGTGTTAATGAAACGAAACAACTAAGTTAAATAAAAGTCTCATATATGTTTTCAGTGATTTTGCCAATGAAGTCGTTTGATATGGAAAGTCCAGTTGTATGCTAATGGTCAATTTCGGATTTAGTTTCAAATACAAAGATCTGAAGTTTTGGAGATTTGACCATTTTAGTTTAAAAAGAACCTTAGTTCAAACTTTTTTATCGTTCAATTTTTGAAATAAAAAAGCACTGTTAGATGCACAGTCTATTGTTACAGCTGCATTCATTTCGTTGTTTTCTCATTAATTATATATAAGCAGTTTTCACGTTTTGTATCTGTTTGAGGCACCGGAGGTGCGTTAAACCCTAGTTGCCTATTAAGTTCACTGTCTGGATCAGACCCGTCTCCTTGTAGTTCACCAAACTTGGATATCATCGCCAAGTGAACATACTCACAAAGTGTTCGTTGGCCGGTCGCACATCAGAATGTTGGTGCAAGAAGATGCTAAAACTGAGCAGTAACGTAAAAAAAAAACAATTCAATGCCCGTTCGCTCTGTCAATCCTTATCGGGCACATCGAAATGACGCAATAGTACGAAGACTTAGCTTTCTCGATGGCGGGGTTGAAGGTACTGAGAGTCCTTTTTTGCGACCGCAACAATATGAATGCCCAATTTGAAAATCGGATCCGCAGAACCTACTAGCTGACCAGTATAGCGTTTTTAATCATACGTGAGTGGTTTTGAGAGATAGTTGTGCTTCACTTCATAAATTGCTTTAGGAAATTAAAAATGGCCATCAAAAAAGGTTTCTTAAATTGGCAAAAATTCCAATTCCTAATTCACAAAATTAAAACTGCTCATCACTGTTTGCTGATAAATAATAATTCCCATTCTGCATATATGATGGTTTCTTTTGGGAGTAATGTTTAATAGTTTGAATTATTAATACTGTTTCTATCTGTATTTGCATCAAGAAATTTATTAATAATTAGGATCAAGACGGTATCAAGATGCTATCAATTATTATCGATATGAGAGACTACTTATATCCAAGCGCGATTCCAAGCGAAAAACAAAACAAAACAGTGGCTTTTTGGTGAGAGAAAAACCGAGAGTAAGCCTCAAATTCCGCTGCCTGTTGGGTGATACGACATGGAGAGCAAGAAACAAGGAAAGAGCTCGAAAAAGGAAGCACCAGTTCTTTTCTGTGCCATATCGACACATGGGTACGCACAGGTTACTTTTCGGCGGTTTCTTTACTTAAGCAGATGCGTGAATGGGTTGGAAAATTTTGTCTACCTTGTGGACCAACCATGTTGATTTTAGAGCTGTGTGAAAACGAAGAAGACCGCAAAAGCGTGTAATAAATAACTTTTGATCAAGGCTTTATGTGCATATACAAGTTATAGGACTATAATGCCAAAATTGCACGACCTGATATAGTTTTCAAGTTGTCTTATTTGTAATGAAGGAGTTAAGGGGATCAAATCTGCAATCGTTTTTTCTGAAGTATTTTTTATTGATTCAGTTTTTGTACCGAAATTTGAAAATGGGGCTGAACTTTGTATTCGGCTGTGTTTTAGTTTTTTCCGTGCAAAATCAGGTACCACAACTTATCATTGGAGTGAATCGAATGATATATCATATTAAATCCCTTTCAGATGTGATTCGAACCACAAAAAGTATCCAAAAAGTTTTCCTATTCAAAAACATTTTTTAAAAATTTTTTCCAATTTTTTTGTGGAAAATTGTTGTCAAATGTATCTAATTTTTTTTTGCTATCGTAGTTCTAGCTTCTAGTTTTGATCCTCTCCACTCAAAAAATATAAAACGACGCAATTTGAAACAATAAGAAACTTATGTAGATTCTTAAGAATATAGTCGGAACATTCTGTGATACTTGAACAGCAACCGGCTATCCTTGTCTCTAATTGGGTTATTTTAGTTTAAAAAATGTTTCAAGATTTTTCAAATTCAAAGATCTTTTATGCTGATATATTTGTTTCTTTGAAATTCAAAATATTAGAAATGTCCAAAAAAATTTCGGTTTCCTTGAATTCAGTGCCATTTTTGACGGTCGATGAACGTATTGAAGACTTTTTTTTATAGATCGAGTAAACAGTCTTAAAATGCTCTTATTACTACAGATATGCATTCATACAAATTAATGCATTTATGAATGCAATCTTCGAGTTAGTTCATTTTAATTTTATCTGCTCAAAGTTGGTTAAATTGCAATTTCAAATAAGAAGTGGAAATAGCCCGAAAAACGAAAGACTTCTAGTTTCGAAAGTGTAATTTATTTTTATAGATTTGCCAGAGGAATAAAAATTTTTCCTAATGATCCAATTTTGTCAAATTTAGTTAATTGTATCAAAGAAGTGGCTAACATAAATTTCTCTTGAAATTCAAAGAATGTGTTTAAATTCGAAAGTTGAAGTTTTTTATAAGTCAGTTTTTTATCTGTTTTCTTCCGTCAGTTGTTTTTCTTTTTTCTTTAAAAAGTCACTCAAGTCAGTTTTGATTCTGTTTTCTTGCGTTCATTGACTCTTTTCAACCTCTTTTCCAATGTTCTTTTTTTTACTACAACTTTTCTGCCTGTGTCATACATGAATCTACGTTTTGATATACACTTTCAATGTTTCAGCATTATATTCATTGAAACGATTTGGATTGCACTGCATATTTCATCAAAATTTTTGTTATGTCAGTATTGTAGATTTTCCGAGATGTGTCGGAGCATTAAAAAACTAATTTTCATTTTTTTTTTTTGCGTCTCCGGGGAATATTTAAAAACTTAAAGTATTGAAATTATTCACCGTTTATTGCGTTTTTAATTTGCGTTTTTTGGTGGGTGTTTCCTCCTTAAGCATAGTTTGGCGACATGGAAACCTTGAAAAAATTTATTTGGTCGACTAAAAATGAATGTCGTGAAATAGTACCCGAGGAGATTGAGGGAGTGAAACCTTAAGATGGTTTACGTCCCCCTAAATGGGCCCCTGCCTCTTTGTATCATTTATTTGCACCAGTTTTAAGAAATTTAAGAAATTTTTTTACCGAAAATTTTTTTGTTTGCTCTTTACAAGTTTACATTGTATAAGCTGAATTAGTATAGTTAATTTGTTTCTGAAGACTGCAAATTTTTTAAGAGTAATGAACAAAGTGAAGACTTATATAATTCTTGCTGATTTTATTTCTGTTTTTTTCAGGAAAAGTTTTTAATGAATACAGAATATTGATGCATTTATTAATGCATAATGCACTTAGGTATATATGCATTTTTTGAGTTCAATTGAAATTCATCTGCTGACAGTGACGTAAATAGCACTCAAAATACGAACGTGGAAATTGCGCGAAAAAACGTGAGCGATTTCTAGTTTCGAAAGAGTAATTTAATTTTTAGATTTCCAGCGGAATAAAAACTTTACCTATTGATCCAGTTTTCTCTTGTCGGCTCATGTTATAAAAAAAACGCCAATACTAAATTGTTCTAAAATTTCAAAGAGCTTAAAGGACATTTTTTTTCTTTGAAATTCCAAAGTTCAAATTCGAAAGTTCAAAAATTCAAAGAGCTTAAAAGGTATCTATTTTTTTCTTTGAAATTCCTCAGTGTTTTTTTTGTTAACTTGTGTCCAGTACTCTTTTTCAATCTTCGATTGGCTATGTTTTCTTTATAGGTCGGAAAAAGAGGAGAAAAAAAGTAGAAATGGCGAATTGCAATATTGAGCAGAATTCATGCGAGCAGCATAATGATATTCGAGTTTCAAATGAGCGAGAGGACATAACGACAACTGAAACTGCAGGTTAGGCAACTTGTTTTTCAATGCTTCAAACAAGATTAGTACCCTTCATAGACAAGGGACGAAAACGGCATTCGAGCATTTCAGTTCTTTTTGGAGAACCGCCATTGCAGCCCGAGGACGTAAATGCATTTTTTTCGGTATTTTCCGGAATGGAAAATGCTGCCTCACTCTCGCCAAATCGGGTTCGATCATTTTGGGCCACGGACCACTGACCTTATGACGTAGAATCCGAAACTCAAATCATTTCTTCACATCTGGCCGGAATGTTTTATTTTGTTCTGCACTAAGCTCGCTGACATAGATTTTTTAAGAGTAATGAACGTAGTGAAGACTCTTATAAAGCTCATTTTTTTCAGGAAAAAGTCTTAAAATATTGACGCACTTACATATATATGCACTTTTTGAGTTAAATTGAAATTAATCTGCTGAAAGTGACGTAAATAGCACTCCAAATACGAACGTGCAACTGGCGCAAAAATTTAATTTTTAGATTTCCAGAGGAATAAAAACTTTACCTGGTGATCCAGTTTTCTTAAGTTGGGTTAATATTATCAAAATAGTATAAATGTCACATAAATCCAAAGATTGTTTACTGTAGCCTATTTTAAAGCGTAGATCGGTGGAATTATTTTTCATGTTCGTTTGCATAAAAAGCTATGCAATCGATTCATTAGGTAATATTAATAATAAATTGAGAGAAAAAGCCGATATGAAAGACCTTTAACCAATTTACCAGGACACAAATCGTCAAACATGTAAGTTAGATAATACTGGTTTTTGTTTCGAATTTCAAAAAATTTCAGCGTATAAGGTAGCAGAATAATTTTAAGTACAAGTTTTGTTTGACGAAAACTCTTGTCAACTTTTTGTAAAGCAATATACATTAACTCATTTTATTCCGTCAAAGCGGAAAATTTCAATTGCAGTTTACTTGATTTCCAGTTAAATGATAATTTTGATTGGATTTTATAATTTTTTGCGTTTGATTTTGCGAAAATGATTTGTTTCTGGCTGGCTCATAAATCCCAATGTATTTTGAAAACCATCGCGTTATCTAAATACTAATTAGTAACAACTCAAATATGAACTAATTAACATTAAATAATAGTTCAGTAGACTACAAGCAGATATCAGAATATTAGCTGTATTGTAACCAGAATTGACATTAAGAGTCGATTAAATTAGATCAGACTCTTATAGGTTGTGATGATTTTTTTCGGCTATGAGATAATAAGTCTAAATGGACCAGATGGGTCCCATCAAAGTTTCAACTAACTTAATTTCACTATTGTAAACTGCTTATTTTTTATCCGTTCCGTTATGCGAGCCGTCCTCCCCTCTTTGATTGCTTACAATGACCTTTTTCGAGATTTTATTGCTATCGCCGGTACGTTTATTCATAATGTATGAAAATCGAGAAAATTTTCAAAACAAAATAAACATCGAAAAGGAGTGTTTTTTGCTGCTTTTGTTTTCTAAATTGCCTATTTTTTTTCTTGAAGAGAAATGGAATGAGGTCAAAAATGCCAGAAAGAGATGTACCGATTGCAAATTCAGCGTTAAAAGTCTAGTAGAATCAAACTTTATTTTTGTCCAATTCAGTCTGAAACTCTCACAGTCCTGTTTTTCTCAACGGGGAGAAATCTAAAAACACTTTAGTAGGGAAATCACGAATAATAGTGATTTTCATATCAACCCTAACTTGTCGAGTTTTCTTTGTGGTAGTCATAAAATGGTTTGGAAAAATTGAAAAAACACGGACGTTACGTCATATTTCGTTCCCATTTTTGGATAGTGGTCGCAACAGTAAACGAACGTAGTACACTACAAGCAGATATCAGGTTTTTCGCTAACTAGTAGCGAGTATTGCTGTTATGTTTTAGGCGCTGATCTACGGGATGTTGCATCGGCTCAAATGGATCCCTCTTGTAATCATTTATCTTCAACTCAGGAATTTGAGATCAACCCTCGTCAACGCGATAAAGGCAAGATTTTCTCTTTTAAACGTCAAATAAATCCAAAGATTATTTTATTACAGTATCTTTTAAAGCATTTATCGATGAAATTATTTTTTTACGTTTGATTGAATCATTTTTAGGTTTTCGATCATTTTCTTATATAAAAAGCTTTGCAACCTATTTATCAGGTAGTGCTTAAAATAAATTGAAAGAAAACCCGACACGCCCCCATACCAATTTACCAAGCCTCAGTTCCTCAAAAACGTGAATTCGAATGCTCAAACATGTTAATTAGAGCTTTGTACTTTAGAATAATACTGGTTTTTGTTTCGAATGCCAAAATTGGTCAGCATATAAAGTAGCGGAATAATTTGAAGTGCAAATGTTTGTTGACGAAAACTCTTGTCAAATTTTGTGAAGCAATGTTCATTTACGCATTTTAAAACGGAAAAATCCAAGCGTAACGAGATTGGTTACGAAGATTCGATTCGCGTAGTTCAGACTCTTCTAGCCCGTGATGATTTTTTGTCGGATATTTTCAGGAATGGTCCTGAAATTAGTTCAGGCTCAAATTTACTTTTTCGTTGTTTGAATTTTGCTTTATTTGAAAGTTCTGTTCATTCTCTTTGTTAGATGGAATGCAAACTACGCTATCGAACACCAAAAGTGTTTAGGTCACAAATCATGATCGACTTTCAATTTCAAAAGTTGATTTATTTTTTCAGATTTTGCAGCGGAATAAGAATTTTTCTATTAATCCATTATCCGGAAATACGGTTAATTTTATCACAAAAAATGTCAATCATATATGGTTTTTTAACTTCATAGAGCTTTAAGGCCATTGTTTTTTTGATATTCAAAATTTTGTATTTTTTTATATCTGCGTCTATTGACAATTATCCAAGTGTTTATTGGCCATGTTTTTGTTTTAGGTGCTGAAATACAGAATTTTACATCGGCTCAAATTAATCTCTCTGAATATCATCCATCTGTGACTCAAAAATTCCAGAGCAACTATCTCCAACGTGATGAAGGCAAGTCTTTTCTTTCATACATCAACCACGCTATTTCAAATTTTGTCAAATTTAGAAAAATGCTGATTTTTGTTTCGAATGCCGGAGTTCGTTAACATAAGCTTTGGTAGAATAACTTATAGTGCCGTTTTTTATGGGGATATCTTTCACTTCAGTTAATAAATTTAATTTGTTTGCAGTTAATTTAATCCATCTAGACCGGTAGCTTTTGAAACAGACTTCACAATTTCTTTTACTTGAGAGTCTATGTTTTTAGATATAATTTTCCAGTAATTTTGTTGTCTAGAGCATGTTTTTTTGCAGGTGTTGATCAGCAAGAAGTTCTTTTGCCTCACAGTATCTCCTCAAATCTACACGATGAAGGTATCTGTTTCTTTGTAAAACGTTTTTTGAAATCAGTGAAATGGTTTCTGATTTTCTGAAGTGTCAATGGACGAAATGAAGGCACTTTTTTAGGTTGTGCAGTTTTTCAGGAAAGTTGTTCACGCTCAAATTTGGTCTTTCGATGTTTGACTTTTTTTAGATGAATTCAAAATCATGCGCTAAAAAATCAGTCTGTTGGCTATATATATATATATATGAAGGAATGAAAGGGCCGTGTTTTTTCAGGGCTTTTTTCACGAAAAATTGAATTAATTTATCCAATTCCGGCTGTCACGACAGATTTGAGTGAGTTTTATTGAGATCCCAATCTTACTTTTCTGTTTTTACTGAAGCCTATCCCCGCTTTGTTTTTGCCCCGTAATAATCGGAGCCTTTTGAACGGTGTTCCAGAAAGCATAATTCTCATCGTACTTTGTGATTAAAGTATGCATGTTACCATAAGAATGAAACATCCACATGCATGAATGTTTTATTGAGCCGCTCTGACAATTATGAGGAAGCTCTCCGACAAAGGCAAGCCAGTAATTCAAGATCGATTGCAAAATCTTTTTTCCGTCTATTTTAAAAAAAATTGGAACGTTTTGCTCCTAATTTATTGCTTCTAATTTATTGCCTTTTTGGACACAAAAATCAAAAATAAATCACATGAAAGTTGCTTTTGAGTTTTTGGCGAAATATCAGGGCCAGTAGATCGGTTGTTTTTATGATATTAAACATGCATGGATTTATTTTAGTCGGCATTCAGCAGCAAATTACATATCATACAGTTTCTCCCTCCAAGTGCAATTCCGCTGAACCTCAACGACATCGACGAAAAAATGGTAAGCTTTTTGTAAGCTTCTTGAGTAGTAGCGAAATTCTGCTCTGTTTCCTAAATAAATTATTTTTGTGCAAGTTTTGTAACAGTCCATCGTTCGAAAGATTATCTTTTTTTTCTGACCTTCATAGTCTAAGTTGGTGGAGTCTAAGTTTTATCAGGTTTCCCAGCGAATTAAAAAGTTTACTTGTTGATCCAGTTTTCTCACAGAGGGTTTGTTTTGTCAAAGCAGTGTTAATCATAATTTATTTTAGAAATTCAAAGAGCTTTAAGGTCATCTATTTTTTCTTGGAAATTCGAAACAAGTCACAATTGTTTTGTTTACTTGCGTTCATTGACTCTTTTCCAGCTTTTTGTTGGATATATTTGCCTCTGTCAATAGGTTTAGTGTGGTAACTCAAACTCTTCTTGGTGGAAATAAAGTGTATCTGTTTTAGTGCTGAAATCCAACATTCTGATTGCAGACCAAAAGAAACCAAAAGAAGCTGAAGAAAAGCATCCATATCTCAAAAAATTAAAATTTCATCCTTTTTGTAAGTATGGTTTTTATTGAATAAGCAAAATTACGTAATTTGTTTATGATTGATGTCATTGGGGACTGATTGAACTCGTGAAAATTTAACCTGAAGGTAAATAGCTAGGAAAAGAAAAAGAATTATGTATTCTGTTGTTATACTGAATCTCATGTTATTCAGTAAGTACGGCTTTGTTTAGGCGTCTTGAAGCAGCCTGGTCGTCCCGAAGTTTCCTTGGGTTTTGATATAGATCGACTTCGACAACAGGGTAATGAAAAAAGAGACGACAATGAAATGCTTCCTCCCACTACTAGTACGTAATTTTCCCGAATTGAATAGTCGATTTTTTTTTGTAAATTTGTGTAAATGAATGATTTCAAAATTGTGGTTAGTTCTTTTAAAACTTAAGATTCACACAAGGTTTTATAGGTGGGCGAGGATATAATAAATTCAAATAAAAATCAGGGAGGATCTAAGATTTGCTTAACGTGTGAGGGGTTGAAGTTTTTGGTGGTCCATTCAAATACATTTTCTGAACTTTCCTAAAGCTAGCGCCTTCAGAAAATTTTTTGGGTTGGCTGGCCATAATTGATATCTTAAAATGGTACCAAAGGGTCCCCTTTGGATGATAATAATGTCAGATTTGAGATGAGGAAGCGGGCGTTCGCATCTCTGTCCTTCCAACTCTAAATCTATTAGAAATGACACTAACGTGATTTGTGATTCGAATAATCTTGCAGTTTCTTCTACGTAAACTGATATGATTTTGACCGCTGTTTTAGATATTGAAGTTCCTTCGGTTGTTTTTCTCGACTGACAGAACAGTTCCTGAGCTTTTGAGCGCAATTCTTCGGATAGATCAGGTGCAGAAAATGGTAATTATCAGGTAAGTTTTCCAAGCTGTTAATTGAATAACCGAACCAATCCGTTCAGTTTAAATTGTTCATGAAAAGAATCAGTTGTTAATGTACGAAGGAAATTTTAGTTTGATTGGGGCATGTGGTGTATTAGGCTTTTTTCAGGAAAAGCGCTTGAAATTTCACCTGTCCCAATTTGAATTCTGTTTTTGTTAGCTCGCATTCTAATTCATTGCACTTGCGAGAGCAAATGTCGTGTAATGGGGAACTAGACTTTTTCTTCCGTGAAACTTTTTTTGCCGCTGTTAGCTCTTGCGCAGCTAGGTTTTTCTTGTGCTGTTAGCTCTTTTCCTTCTAGTTGCAAATGCTGTTGATTTACTCCTGTACTTTACTAATTTACTAGCCCTGAGTTTGTATGTTTAACCTTTTTTGTTTTTTTCTCCTTAGAACTTTATTCGGCCTTCTTGGTTTTGTCTTATGTTTAATCAGCTCAGTCAACTAATTTTATGTCTTTTGTAGGGCAGAAATTGATTTTATTTTGAAAATTATTTTAGGTCTGCTGTCTCCCTGCTGAATCCCTACAACTGTTTCTTACAACAATTGTATGCGGCATTTGTTTTGTTTTTGTCTCAATGGTCATCTATCATGTTTTGTTGGCTTAGTTGCCACTCGGTAAATACTAAAAGCTTATTTAATGCTGATAGTTTTTTCTCGACTTTTTCTGAATTTGGATTTTTTGAAACTTAGTTGATTCCGTCTTCTTTGCTGTTCGCTAGCCCTAGCTTGCGATGCTACGCTTGCGTTGAATGGCAAGTGAAGCCAAGCTCCGCTTCAACTCTGTGATTAGAGTTGGAAGGAAAAACTGCTCTTTATTAAGAAAAATGCGTAGGGTGAAAAACGATTGAGTTTTATTTTCGAAAACGGGTTTTCATTGTACGATTTCGAAGCGATATAAAATATTTATTTTCGGCCAACTTTTTTCAAGTAGGGTCTGCTTTATCAAGAAATATGTCAGTGATAAAATATTTCTGAAATTCAAGTAATTTCAAATAAAAAGATTGAGCATACTAAAATTGACTGCCAACCTAAGTTACTGTCTTCTTTTCGTTCATTGACATCTCAACTTAAGATAATTGTGATTCAAATATTTTGATAACAGTAGTTGCAAAGATTATAAGGTCTAAGAATTCATCTTTATCATTTTTTTTCCAGTTTCTTTCTTTTTTTTTGGTAAGATAACTTTGTTCAAAAAATTTTTGCTACTAGCAGAACACCGGGTAATCAAGTAGTTTTTTTAAGAGTCGAGGAGACTTTTACATAAGTTTTTATTATTTTTGAAGTTTTTCTCATTAATAGTCTTAAAGTTTTTTCCAGCTTAAGTTTATATTTTCTCGGTTTGATTTATTAAAAACTTGATCGACTTCCAATTTCAAAAATGGATTTTAATTATCAGAGTTCCCAGCGAAATAGAATGTTTACTTATTGAACCAGTTTTGTCAAATTGGGTTAATTGAATCCAAAAAATGTCACTGATAAATTGTTCTGGAAACTCAAAGAGCTAAGGACCATCTGTTTTTTCTTTGAAAGTTGTTTTTTCTTTGAAAATATATTTTTTTCTGTGTACTTGCGTTCATTGAGTCTTTTCCAACTGCCTGTTGGCTATGTTTGATATTGCATGACAACTTCAATGTTTCAGACTTGGAGAGACCTAAGCTCAGTTCACTCAGAAGGTGCAATATCACTGGAAACAAAATACGGAAAACTTAGCCACTACCCTGATAGTTATCTAGAACTTTCGTTTTCTATTTGTTCTTTTTGAAGTTAAATTTAATGAGATATTGAAATTTCAGAAAATATTGTTTTCTCTTCAGTTTGGTAACAGTTTAAGTGCTTTCAGTGACAAATTAGTGCAAAGCATGATCTGTCAGTGCTTCTATCAGTTTGAAGCGTTAAATCTTCAAAAGTTTTGATTTGTTGCAGCAGTTTTGTGAATATATATTTTAGAAACATTGCCTGGTTTTATTTGTGCTATAGGTGTTAAAAGAGAAAAAAGCTTCTTTTTCGTAAAATATCAGTTTCTGACATCCTATTTATCATTGCGAGTGCCAGTGCCAGACACCGTGGCCATCTTGCTTCTACAGCAAACAGACTTGGGTAGTTGAAACCGCTTCCAAGTGTATGATAGATTATAGCAGAATTTTCTTTGAAAACACTAGCTCCAGCTTAGCTCATCTCAGGTGTATATTTGGAACCTTTTTATTAATCATGTCAACCCAAAATATAAGTGTTTTTATATTGATCTGAGACAAGAGAGATTTGGAAGTTATCTGTCGGGTAAATTTACGGTTTTTTTCAACGAATCATAACAGCATGACTTTGGCGAAAACAGGCTCTTGAAACTCTTTAAGCCAAAGCGAGTTTGATATAAGCGTAAATCTGAAAATTGATCATGAGCGTAGCTGTAGTCCCCCCGCTCGATTAGAAACTAAAACTAAATATGTCCTTGCTAATTTTCTGAGGTTTGAGCAGTTGCTAGTAAACCGAATTCGTTAGAAGAGTATGCACAAAAATGTCAAATTGGGTCGTTTCTGCTAATGCAAATATCGTAGTAAAACCCTTTCAGTCGTCATTTCGAAGAAACTTTGAAAAAAAATTCAAAATGTCCCATTGTCGTGAAAAGTTTTTTCTGAAGTTTTTGAGTTTTAGTCTAATTTGTTTTAAATTTTTCATGTCGAAGACAAATGCGTAATTTCTTTACTTTTCTCTTCACATCACGCACAAAAAAAACGACCATAATTTGAAGAAAAAGGTAAAACTTTTTTTTCAGTTTTTAACGAATGTGCACATCAACCTGCTCTCTTTGTTAGATTATGTATGCGCTGTCAATGTATGCGAGGCTGTGTCAAACTTTGGTTCAACTTACTGCTTATAAACCCTATTATACTTACTAGTATTTTTACTTAAAACTTGCTAGTAAGTACTTTACTTTGCGCTTCTTTCTGAATAAGCTTAAAAACAAATTGTGAAAAAGCATAAAATGTGGAAAAGCATATAAGGATAGACTTTTCTTAATTAAGAAGGCGATTTTTAAACACGCAAACACTGGTTACACCGAAGACTTTAGTCAAGGTGTTATGGTATCGTGTAATGGGTTTTTTTTTAATGTCTGTTGTCAAGTGTCGACAAATAACGTCCACAGTTATCAATTATCATGTGGGCTGGACTATATCGCGCTATGTCACGTGATTGCGTATGTTTGTTTCTTTATTTGTTCATCTTTATTTATTTAATTATCTGTTCTTCTATTTATTTAATTATGTTTAGTTTGCTTATATTTATTTATAATTTATGTATGTACATATTTATTTTTGTTTGTTTTTATCACGTGTTTTGTTTATTTATTTAATTTTTCTTTCTTTCATTTAGTTTTGCTTTTATTATTTCTGCGTGTGTATTTATTTAATTTATTTATTTTCATTTATTTATATTATGGGTCTGTTTGTTTGGTTATTTGTTCATATATATTTTTTCATGTCTATTTAATTATTTGTACATTTCACTTTTGCTTTTATTTATTTATTTATTTATTTATGTATTTATTTATGTATTTATTTATTTATTTATGTATTGATTTATTTTTTTATTCCTTATTTATTTTTCAGGTGTGTTTTGTTTATTTGTTGATATTTATTTCTATATTTATTGAATTATTCTTTCTTTCATTTAGTTTTGCTTTTATTATTTATGTATGTGTATTTATTTCATTTATTTATTTTCATTTATTCATATTATGGGTCTGTTTGTTTGGTTATTTGTTCATATATATTTTTTCATGTCTATTTATAATATACTTGTATTAGGTACACAGTTATTCTATTTCAACTTTTGTGTATACTTGTATTAGGTACACTAGTTTCAATCAACTGGTCTGTGTATACTTGTATTAGGTACACAGTTTTTTTTCAACTGCTGTGTATACTTGTATTAGGTACACTGTAGTTTCAATCAACTGATCTGTGTATACTTGTATTAGGTACACAGTTTTTCTATTTCAACTGCTGTGTATACTTGTATTAGGTACACTGTAATTTCAATCAACTGGTCTGTGTATACTTGTATTAGGTACACAGTTTTTTTCAACTGCTGTGTATACTTGTATTAGGTACACTGTAGTTTCAATCAACTGATCGTGTATACTTGTATTAGGTACACAGTTTCTTTAGTTTAACTGATCTGTGTATACTTGTAATAGGTACACTGTAGTTTCAATTAACTGGCCTGTGTATACTTGTATTAGGTGTAAAACAGGAGGCGTTTTGCTACACATACAAACACAATCTTTTGTATTTTATTATAGCTATAGAAATTGATCTACAATGCGTAAGTACGACATTTAGTTCTACGATTGTTATTTCAAATCCTTTGTCAATATTTCAGGCTCTTTGTCAATATAGCAAAATTTTGGTGTATATATGTGTTAGTAAGATTTTTAGTTCTACAACGTTTATTCAGGCTCTGTCGATATAGCAAAATATTGGTGTATACATGTGTTAGTACGATTTTAGCTCTAGAATTGTTATTTCAGGCTCTTCGTCAATATAGCAATATTTTAGCGTATACATGTGTTAGTACCATTTTTAGTTCTCGAACTGTTATTTTATGATCTATGTCAATATATCAAAATTTTAGTGTATACATGTGTTATTACGATTTTTAGTTCTCGAACTGTTATTTCATGATCTTTGTCAATATATCAAAATTTTATTGTATACATGTGTTAGTACCATTTTTAGTTCTCGAACTGTTATTCCATGATCTTTGTCAATATAGCAAAATTTTGGTGTATACATGTGTTAGTACGATTTTTAGCTCTAGAACTGTTATTCCATGATCTTTGTCAATATAGCAAAAATTTGACGTATACATGTGTTAGTACGATTTTTAGCTCTCGAACTGTTATTTCATGATCTTTGCCAATATAGCAAAATTTTGGTGTATACATGTGTTCGTACGATTTTTAGCTCACGAACTGTTATTTCAGGCTCTTTGTCAATATAGTAAAATTTTGGTGTATACATGTGTTAGTACGATTTTTAGTTCTAGAAGTGTTATTTTATGATCTTCGTTGATATATCAAAAATTTAACCTATACATGTGTTAGTACGATTTTTAGTTCTAGAACTGTTATTTCAGGCTCTTTCTCGATATAGCAAAATTTTGGTGTATACATGTATTAGTACGATTTTTTGTTCTAGTACTGTTATTCTTCAATTATTAGTTGTTCAAGTTGTTTGGTTTTTGCTTCAGTTTCTATGCCTTCGGTGTATTGCGCGTAGCGCCTATGTTGTCATACTGCGAGTTAACTTTTCCAAACTTAATTTTTGTTGAAATCTGTATTGTCACGGAAGGAAGCGATTGTCACTTGTATTGGTCGTGATGAATATTCTGCCTTTTTTCCAGAAACAAAACTTAGCGTTTGTTCACGCTCATTTTTTACTTTTTTGTACTTAATATTTTGATTTCCTTTTAAGTTCTGTTATGAGTTTTCAAGTTCTGCTAAGATTTTTTAAGCTTCTATTTTGTGAAGCTCGAACATCAAAACCATTATTGAAGCGGAGCTCTAATTCTAGTTTTTTTTTTCTACAAATTACAATGAAAATTGTTGTGAAATTCACATGTAATTTGGTTACTTCATTTTTAAACTTTCAGATTAAAAATCAAAACTTATCTATCAGTCTAGTTTTTTCAAATTCAGTTATTTTGACTTTGAACAGTGTCATGAAGTTTTCCATGAAGGAAAATATGGAATTTTTGAAAAAGCTATTGAAGGCAATTAATTTAAAAGTCACTGTTTTCTTCTTGGTTGGTTCCAAATGATTACTAGCTTCGTTCATTTATTTTTACAAAAACGAGTGGTTCAAAAAAATACTCTTATATTAAAACCAGTTTTGCTGCTCCGATAATTGAAAATGGGAAGAAACTTTGGATTCGGGTGTGTTTGATTTTTTCCCCGAAAAAACAGCTACCAAAAATAATCATTGGACAGGGTTGAGTCATATAACATATTAAATCCCCTTTAGTCGTGATTCGAAGGACATTAACAAAGTTCAAAAAATATTTCACCGTATCGAGAAAAATTGATTTGAAGTTTTTGATTTTTGGTCTAATTTTGAGCTAAGTAGTAAGATAGTTAGTAATTGCATTAGCAAGTAATTGCGAGGTAGTTAATTTAAGCCGTGAAAATTTAGTTTTACTCCAGTAAAGATAGCTTTTGGAGTTTATAGCGCATTTCTGCAGAAATTATTCATTATTTTTTTTTTCGTTTTTCTCGTTTTTGTTCAAAAACTGTTTTCCAATTGATCGATTTTACTATGACTCTCAAATATGCTTATGTTCTGTTTTTTCGTTCTGTTTTTTTTTTGTTCAGATTTTTTTTATCACAACATGCAGAAAAAAAATGACACCAATTTGAGAACACATTTTTTTTTCAAGACTGTGGTCGGAACACTCTGTGCTACTTGCACAGTAACCGGCTATCCTTGTTTGATCTTGATTTTTGCAGGATCTTATAATCTACAATTTTTCGAATCATTTCCATTTTTGCGACTGTCTAATTTCTATGTTCTACAACTGCACTTGACATTTATTTGTTTACTGAAACGTTCAGTTTCCTTGCTGCTACTTTCACAGTAATCTGGACTATATTTGAGGCTTAGCTTTTTTTGGGTTTTTAACTATTGAATTTTTTTACCATCGAGCTTTCCATCGAACTTATTAGGAACAAGTTTTCAACCTTAGACCTCATTGAAATAGTTTGTCCAAAAACTCATTTAATTGGGTGGTGTAGAAGCTTGGT